ATGTCCTTCCAGCGACCTTGTTAATCGGAAAAGGTTGGAGAATTATTGCCTGGGAAGGATGGGGGAGGAGAGAGATAAGGGAGAGAGAGAGAGAACAGGGAGAAGGACAGAGGGAGATTCTAAGCTCAAGGACTAACCATATCAGGCTCGATCGCGGATCTTCCTTTGCCCCACTTCCTGCACCCCCCTCATCCCCATCACTATCCATGATATCTCAAGATATGCTACAAGTGATTGATACCAAGAACAAGTACCGCATTCCCAGTGGCTTATGTAGGTGCACTCCAAACAAAGATTGATCCAAACGCATCGGCCTTCTTTTGCAGAATAAGAAAAAGGGGTCTAGAAAGCACCACTGGCGTGATCCGTAGACCAACGAAAGCTTTATGTACATGAGAACGCGGAATCAAGTCCCTGTCATTCGGGGCGCACGCAGTGCAGTCATCAACAGCGATCCAAACAACATCCAAGAATCAACCGAATTCAACCATTGTCCTTGACGCTGCTGTTGATCCCAATGCCGCCAATACGCACATAAAACCATCTTCCGTCTCATTAAATCATGTCACGTTCGAAACACTCTTCTATTGAAACTTTTCCCTTCCATTGCCTCGACAGAACCCAAACAATCACCGGCACCCACACACCCATCCGACATGCCGCTTGAATCCAGCTCAGATGGACGTTCTGATCAAATCAATATATCGAGTGGATCAGTCGACCCGAATGGGCATGGGTGGTTGCAAATGAGCTGGCTGTTTACTCAGGGACACCCTCGTCGCTCTCAGACAAGCTCTCATCACCGCTGACTTCCATGTTCTCACGCTCACGCTTCTCCATAAGCTCCTGGAGCGCAGCATCATCGTGCTCAGTGACGGCCTTGGGAGCCATCTTGACGATACATCCACCGCCGGACTCCTTGATCTTGGCCTCGATCCGCTGAATGGCCTCTTCGAGAGTCTTGATACCAACGGCCTTATCCAGGCACTGGCTCGTCAGGACGTACAAGGGAGGAGCGACCAGCTTCACCTTGATCTGGTTGTCGACGGTGTTGCTCTCCTCGGCGGTGCGCAGGGCGGTCTTCACAGCGTCGATGCCCTCGTAGCCGAAGCAGGTAACCTCGATATCCGCACGGACCTTGGTGGGGTGAGGCGTCAGTCTCTTGCCGATGTAGTTCGTGAGTTCCTTCTTCACAGCCTCGCTGGGGAATTCGATCTCGTTCCAGACGTCGGGGTTACTGAGAAGAATGTGAGTCACTCGCCAATAGGGACTGGTGGAATGGAATAGCATCTTACGTGATAGAGATCTTGAAAGCATCGTGCGAATGGCCGTATTTGCGGTTCAAGGGCCATGCGATCGTCTGGTATAGCGTCTCCAGAGGGGTCTGGGTGGCCTCTGCGACGTGGCGCATGATGGAGTGCACCGCCTTGCTCTTGTTGTATCTCTCTTCACACTTGACCACATCCTCAGGGGAGACTCGCCGCTTGGACAGATCGATATAACCTGCAGAGGGTGGTGGATGTTAGCAAATCTGTCTTTCACCCTGTTGTGTAACCGCTATCTCCGCGGGTGGGAGGGTCTAACCTTTTTCCTTGTCGACACGAAGCACGATCACAACCTCGTTGCGTCCGATACGGATGAGCTTCTGGATACTACGAATACGTCTTCGCGACAGTTCGGAGAGCAGGATCATTCCGTCGATGTTGTCGTATTCGAGGAGCTTGACGTACGCGCCCATTTCGGCGATCTGCAGGGGACAAAACAGGAGCGGTTAGAGACTTTCGTGACCGCCGAAGTAACTCCTCCATAGCCTGGCAGATGCTTACCTGCTTGACATTGACCATGACATAGCTATCGACCTCCGGGTACTTCTCCTCGTAGAAGCGGCAATTTGTTAACGACATTTTGGCGGGGTTGCGTCTCGAGACGAAGCGAAACGGGAAAACGATTGGGTGACTGGAGAATGCGAGAAAGCGACGCTTTGAGAAAAGCTTTCTGTGGGGTCTTCCTGCTAAGAGGTCGAAGAAACCGAAGACAGCGTCGAAGGGAGGAGCAGGTCAATCAGTGGAGGGACTCAAAGCACAATTCGGATGACTTTGTGGCGGCTCAAAACCCACTTTGGGCTTTTGCGCAGTGGTCACGTGCCTTGTGTTCCCTCACCGCTCGGCAGAATCCGATAATGGGTCTTATCGTCCAGCGAATGTTGCGGTCAACGTCGCTTTCAAGGTTTTCCAAATGTCTTTTGCTTTTAGACAAGGAGGACTCATTCGCAATTCATATAGATTCTGCTAATTCCACCCATGCACTCCTGCGCTGCATAGAACCGCTTTCACATAGACTCTTCCTGCCATTGAGACTCGTTCGATTTCGCATCTTGGAGCCGATAATCCCTCAGACTAGAAGTGGCGCTACTCATATGACTCGCTCAGTAATTGACGCGGTTTCACTCTAGCTTTCTGCTGGAAAACTTTTCTTTCCCTGCATTTTTCCATATGGCGCCCTCGGGAATCATAACATTGCATTGATTTATCAACGTTTAGTTCTCCGCAAACCATGTCCGAGTCGGATTCAATCCACAACCCGGCTCAACTCCGCTCATTGCGGGACCGCGTTCTCGATATCTTTCGGGCTGCATCACCAAGCAACTCAGCAGTCGAGGGCACTCCAGGACCCTCAGAGCACTCGCCTCGAAAACCTGACGATCGAACCCGCCTCCTAGATTCCTACGACGGCCGGGAGCCCGCGTGCGGCCTGAAGGGCTCTTGCGATCATGGTACTTTCTCACCGCAAGTGGAGCGAGAGGATACTCCGCAATGGGATGGAAGCTCCATGCAGCAAGTCGACGGGTTGAGGTTTGGCGATGGCCACCATAGTCGGCAGCGTAGCGGAGAATCAGGCTATGTACAAGGCCCGGAGAATATGCGTTCCATGGAGTCTTCATCGGTCCTTTCGGTATCGAATCGCAAGTCGCAGTATGTTATCTCGTCGATGTGGTCTCTTGGGTATTATCGGTTTGACGGATCGTTACTGACAGTCTCTCAGGTATATATCGTACTACATCCCGTTTCTCAATTGGATCACTCAATATCGCTGGTCTTGGCTCCGGGGCGATTTGATTGCTGCGACAACCGTTGCATCGATTTACATTCCCATGGCATTGTCTTTGTCCTCGAACCTTGCGCACGCGCCTCCGATTAACGGCCTGTATTCCTTCGTGATCAACCCGTTCATTTATGCCATACTGGGAAGCAGTCCCCTGCTAGTAGTGGGACCCGAGGCCGCGGGGTCATTGTTGACCGGAACAATCGTCAAATCCAGCGTCAAACAAGGCAATTCAAAGGAAGACGATGATATTGCAAATGCTATGGTGGTCGGGGTAGCCACTGCCATGGCTGGGGCTATGATACTTGTTGCTGGATTGACCCGGTTAGGGTTCTTGGACAATGTCCTAAGCCGCCCTTTCTTACGAGGTTTCATCACTGCCATTGGGTTTGTTATATTCGTGGATCAACTCATCCCGGAACTTGGACTCGCGCACGTGGCGAAAGATGTGGGCGTAAGCCACGGGACCACCGTCGAGAAGCTGGTCTTCTTGGTAGGGAATGTCGGATCTTGCCATACCCTGACGGCTGCAGTAGCTTTTGGTAGCTTCGCCGTCATAATGTTGTTCCGGTACGTAGTGACCCAGCACCGGACCTGCGGAGGTGGAAACTTACACATCATCATAGGACGCTCAAAAAGTGGCTCGAACCGAGATACCCCCAGGTGGTCTACTTCCCGGACCGTGTGCTTGTCGTCATCCTCTCAGCCATCCTGACATGGCGCCTTGGTTGGGATAAGAAAGGGCTTGAGATCTTGGGCGCAACCAAAAATTCAGGAAGCGGCGTTTTTGCGTTCAAATGGCCTTTCCAGTTCAGCCACATGAAGCACATGCGTACTGCAATGAGCACCTCCTTCATCATTGCACTCCTTGGTTTCTTCGAATCCTCCGTTGCTGCAAAGGGGCTCAATAACATGGGTCGGGACGGTGTACAGGGGATGGCCGTCAGTGCCAACAGGGAGATGGTCGCCCTGGGAGTTGCCAATGTTGTTGGCGGATGCTTCATGGCCCTACCTGCGTTCGGTGGGTACGGTCGAAGCAAAGTCAACGCATCCACCGGCGCTCGGTCGCCCATGAGTTGTATCTTTTTGAGCATTATCACGCTCATTTGCATCCTGGTACTCTTACCATATCTGTACTATCTCCCGGTACGTTGTTGTCACCTCCCCTGCTGCAACCATTTTGAACTCGTTGACTGACGTTTGCCTTAGAAAGCTGTCCTCTGTTCTATGATATCCGTGGTCGCCTTCAGTTTAATAGAAGAGTGTCCACATGATCTGGCATTTTTCATTCGCCTGCGCGGATGGACGGAGCTAGCACTGATGATTCTCATTTTTGTTTCGACTATCTTTTACTCGCTGGAGTTGGGAATCGCGTTGGGAATCGGGCTATCTATTCTGATACTCATTCGCCACTCCACCCAGCCACGGATTCAGATTCTGGGGAAAGTCGCTGGAACATCCGACCGGTTCGACAACGCCGAACTTCATCCCGAAAACGTGGAGCTGGTTGACGGCGCACTCATCGTCAAGATTCCCGAGCCGCTGACCTTCGCGAACACAGGCGACCTGAAGAACCGCCTTCGCCGACTGGAGCTGTATGGGACTAACCGAGCGCATCCCTCTCTGCCCCGCACACGACCGCCAGAGCACAACAAGAACATCATCTTCGACGTGCACGGTGTCACCAGCATCGACGGCTCTGGCACACAGGTCTTGTACGAGATTGTCGACGGGTATGCGGCGCAGGGCGTGAGGGTGTTTTTCTGCCGGCTGCCTACTCGCAATGTCTTCCGCATGTTCGAAAGAAGCGGGATCGTCGACCGGTGCGGAGGAATGTCGCATTTTGTCCACCGTGTCGACGAGGCGCTGAGACTTGCCGAATCGGAATCGGAAACCCAGACACTGGAAGCGTGAGGCTTCTCGCGAACTTGAGCGACCTTTGTTGCATATTTGACGGTCCTGACATGTAATGTCCACATTTGACGACTGACGACATCGCACGCATAAACACGATTGCAATGTTTGCTTGGAATTATTGCTGTATATATCCAGCTGGGCTGCGGCTATTGAACGGAGAGGCCCACCAGTTTCGATGACGAACATAGTGAGTGAGATTCTGTATAATAAAGCATGTCCCACCTATGCAGAGGGACACTGCGAAATAAGACACTGTTTTCCAGCAGAACCTCGCTGTGTTCATGTAGCTTCCACGTCGTTAGAGACAGCCCTGCGTAAGACAGCTTGGAGGAGCGCCTCGCTAGCCCGCAGCGCGCGACGGTCACTTTCCGTCTGAGCATCCGCATCACCGTCGGCCAGTTGATCCGTGGTAGGACGCTGAGATTTCGTATTTGTAACTAGTTTCAGTCTGCCCTCGCTGGCCAGAACAAAACCTCCACACGCGATCTTCGTGAGTCTAATATGCTCACCCTCGGGGGTGTTACGGGAGACGGGGGTAGCAGAAAAGTCCAACTTCATGGCCAAATGCTTCGCCATGTAGGCAGAGAGACCGGAGAGGACGGCACCAGACGGGTTCTCGGGCCGAACAAAGCTCGCCAGAGAGGCGCGCGGGATGTTGACGTTGAGCGTCCTCAGCGCGGGGGCAACGGACGGCGAAAACGCGAGCGTCAGCTGAAGCTCTTTCACGACGTTCTGGAGGATAGTCTCGTCATGCTTGGCGGCCAGGCGGGTGACGTACGTCTCCAGACAGGCGCACATGATATGGGACGGCAGACGGAGGACAGAGCAGTATGTGTCGAAGTTGGCCGCGAGGAAGGTGATGAATGTCTGACGCAGCGGGTTGGGGAGCCGTGTCAGCAGCAGCGGCAAGTAGGTCGTAGCGCTTGTTTCTCTTCGCGCGCGGGACTCGTCCTCCGGCGGAGCGAGGAGCGCAGCCTTGTAGACGGCGTTTTCGTACTCCAGGACCACGAGGATTCCAGAAGAGCGCCACAGATATCCATCCGGTGTACTGGCCGGCGGCTGTCCCGGGTCGAGCAGCGAGAGCGTCGGCATCAACTCCCAGGTGCAGTTTGTGAGGGCGCCTGTCCGAGACAGGGCGTCATCGTCGGTGCCTGTCCCGGCGCTCTGCAACCCGGCGAATGCATTTCCAGTGATTTGATCGCGCAGACGAGCCGCGTAGGCTTTTAGTGCGGCAGGGTTATCGAGAACGGTGTGGAATTCCTTCTCATGATGCAGGGGCGAAAGACGATGCAATGTCCATGAAGAGTTTAGGAGCTGTTGGGCGTTGGCTGCGGCCATTGCGGCGCTGATTGGAGAAACTGCTATGTGGTTTGGCAACCTGTCCAGTATCACATATCTCTTCTCGATAATCCTCTCTTCCAGACAGCTTTATGGAAGATGTTTGATGATCGCAAATAGTGTGGTTATCTCAAGCATCTGAAGACGCGACGCGCAAACAAGACAAACAAACTGCCGCCAAGACTCATGCTGTCTCTACTTACGGTCTAGCGTGTCTCGCTAATCTATGCAGATTGGGAACGAGAACTAAATGGATGTAGTTTCTTTCTTCCAATGCGTTCTCATAGTGCAAGCTCAGTTTTTTCGGCTTACATAGAGAGGGGACAAGACATATTTGCCTTTGTCAAGCCATCCCAGGTAGGAAATCAGCTCAGGGCGATCATTGGACATGGCGGGCGTTAGATTCTGAGGCCATTAGTTCATCAAGATGGGGAACTGGAGGCAGCCTCTCAGACTACTTATGCCTTATATGATGTTGATGGACTCCTCAAAACCCGCAAATACCGACTGACGGGGTTTGGGGCTATGGGAATAGCGAACACTGCACACCAGTCACGTAGATAAGGATACCAATCTTTCCGTACATCGGACAACTTTCGCACAAGTGGCCACTGGGGCCCGTATTAATACCTTTAATTATCCCGAAAACTGTAAAACTTATATAATAACTACTGTAAAAATACAAACTATTATATTATTAAAACCGCAGAGTATTTATAGAACAGTAATTTTAGTATTTTACTAAAAATATAACGTATATTAGATCTTTAAATAAATCTATTAAAAATCTTATAAAGAAATCCTTTACCGGAATAAATAACAACTATATTAAATTAATTAATATAAAGATTATAAACTATTATAATAGTCTTACTAGACTAACTAGTGAATGAGGCCAGATTTAGGAGGCCAGGTAATTTGACAGGTATCTACTCTACTAAACTATTATATTTTTAGCTATGGTAGCTATAGATGTGACAACAGGCTGACCGGACCTTACTTTGTATGATAGAGGACTCGAAAACGGTGATTAGTTAATAACCAATGTCTGTCTAGCTCATGCTCCCCGATACGTTTTACTCGCCCTGTGCAACTACGGCATCTTCGCGGCTTGGAATTTTATGATGCTATCTTTAAACCCTGCATTTCTTTCAGCAGCTCACATCGCTCAAAGTGGTTGGCACGACTTGGAAGGCGGGGCATGGCTGGTAGTCCTTGAGCCATAGTGTCTCTCCCATGCCAATATGGAAATGAGGTGCTAGCTGACTTTGCTGTGGACAAGGATGGTGTCGAAAGAGTTCTTAATAGCTACGCAGCCGCGAGAAGTCTGCCGCGAGCCACAGAGTCCCAACGTCCTCGCTCAGAAGCCATGAGGTTTGACTCTCACAAGAGTCAAAGCCTGTAAGCAGCTACGTGACCCCTACCGTTATCGTCTAGCCAAAAAGCTCTTCGATGAACAAGAGCGCACCCGGCTTGAATGACGACTCCGATCAATACTCGAGGTGCTAGATAACCTTCCAGACAACGGCGGCGTATGTCCCTTTCTTCTGCCCGTGCGGAAAGTACTAATATTGAAGACTCTATGAATATGGTACCCCGTTTGCCAAGGACCCCTGACGCAAGATGCCACGACAAGGGCATAGGAGACATGATCCTAGCAGAGGTTCAGCTGGAAGATCCTAGCAACGGGTATGCTCCAATGTATAAATGTCATCGCCCAGCTGGTGCCGTGTTAGTCGACCTGCCGGAGCCAGTTGATTCGAGCTGCGCCTGGACTGTCAGTCTTGTTTGGTCTTCATATTGCTTTTTTGACCTGTCGGCTCAGCCTGCCTGGCGTTTGCCGCAGCAAAGGGCATCAACACAACCCTGTCATAGCCCCAGCATAGCCCCAGCATAGCCCAGCATAGCTTGCAGTCCTTACACATATAAATGGAACCTTCAAGGCTCAAATAGTTACGTTCGATAAGATACCAGTCTGCCGCTTTCATCCTGTAAACATGCCATCAGTGCCTCTGCGGCATGATACCTACACCGATTACCTCGGTTCGCTACTTCCACAGTGGCCAGAATATCGGGGTTTGCATGAATTTCTGCAGGAGGACCAGCCTCCTGACTTAGTATCGAATACTCAGGCGCTTATCATCGGCTCCACAACTGATGGATTGATCACTCGACGATTTGACGAGATTGCTCCATTTCAAAGTGCTTTGGATCAACGATCGTCGAACACGAGAATCCGCTTGATTTTGATCAGTTATCAAGACATTCAGACACTAAAAAAGGGCTTCGTTGATACTGTTGGATTGAAGTTTGATATTGATCCCCTCTTTTTCTGCAACCACCTCGGTACTGGCCTTTTGGATCCCGTACGAAACAGGTCGGATAGAATTGGTATATCAACATATTCGCTGCTTTCATCTCATAACCGATCTTTCGAACTCGGTCAGCTACTCTATTTACATGCATCAGTCTTACTTCTTGAGACAGAAGGTGAAGGCACTCGAACTCAATCGACTAGTACGTATCCTGACCGCTGTACACTGTCCTTCTGATCCAATTTCCTAAGATTTACTATAGTCTTTATTCTCCTTCGGACCGGGAAGAACTCGTGTACATCTGCTGCTCTAGAACTAGATAAACCTAGTGCTAATGGCCCCTCTCGCTCGGTTCGAAAGATAGGATCGCGCACGACGTTCCTGGACCGTTATTGCGCCCTGCTTGCGGAATGGACCCCCGAAAGGGTAACAGCAGCCAACCGGAGCGCTATCGAATTCATACATCCTTTTTTCCAACTCTTCGCTCTTGAGATCAAACAACATATGGAAAGTTCTTCCAAGTGGACGGAGGACGAAGTTATCTCTCTGCTTGAGGTACCCGAAGCAGCTCTTCGTCTAAAAGGGCTCGATTATGACTTTCACGCTCAGATTTATCGCCAAAGTATGGAGATGGACATCAAGTCTCTGGAAAGCACTATCAATGCCCTCCGCAGCCCTGGCTTAAGGCAAATTGCAGAGACAGAAAGCACGCTCGACTCACAGAGATGGCGTGACATTCTGCACGACTATGAGCACCTCCTTGAGAAGGCAATGCGAAACTCACATTCATTTGAAGCCTACGAAGCTCGATGTTTGAATCGATTTGGTCTTATGGTCTCAACTAAATCAACATCACTGGCTGAGAGCGTTGGCCGCATCAGCATACTGGCTTTTATCTTTGTCCCATTGTCATTCATCACATCCTTCTTTGGCATGAATACCATTGAGTTTGGTTCTGGTAGTGTGAGGCTCTGGACTTTCATTGTTAGCGCTACTGCATTGATACTTACAGTCTTTGTGGCATGGTTGCTTTCCAGCTGGATAGCCAGCCTTATCAACGATCTGCGGGAGAATTTCTATGGCTTCAAAATTCGGATCGGGGTTTTGAGAAAGTTTGCTGTGATATCACCGCTAAATGCTTTGTTGCTAGCATGGTTCTCCCTCACTCACCGACCGAGGCAATTCCAACGTTATCTTTTACATCTCGGCATCTGGTGCGTCTTGGGATTGGGCGATGACTGGGACGAGCCCCAATTTGGGCCGGAACAGCAACAAACCTTGGCTTTGTCTCAGTTTTGGATAACAAGAGGGCTTGAGATGACCAAGATCACTGGAAAAAGGGGCTGGCAGAACTCATCCTTTTATAGCAGATGGCGTGCGAGGAGAAATCAACAATCCTCAACTACAGGTGCTGGATCGTCAAACTCGAGCCAAGGAAACTGAGAGCAAGCGATGAGCTCTTCCCCAAGGAAAATGGGAAATCTGGTTCAGTGTTATTGTTGACTATACTTCACAGGGCTCACCAATCTGGCCACTCGACTTCTGTGACGAACTGAGACATTCAAGGAAGGTGGAAAGGGGCTCTTCGAGAAGCTTGACATAGCGAAGTGGAAGTCTGTCATATGTATTTAGTTCTCCTTTTGTTCTCTCTATCTTCTCCTTCCCTTTTCTCTCCCCATTTGGATCCTTCATGTAATGGTACTGCATGTTCTATCTTGCTCTTGACCGTAAGAATTCCTAGACGATTTTCGGATAAATCATACTCAGTACGATTGAAGATGTGTGGCCCCAGGGCAAACGCTTGCATTCATCAGAGCAGGGAAGGAGTAAGGAGGAAGCGCCATACTGCCACAGGTATCTTCCAGTTGCTGATTATTGACGGATGGTGCAGGATACAATCCTTTCTGAGGGCGCACATGTTGTAGTGCAGGGTTAGTAGAGGGTCGTCTGAGGGTGGCCGCAGCAGAGCAAGATGGCAAGTAGTAGCTGATAAGGTGAAAATGCTGGCCGGAGGAGGTGATGATGCTGAAGGACAGCTTCACGAATCCGTCCTAGCTGTATGACCCCCGCCTTATAGTAAACCTGTATTTAGAACAACTATAAGTCTTTAGATTATTATCAAACCAGGGCGTCTTGTATTAGGTGCTGAGACCTCACCGCCCATATAAATTACCTCAGACTTTAGTTAGACAGTCCCCTGCACCTCGCTCCTAGACCTTACACCGGACCGCAGAGCTCCGGAAATAATCTCTAAATAGCAGTTAAGATTAATTATAAATAGAGCTATTTTTCTAGTAAATTTTAGATAAATCAGAGTCCTTACTATAGTTTTATTTAAATAATAGATTATATAGTAATTTAGATATCTATATATTCAATAATTATAAATCTAGATTTTCTTTAAAAGACGTCTAAAAATTAATCTACTATCTATTTTATTAAATTTTAAAATCTTTTTAAAGTTATTACCTTTTATATTAAAAAGAATTATTTCACTATTTTTCTGCATAACTATATTTATTAATCTTATTATTACTATACTAGTATACTACTTAGTACTTTATAAGTAAAACATAGATCTAACTGTAAATAACTAGATATATATATATAAATATCTATTATAGTAAAATATGTTTTTTATAGATGTTGTATTATACGTAGTAATATATTTATTATTAATATTATAATTTTACTATATTAAGCGGAACTATAGTAATATAACAGTATAATAACGCCAAACATTCCCCGTATACTATCATTACTATAACAAGTACAAAGCCAGTCCAACCCAACAGGCTTATTCGAGGCTCTATAGTTGAGCACAAGCCAAGTATTCGCTTCAGTAGTGACTCCAACGCAGGAATAATACTGAGATGCAGCTGTCATTTTGAGATATTCAATCCGTACTATGTACGTGATATAGACTGGCCCATCTGGCTGATCATGTCCGTATGTCCGTATGCTTCATCTACTGGGTAACATGTACCAGAAACCCCGAAACGCCAGAAATGCGCCAAATGTAAACAATGCACGCTAAATGATAACAGTCTATGCAAGCCATCCTTCCGAGGCATGACAGCTTTCACACCCGATGAGGATGGGCAACCCCTCCCAGACAGGAACAAGTTCTGCGTCGTGTGGCGTTATCCTTCTCCGGGCCATCTCGCGTCTAGCCGCATCAAACCAGACGTCCTCAACGGAAGAATGCAGGTGCGCATTTGGGATCCGCTCAAAGACGATCGATTCCATGTCATCCTTCTCGTTTACTGTGATGTCGTGATGGAAATTGTGCATGAAATCTTTTCTCTGAGTTCGCTGGCTGCCACCATCCCCAATCTCGGCAGAGAAGTATTCCACAATCCGAGTGAACGGTGATACGGTGAGGAGTGAGCCAATCCAGCTGTCGTCCCGAGGGCCTTGCTCGTCGGGTGGCACTGTATACCGCATATACGAGACTAGCAGTTGGAAGCAGTGATGGGTGGACACAAGAGTAGAGTTGTTGGTAAAGGGAGGCTCTCGAAGAATCCGCGCCTGCAGCTCGCGATACATCGACATGCGATCGTCAGGATGGACGCGGACGGGAAGCCGCCCGACCTCGAATTCACGTAGAAGGATATTCGTCTGCTCTCGCCTAGCCCGACTATAGGCTTCGAGGAAGTAAAGAGTGTAATACCTGCGACAAACGAGTCAGGATACTGTGCAGGGCAGGGAAGCAGATGTACCTACATAAGCGGCGTGATATAGAACCAAATCCTCGCAACGGTATGCTTTTGAAACGCAGTACGTTCCTTCCTGGAAGGAAACATGGTCTTCATGTACACGGTCTCGTGGTGCATGAAGCGATCCATGACGCGGTCTGCTAGGTAATAGCTCAGCGTCGCGCAGAGGTTCTGCCGGCGTCGCAGGCTGTAGACATAACGAAATGAATATATGTGGCCACCCTTCACGCTCTCAGTCGGGGGAAACAGGTCGGACAAGATAACGACGTCGTCTTCCGGGTTGCGAGTGTAGGTCCGCTCATTATTTATCGGGGAGGGAAGGGTCCCATGGCGGCGCTGTCGGAGGTACTGCCGGGTGATGGCATGTTCGTTGGAGGAAATCAGTCGGAAAAAGGCGGTACAGACGAGTTTCAACTTAAGTAGGTCCTTGATGCCACAATGGCCGAATATCTTAATCTGGAGCTCGACGGGAAGGATGTCCCAGGATGATGACGTAGGAATCAAATTGGACTTGTCAATCCTGTGGGTGAGTTAGCGATAGATCAGCTAGATGGTCTTCTAGCATTAGACGCTCGACGAAATGATATACGCACACTGATACGGATGACATGGACGAGGGAACGGGGCAGTGTTTCGAGGGGTTTCCCTTGGTAGCTTCCGATTTCCTCCTCCCTCGGGAGATGGAGGCGCGAGCCTTTCTCACATTCAGGAGGAGCTGATGCATTGGATTCATCGTCAGGGTCGAAAGAGTCCAGCTCCAGCATGAGGGCCGGCGGAGAAAGAGGATGTCACCATGGAGGTGACGTTCACGCAGGATTTAGCTGATGGGTTTGTTCATAGTAGGAGTGGCAGGCTATTTTCTCCGCCTCCCGCTGGTGGTTGCAGATGAGGGGAGCTGAGTCAGCCGGCTTTGGCATGGATCGATACTACGTGCTATTAAAAGCATGGGACGGAAGTTGGTCACTTCGACTGTTTCAGATGCTCTCTGACAGTGATCCTTCGGGTTTCTCCCATGTGCTTGTTCTGTGTGCTTGAGTCTATAGGGCTCTGATATAGATGTCAGCAAAACTGTTGAACACGAGGTTGAAACCAATCAGAACCGGTCCTTATACTGCACCTATCCAAGACAAGATCCTTGCTTCCTTTCTAGAACATTAACCTGCTCAACTGTCACCGGGCATAACCAAACAACCAAGTCTCACACCACACTCGTCGCCTATACCCGTCACATAATGCACAACCTCCAGCGGACCCGTCTCAGAGGGTGCATAACCCATTCGCTGCGTGTTGATCAGAGGAGCTGTCGCTGAGTCTAGAGCTCAACTAACAGGCTATGAAACCGGCCGACATGCCAGAACAGGCCGTAAATCCGTGTGGAAGGACTTCGAGCCCGTAACCCAACGACGGGCCTGGAAACAGATGCCAAGAATGAGAAACCACGTTGTTCGAGCGTCCGGATAAGGAGATTGATACCAACAAGGATATTCCGGATGAAGGCAGTCCGCAGAATCAAAGCACTCAGTACGTGGAGTTTAGCATCAGCCATGGCGCTCCAGGCAGATCATCTCCACATATTTCATAGCCTAAAGTAAGCCAAGGACGCCATTCGAAACGCACTTGAATACTACCTGAGCAGCCATTGGGACTTGGAACTTTTGCCAATCAGCCTAAAATGGTGAAGCTACCAGGTAGCTCAAAGCGACTAGTCTTTTATCACCAAACCCTTGAGCATCCGAGCAGGAGCATCGGTCAAAGGGGACTTGCGATCTGCAAGACGATTATAGTTATTGGGCAGCCTGATCCCAGATAGTAAGCTGAGCATGGTACCTTTGCTTGTTTGATTAAGGACTCGCTACCGGCAACACCCAGAATGCACCGGCTAATTGCCAAGTACGAGTCAGTGAAACAGGACGGCAGCCTCAATGGCATGATTATCTGAAGCAGCGAGTCAAACACTCCATCGACATGAAACATCCGTTGCGCCGAAGTCGAGGCCTCTGACATAAATTCAGACAGTGCCCGCGTATGACTAGGCGTCTCTCAACTCCCATCGCACAGAATCTGAAGGAAATTTACCAAGAAACACTTCTACGCTCTCTTTCAGAATGCTGTCCAAGCTGTCCGTCGTTTTGCTAGCCAGCAGTGCGCTGGCCGCACCCAGCGAACCTGGAAAGCGCCAGAGCTGTCCCAATATCCATGTCTTTGGAGCCCGGGAAACAACCGCGCCGGCCGGGTTTGGCACCGCCGGGACCGTCGTGGATTTGATCCTCAATGCTCACCCTGGCGCGACGTCCGAGGCAATTGACTATCCCGCAGCTGGAGACAATGCATATTCGTCTTCCGTCCAGCAGGGTGTCCAAGCCGTCGCGAACCAGGTTGCTACGTTTGTGGGCAACTGCCCTGACACCCAGATTGTCCTGGTTGGATATTCGCAGGTATGGGATGCTCACTCCACTGAATGCCATGGTCTCTCAGGCACGTAGGGTATACAAGTGCTAATTCATGATTCCAGGGGGCACAAATCATCGACGACGCCATGTGTGGTGGAGGTGATGCGAATATGGGCATCAGTGACACCTCTGCCGCCATCTCGAGTGATGTCGGATCCCATGTTAAGGCGATGATTTGGATGGGTGACCCCCGCCATACGCCCGGTGCGCCTTACAATGTGGGAACGTCGACTGCATCAGGGGTAGGTCTGTCCGCGAATATAGCCGATGGTGATACTGACGGATGTAGTTTGACCCTCGGTCTGGAGATCTGTCTTGCAGTCCGTATACCAATATCATTCAGTCATACTGTGACCAGGCAGATCCGTATTGCTCGAACGGCAATGACGGGTCTGTGCATCAGGGTTATGGGACGGCCTATGGCCAGGATGCGCTGGAATTTGTCAATGGCCTGTTGGCTTAGTTTGGTTGGGTTGGTGTCTGAGGGCAATAAGTGAGAGTTACTGTCAATTTTGGACTTGTGTATGTCGAGAGAAATGGAAATACCATTTAAGATGTCTCCCTCCGGCTGAATCTAGAGGATGTAAAAATAGGATGGGGCAAAAAATCAAATGCAAAAAGAAATGCATCATCCGTGAATCGAACACGGGCCTCATCGATGGCAACGATGAATTCTACCACTAGACCAATGATGCTTGTTATTGTTTATACTCTCAAAATAATGCAATATAGGATAAAATTAAATTTACTGGCCACAATAGACTATCGTACATGGAGTAAACCACACTTTTTCTCTGAGGGCTGTGATGCGAACTGCAACAGTACCGGTTAGACCCTTATGCATGGCATCTGCTCCACCACTCTTTGTCGCATCCAACATTGAACATACACGGTGGTGTGGTAATATGTACTACAGTAATACCTACTAGGGTCAATTGACCCAAGTATCAACATCCCTACTTCCTATATCGACAAATTGCGTCAACAGGCCACTTAATTTATGCCACACGGACAGGAAATCCTTGGGAGCTAGATATCGCATTGGGGCACACAGAACCTCACTGGAAGAACTAGCGCCCTATGTGTTGTATGGCAGTGCTTACCATGGCGTAGTGGTGCGAAAGACCCACTCATATTTTTCGGGTTGGATGGGAGCTTTCCGTCTATTGAGACTTCTCCTGATCCTTCTTTGGCTAGGGTAGATACTCCATAGAACAGGGTAAGACAGCGTCAAAGGATGTCGACCTGTCCACGCAAAGGTGGTACATAGAGTGGTTATAATACAACCACGAGGGTATTTGGTGTACTCTGGCGCCAAAGGATCAAATCACTGAATGGCCTAGGAGCCAGTGCCGCAAGCTGTGTTGTTCGTGTTGGACCATGTGAGAGCACAGCCCTGATGCAAATTGCAGTGGATAGCTCAGTTCGTGACCATAGAGCCATGGGATGCTTGACGTGCTTATTATTCCACGCACTATGACTAACATTAACTTCATGAAGGACGCATCCGAGGTAGAGTAGGATCATCTGATGGTCATCCACATAACAGAGTGACTACGGTTGCCCCAGAGATCTCGCTATTGCATCACCATACAGATGATAACTCGGCGAACCGAGTAGCGCGTCTTGGCCGCACTACGGCCCATGAAGGATCGGTGGAGCTACACAATCAAGGCAGTGCATGAAGGATGCAGAGAATCCCCTCTGAGCCTCAATGGGACCAAGGGTCGCTGTCCACAGCCACTAGAAACCATCTGGAAGCATGGCAAGCTCACGTGTATGACGCCTGGCGGTTCCGAGTTATCCATTCTCCTAGACGGGTGGTTATTGAACCCACAAGGGCGTTGTTCTTGGCCTGCTAGTCAGGCCAACTGGGTCTGCCGGGCACATTGCGGCAGTGCTCCCGATAGGGTTTCTGGTGTACTGGTGGAAGGGCCAATGGAAAAGTCCATGGTAGGTGTTTTCGTGTTGGTTATGTCGGATGATCCACAAAAACAGCCCGAGGCCGAGTGATAGTCAGGGACTCCCATGGATTGCTCTCAGATGACGGCAAAAGGGAAAGCTGTCGAAAGGGTCCTGTCACGGTGTAAAATGTTACGCGAGATAACGGAAAATGGGGCATGGGGATGGTATGACGCCGCCACGTCGGGCACTTAAAAGCGAGAAGAAGTTCGAGGAGAAGGAAACGGGGCGCGGAGGACGGACGGTCATAGGAGAAGCTAAAGTGCTCCGCCTTGGGGGGGCGGGGACAGACTAACCCCAAAGAGGATACCCATAAGGCGACCTGATGATGTGGGGATTCTCCTAGCAGTGCGTAGTAGTTAGTGAGTAGTACCCTGTAGGTAGGAGGTTAGGTAGTACTACCCTTAGAAGAAGAAGTCATCATTCCCGCGACAGGGTCTTATTTAACCACGCCTCCTCCTCGCGTCCCGCATCGGATTCCATTCCTCTCCATCCTCCATCCCTTTCTCAAGCAAACATTCATCAGCCTGCAACGTTGCAGTCTGCATTCCGACCGATTTCCTGCAACCTTATTTATACCCACCACGTTCCTGTCTGTCGTCGCGATAAGGTCGCTCTTTCGCCTCACTACAACTCTGCGCCCTCGATCGCGATATCCATCCACACCACCACAAACAATATAGACGATTAACTCGGATTCATCCAAAACACAATGTCCACCGCAGAGACTCTCACGCCCACCAACGGAAAGGCACCCGCACAACCGATCGATCATGCCCATGCCCACGCCTCGCGCCTGGTGAACGTACAGCCCGCTCGTCTGGCGGACCTGCAGCCAAGATATGCCCAGAGACTCGAGCATGATGAAGAAAACCCAGAAGCGCACGGGTGGTACGCCGGATTAAGTAAGTCTTGATGGATTCGAACAGAATGACGGCACATCCTCGATCGCGCAGCTAATCAACCGCGTCTTTAGTCCACGGTCTCGGAGAATGTATTGGATTCCTCGGTGCGATTCCGTGCTGCATCTGCTGCCCCAACCCATACAAGCCCGTTGCCCAGGGCGAAGTTGGTCTCGTGTCCAAGTTCGGACGGTAAGTAGCTGTTTCGGATCTGTTATAACACCCACACCGCAGACTAACGCCTATGCTAGCTTCGAGCGGGCCGTCGATCCTGGTCTTGTCAAGGTCAACCCTCTGAGTGAGCATCTTACCGCCGTCGATGTCAAAATCCAGATCGTCGAGGTGCCCCGCCAGGTCTGTATGACGAAGGACAATGTCACCCTCAACCTGACCTCGGTCATCTACTACCAAATTATCTCCCCCCACAAAGCTGCCTTTGGCATCACCAATGTCCGACAAGCCCTCGTGGAGCGCACTCAGACCACCCTCCGCCATGTCATCGGTGCGCGGGTCCTACAGGACGTGATTGAGCGTCGGGAGGAAATCGCGCAGTCGACATCGGAGATCATCGAGGACGTCGCGGCCGGATGGGGTGTCCAGGTCGAGTCTATGCTTATCAAGGATATCATCTTCAGCAACGACCTGCAGGATTCGCTCTCGATGGCCGCTCAGTCCAAGCGGATCGGTGAAAGCAAGGTCATTGCTGCTCGCGCCGAGGTAGAGTCCGCCAAATTGATGCGCCAGGCCGCCGATATTCTTTCTTCCGCTCCTGCCATGCAAATTCGATACCTCGAGGCGATGCAGTCCATGGCCAAGACTGCCAACAGCAAGGTGATCTTTTTGCCTGCTATGAACCAGACTGTCCAACAGCAGCTTGCAGCGGCGGAGAACGCCGGCGAGGGCCCGAGCCGATACGGATCTGGCAGCCAGGTAGATGAGGGATTCCAGCGCGCGATGAACGCTCGTGTGGTTGAGGACATCTGAGCGCACTGTCTTGTCGGAGCGCAAGATGATGGAATTGGTATGAGTATACGTTAATTTGGATCTTCCAATTGTCTTTTAATTATTATTGTGTTTTGCAGGGGGATATGTGCCCGCTGCTTTTCCTGTTTATTTGGAGAACGATACCCACATTCTTTCCTACTAGTCCGACACATGATGTTTGCTGTTTCTATAGGTAGTATGAGCAATTGATTGAGCTATGATTGAATATAATTGTCGGATAAGAGTAGGTACCTAGTCCGTTACATACCTTAGTAGGGAGTACCTTAGTACTGGCGGCGTTCCTGGATCCTTTCCGTATAGGGAACTGTGCAGGCGGTAGCCGTAGCGGGGCCGAAGCAGTAAACGGTCCAGAACGACCCTCATTCTTCCGGCTGAGCTGTCCATCCCTCGTCAGCCATCCCATGCCATAGGAGAAACTCAACAGACGGGCGAACTTGCCCCCCTCAATGCCTCCGCGAAGTCACCAGTCCTAGCCGATCGACGAAATGGCTCCGTCGCAAACCCCTAGCCCATCGCGCGCCGCCCACACCCCGAGTTCACGCACATCCCTCGACATCACCCCCGACTTCACCGATCCATCGTTCGATCCCGCCGACTTCCTCAACGATGTCCTCCCCCCGCTGACGCTGGCGTCATCGCAGTCCCTCGCGCCCCGGGGTCCAGGGGCGGTCTCTCTTCCCGAATTGGCCTCCCAGGTCCAGTCGATTCTCACGCAGATCAACGCACAGAACGTCCGACACTCGAACACCCTGACACAACTGACGGACGAGATCCTCCGCAGCGGGCAGCCGACTCGCCTACGAGGTGGAGGTGCTGCGCGGCGAGACCATCGGGCTCTCCGACACCCTGACCGAGGCGCTCCGCGACGACATCGCCAAGTTCGTCCCAGACGCCCCGTCCGCCCCGTCCGCTCCAGATGACGGCCCATCTGCGGGCGACGAGACCGACAAACACAACGAACCCGGCACCGATGCGGCGGCGGCGCAAGACCCAGACTACATTACGAAACTACGGACGCTGAACCAGGTGCGGTCGCGCCTGGAAGAGGTGGTGCAGACGTTCGGCGACGCGATGGAATGGCCGCTGCCGCCGTCGGAGACGTCGCTGACGTCTTCGTTTATCTCCGTGTCGGCGCCGGAAGCCGGGCCCGAGAGTCACAGTCGCGAGGAGAAGGGCCAGGAGGTGGCCAAGAAGCTGCGCAACGAGGTGACAGAGCTGCTGAACAGTCACGGCGGCGGCCAGCAGGGGCTGGAGGCCGCTGCGCAGCGGGTCGAAGCACTCCGCGTGCTGGCGACGCTGTGGAAGGGCACGGCGGAGGAGAAAGCGCGCGTTCGGTTTGTGGATGGGTTGAGTAAGATGGTGGAGGAGCGTCGTCGGGCGCTGGAGGACCAGGGTCGCTCTGCGCAGTCCCAGCAACAGCGACAGTGGGGTGGTGGCCATCGACGTCAGGAGAGCGAGGGGCCTGGGGGAGGGATCTTCAAGAATTTGCAGCGATTACGGGAGGAGATCTATCTGGAGTAGACATTGATTATATTTCTTCTGTTTCCTTCTTTAAAAGATACAACCGTCGGTGCTCCGTAGCGGATGTATTCGTGAAACGACAGAGGGAAAAAGCCAAGATTGAAGAGACATGGATAGCTCCGAGGGTCGATGACGCGGCGCATAGATCGACGATGAACAGAAGCCGCGTTGAGAATTGTCTGTGTAGGTGGAATTGGTGATTGTGATGTAGTAATAATACCAGTAGCGTCTAGTGTGCAATATCTATGAAGGTGTTTTGCTCAATTCCCTTGCCGTATACAGTCCCACTCTCGATATGGGTATATAGCACCCCTGCCTCGTGCACGAATTGGAAGATATCGTAGCAACATACCTACTACCTACACAGAGCTCATGCAGGCATATCAACCGCTACTATCTTGCCTCCCTCGACTACAGTCCCATTGATAAGAAACACCATGCCCCCGGAAGTCGCGATATAAAGAGTCTTAGTGTCCCCCTGCAATGTCCCAAAAGCAGGTTCAACGGACCCTGCCAACGTTATCTGGTCGGGCTCACCGGCCACATAATCTGAACATTAACAATTCATGTTTGGTGGGTTTTCTTTTATGCAGAACAGCTGAGCCGGACATGAAGACCTCGTTCCTTTCTCTCCTGTCCCTCGTAGCCGGTTCAGCTGCGACTCCAGCTGTCCGAGGTAACGTCAGGGTTATTTTGACACAGCATGCAGGTTCGACAAAGATTTGGCGCGGAGGCGCTCGCCATACCGATAGAACAGAAGCGGCCCTGGAACGAATGCAAGTGCAAGTAGCCCTAGCAATGTATTCCCCCACCCGTAATTCAGGCTATGGTACATGGCGGGCCCCGCGAGTGGCAAAAAGGTACTCGAAATGTATCGTAGAAGATTATTAGCGCCCAGCGCGGAGGCAGCTGCCTGGGATCCAAAAACATCAACTAGGTACAGTTGCGAGGGCATCTAGACAATCAGCTCGTCAGCTTCAGCGCGATTGGTGGGATCCCGTCGAGACGTACAATCACGAAAAAGGCCCCAAACCCCATGAAGACTGTGCCAATGATAGGCACGATCCAATGAACCCTGTAGTATGCCGTCCAGCCGTAGATGATCAAGCCGAGCCCGACAAAAGGACTGAACCAAATCATTAGGAGTAGGCGGTATTCTGGTCGAGCCTGTTGCACCCCATCGGCTTTCATGCGTGCCGCTTGTACCCGTCCATTCAGAACGTTGAAGAGGAGCATGCTAGTGACTAAGGCAACACCTAGGCCTAAGTAGACGAGCCCGGATATGGATGTGCTGAAGCCGTATTGGCCCTCGAACACGCTAGGAAAGGTTGTAAAGAGGAGATACATCACTCCAAACACCAACGCCACGTAGAGAGATATGACGAATAGGATGGGCGATCGGAAAAGGAGCACAGTCGGTCGGATTAGGACCCGAACGAGGACCTGGCATGGGGAGAGCGAAGTACTCCCAAGCTTGGAACGTAAATTCGGTTGGCCAGTAGTAGCATGCAGACGGGTGGCTTTGCGCTCCAAAATGACCTTGGGATGGGTTTCGCGCATGACGACCAGTGCCGTGATGCCGGCGGCTCCTCCCAAGATGGCTAGCAACCAGAACGTCCAACGCCAGCCTGGCCCTGCCGCAACAAAGCCCCCAATTACTGGGCCGAGAACCTAGGCGACATCTTAGCCAATGTCTGTGTGGAATTGAAGGCGTGGTGCGATTAGCGACTTACGGGTCCCGCCAGAGGCCCCATACTAAATAGAGCCATTGCCACAGCTCGTTTCTGGATGGTCGTAATGTCCGCAATCGTCCCTCCACCAAGAGCCATCGGGGTACCGCCAGCGCAGCCAGAGAGGAACCGAAAGATGAGAAACTGCGATAGGCTCTGGCTTAGCGCATTGCCAAGGATAAAGGCCACAAACATGACATTTGCTGCGTGGTAAATAGGCACGCGTCCGTAGATTTCGCTGAGGGGTGACATGAACATGGGTCCAATAGCAATACCCAGCACATACAGTGTGACAGCGAGGGTACTGGCAACACTGGAAGCGATGTCTAAGTCGGCTTCGATTTCCCTGATCCCCGGGGCACACATTGTGGGCGCCATGTTCCTGCAGAGAAATTAGCCATTGCGCAGCCACAGAGTTGCATCAACCAAAGCCTACGTGATAAGAGCCAAGATAGAGACGATGACTACATGCGCCCACCTCTTGGACTCTGGCCAGTTGCGAGGGTTGGTGGGATCGTCATCCCCATCCCAGTCAACGACTTCGGTCTTTGGAAGAACACTGTCTTCCATGCTGCCTTTCTCCAGCTGTCTTGGTGTCATGCTGGTGCTGTCGCAGGCGTGGATGGCCGAGAGAATGAATACGGACGAAGCCAGGAATAGCCATCGATGCGTTTAATAGATAAAAGTGGCCGGAGATAGGACAATGGGCGTTTAGAATCATCTGCAAGATAGGAGCATCGGAGATGTCGCGAAGACAACCTCTCCTCCGCAGTATGCTTTGCCAACCCCAGGTACGGAGTATAGGAGCGGAGGGTCGGAGGGTCGGATCGGACGATCACAGAAGATCCATAGATCCGCCGAGTGGGCCACAATACGAACGAGCGCCATGTGTTCACACTATACAAGGGACGCAGGAAGAGAAGACCATCTCCAAATTGGTAAGCTAAGAGAGAAATATCGCGAAAAGTTGCGCTACGACGGAATAGGCAGACGGAGTGCCTCAGGCAAGACAACCGGATATCAGGTACACCCATCTCCGTTTCTCCTCACCTCACTGATTCAATCATCCAGACGTGAATTCATTCCCCCCAGTCAAGACTATGGATTCCTCCCAGACCGCACAGAAAAGTGACACTACAACTCCATCGCGGCCCCTGTTCAACGCCAGTCGGCGAAGAGAAAAGCCCCAGCTGTCGTGTAATCCGTGCAGGCGTCGAAAGTAAGCCGTCTACCACACCCTTCGCACAGCATGTGGACTAAATCTGATCCAGGTCACGATGCGATCGCAAGAGGCCGTGCACTTTATGTTCTACACGCGGTCAAACATGTACATACCCAGAGAACAGTTCAACTGTCGCCGGTCCAGCAATGACGACTCCGAAAGCGCAACCAAACATGCATGATCGTTTAGTCCAACTGGAACGTCTTGTCATGTCTGTCATGTCTACCTCGGCAGCGGTTGCTGACATGCATGCCAACGCTGATGTACGACAATTGGGGCCGACTCCGTCAGATACAATGCCGGAGGATACTCCAATAGATGGGCGTTCAGAGTGTGGCAGTATGAAAATCAGTGCATCAGAGCTCCTCTACATTGGAGGGGACCATTGGGTTGCCATTCTAGAAGGCATAGCCGATCTCAAAGACCATGTGGATCGAGAAGAACAATTACGGCTAGCAGAGAGTCCAGGTCAGATCGCGGATGATCCCGAGGATAATAATGATGACTCAAGTGCTCCGGGTCGAGATGGCGCGTTCCTCTTGTATGGACGTTGTCGCCCAACATCTCGAGATGATATTCTGTCTGCGCTCCCTCCGAGATACGCAGTCGATCGCTATATCTCCCGCTACTTCAACTACCTGGATCTTGTCTCAGCCGGTAAGTCCCGTCGACGATTTTTATCTGTTGCTAATCGATAGCTCATATGCTTCGGTGATATCCAGCTGCTGTCCATGGACCCGTTTTCTTGCGAGAGGCAAGTACTAGAACTTGATCCTATCATCCTACGCGTCGGGGATCCAGTACTGATAAGCCGTAGTACGAGCTCTTCTGGGCTGACCCTTCGACCGTCCCGATAATATGGGTCGGACTGCTTTTCAGCATGATATGTCTTGCTTGTCTGGCATCGAATCAGCCTGATAACTCCGACACTGAGCTACTGTCCCGGCAGATTGATCTCTATCGTGAAAAGACCGTTCAATGTTTGATCATGGGCGAATATACGAAATCGGGTCCATATGTCCTGGAAACGATCATCAATTATATCTATGCGGAATTCTGCGTTTGTACGGATGCGAACAGAGATATGTGGTACCTCCTCGCTATGGAAGTCAATCTTGCGATGCGCATGGGTTACCACCGTGATCCTAGTCACTTCCCCGGAATCTCACCCTTCCATGGTGAAATGCGGCGGCGAGTCTGGGCAACTGTGCTCATGAGCGACATCATGATTTCAAGCCAAATGGGGATGCCGCGGATGATCTCGGATTGGAAGTGTGATACTGCTGAGCCAAGGAATTTGAACGATGCCGATTTTGATGAGGACACCAAGGAACTACCACCTCCACGACCAGAAACTGAACTTACGACCGCTCTGGGGATTATCGCTCGCAGACGGATGTTGAAGGCACTCGGTATCATTGCAGATCTCGCAAGCAGGGTCAAGCCTTGCTCCTATGAAGAGGTTATGCAGGTGGATCGTATCCTGCATGATGCCGCTGCTAGCATCCCAGCACCTCTGAAGTGGAAGCCGATGGCGGCGAGCGTAACTGACTCTCCACAGGTCATTATAGCTCGTTTATTCATCAGACATATGCTCTACAAGGGCCAGATTATGCTACATCAGCGATTCTTGTGTATGCCGTCTTCGTCTGGCAAGCAGGACGGCTTTGATTACTCGTGGCAAGCATGCATTGATGCGTCGATGGGCACTCTCGAGCTTCAGAATGTGCTTGATGAGGAAACTTGTGCCGGAGGTCAACTGCACGAGATGCGATGGCGAGTCACCTCGCTGATGAATCATCAGTTTCTTACGGCAGCAATGATCTTATGCTCCTTACTCCATAATGGACGAACCAGAGAGAGGAACGATGAAATTCGACGTGCGCTACAACGCGCCAGAGGGATCTGGATGCGTAGAAGCTCCACTTCGAACGAGTCAAAGCGAGCTGCAGACACTGTTGGTATTGTCCTTTCCAGGATGAGGGTTGGTGGGAGAAGCGATCCCAACCTTAATGCAGATTCGGGCGATAGCCTGACTGTACCTGACGCGAGCGGTGACTTTGGTTTGGTGCCAATTAACGCCATACCGGGGAATATGAGTTTCCATGACGGTGGGTCCCACACCTTTATTGGCATACCTAGCTGACGATTCGTAGCTGACCAGTTTATCATGCCAGGAATCCTGGGAGCTGGTATTTCACCTGTTCTAGAGGATCAAAATGTGATTTACAATGCCCATAGTACTGTCCCTCCTGACGACTGGATGTTCATGCATTGGGATAATCCTGGAGGGATATATCACGGTTGATACACGTGCATGGTTCCTTAATGAACTCGATGTTGATATTCCCACACCGAAGATCATGGGTGGTGCATCTCTTGCGGACTTGGTCAAGACTGCTGTTGAAAACATGCCTCAACCCTCAGAGGAGACTGTGTGGGAAGCCCTATCGAGCCAGTGGGAAAGGAGACGCCTTCCCGGTTCCCATCTAAGCAGGGAGAAGTCCTGCTTCGACCTCGTTCAGAGAGGGCACCAACCACCTCCACGCCTCTTTCGTCGGGGAGCCCGATTTCACTCCTCCATCGATCTCGGGGATCGACTCGGGGCCGCACATCTCCGCCGCGGGGTTTCTTCGAGAACGCTCCCACCGGATCGGAGAGACCAGTGGTCATCGATGGGCTGGACTCGGAAGTTAAGAAAATGAAGATTGCTTGGGAGGATCCAAATTGCTATCCTATCATTGTCATCCGTGCCAAGCACATCCCACACCTAACTACCCGGTGTGGCAACGTAATCAACCACCGAGCGACAGATTCTCTGCTATAGCCACCAATTTTTGAAGCTTTTGAACCACCAACACCATTCGAGTTGACTAATTCAATACATGAAGTAATAGCTATTTGCTAGGGTGATTTCGAAGTGTACGGACTATGTCCTACTATCCTATACTCACTGCAGCGTTGAAGCTCGTCAACAAGGCACTGAGTGAATTCCTCAGGCTACTTTACCGTATTAGTAATTAGTATAAAAATTAGATATATTTCTTTTTCTTTCTTTATTTTATTCATTTATTTATTAGTCACTATATCAGATCTATACGGAGTGGCTTTTATTCTAGGGTCTTACTTATAGTAGGACGGCTATCTACTATTGGCTGACTGGGAACCCTGCTGGCGCGGCACTTGGAGTACGTCAGTTGATGGAGAAATTAATCCACCGGCGCCAACGTCAATCATCTCCTAACCGGTCACTTTTGCAACGTAGTACTCAATCCCATCTACTACTCTGGCCTTTTGGTCCCTCGTCTCCTCTCGCGTGGGATGTGCCTTCACTCTCCTCTCCGTCTCTCCCGCCAATTGCCTCCTCATCCTGCGTGCAACCGGCATCTTTGTCGTCATCACTCCCTACCCTCCCGACTGCCTGCGAGAGCCCACTCAACCATGGATTCTGGCGGCCATCACTAAACCGCCGTTGCATTGATTGACCTGTCTTCAGCTTGTACCACCGGAGCGCGTGCAGATGACTTTGACCTCGTTCGTTGAAGCCTGCGTTTTCTGATTCCTCCACCGTCCTATTCACAAAAGGGACAAGCTCGCCTCCAGACGTTTCTCAACATGGCGGCCTCCTGGGCCTCTCCCAATAGCCCTTTGGCCGGCTACTACAAATCGGCCCGGTCGACAGCCACGACGTACTACCAGCAGGCCTGCAATCGTCGTCTGAGAGCCCGTCCGACCAGGACCCTGTTTCTTACGGTCGCAGCATGTTTCTTCTTCCTCGTTATGATATTGCGCTCGTCGAGCGGGGTATGTCTTCCTATCTCAAGTTTAGGCGTTGCAGACAGGTGCTGACTTTTATGTCCTTCTCCACAGACCCAGGTGGATTACTGGGCCAAGTATCCATCATTTCACTTCTTCCACGATCGCCCCGAACATTCCCAGGTCCTCCCACCCCACGGCCCGACGATAGGCATAAATGATACTCTCCCTACGAATTTGACCAAGACCAACCCAGCCTTCCACGTCGCGATCCCCGCCCGGAAAAAGTCCCGCGCGCTTTGTCGCCTGATCACCTCTGCGATGATCCTGAATTATCCGCCTCCGACGCTCGTCCGGTACGGGCGACAGCTCCCCGAAGGCTCGCGGGAATACGATGCCATGGTGGACCGCATAACTGGCATATACAACTTTCTCGCATACACCCCGCACGTGCGGGACGACGATTTCGTCCTCATTGCCGACGGCCAGGACTTCTTCTTCCAATTGCCACCCGAAGTCATGATCCAGCGGTTTCAGGATCTCTTGCGCGAGAACAACGAGAAACTACTGAAGAAATACGGCTTGGTGAAGCTCGAAAGAGCGCCGCGCAGAGCCGGCGACGAAAAAGTTCAGAAATACACGCAGCGGGTGCTCTTCTCCGCGAGCAAGGAGTGTTTCCCCAATCTCCCGAATGACGCGGGCTGCGTCGCAGTGCCGTCGTCCAGTCTCCCGCCTGACGTCTACGGCTGGAAGACCGATCTTCAGCCGCACAAGCACCGGATCCGACCTCGGTGGATCAAACCCGGTGCTGCGATTGGCCAGGCTGGTGACCTGAAAGCCATCTACGCCGAACTGCTGCACTTTGTCGACCAGCATCGCAATGTGCGCGGGGACTATCTTGCGCTGACCCAGATGTTTGGGCGGCAAGAGTATGTGCGAGAGTTGGAACGACGTCGGAGCTCCAGCTGGCTTAAAGAGTTCCTCTACCGACAGATCGGCATCTCCGATGCTTCCAATATCACAGGAGCCGACGACCCTCATCTCGAGGGTGGTCGACGATATGAGTATGGGATCGGGCTCGACTACGAGTCTCGAATCTTCTTCAACATGCTGAACTCCAAGATGGACGTCGAATGGCTGAAGTACAACAACATTTCGAAGACGTCCTCTGTCCAGATGGAGCATGGAGTCCCGCGTGAGCACCGCCTCTTGCTCCCCGACGACCTCACCGCGGAGAAGATCGGTAACCCGTTCACGCAGCCCAAGTTCGCCAAGGACGAATGGGTGAGCCCAGCCTTCAACAAGACGCTTGACAAGCTTCCCAACAGCAAGAACACCTCTTGGCACAACATTCCCCTCCTCACGAATATCCACTCGGCCTCGGTCCCCGCGCTGGTGCATCTAGATGGAGATCCTGCTGTGCGGGACTTCTGGTGGAAGAAGATGTGGTACCAGCCACATGCTCGTGCGCTTCTTCGCAAGTACATGCGCTCGCCGACTGGGTTCGAAGCCGCGCAGTCCGCCATGCTGGGAGGTCAAGAATGGTGGGACCTTCGCGGCGGCAAGGGCGGCCTTTGGACAGATAAAGGCGAGTGGCTCGATTTCGCCGAAGTCTGCACGGGCTTTGAACGTGACCTCTTCGACGATGGATTCGGCAGGTGGGCGCACGAGGGCGGCGATGACGACGAACAGCCCGTCTATAACCAGTTTGGGAATCTGATCAAGGGCAAGGAGAAGTGATGATTGCGAAGTTGTCTACCTGGGAATGTGCACTTCGGTCTTCCCTGGGACTTTCTCTGCATATATTTCATTCTCCTGCACATGCAATATCGCCACTTGCTGCTCTGTCGTGGAATGCATTCCGTGGGTGTTGGGAGTTTGCTTTTAATTTGGATCCTGCTGATTACTGTTTCCAGCTGACTGGCGTCGGCGATCTGTTCTTGTATAACATTTCTAGCTTTTGCTACCCTGTCCCCAGCGGGACACTTGATACCAACATGCATAGAGGAATCGATATGATCTTGAACCCAGAACGTTAGATATCGTACAATACATACATCAGTCAATCAGTCAGTCAGTCATCATCGCCCAAAACCAGAAACCATCACGCCTCGGTCGGCGCCTGTCCTCCCAAGGTCTCTCGAATAATAGCCAATATCGCCGCCACATCCTCGTTACTTAGCCGCTCCTCGCGCTCTTCAATCACCGTATCCAGCAGCGCCAGCGCCCCATAGTCCTCCTCGGGGATCTCCGCAGCCTCTTCTGCGCCTTCTCCACCCTCTGCCTGTCCCTCCCCATCCACATCCATACCGTCGTGGTTATGGCCGTCCCCATTAACCGGCGCCTGCTCCCCGCCCTCCCCACCGTCATCCTGCACCTCCTCACCCCCCTCCTCCTCGGCGGCCTGCTGCTCCCCCTCCGCAGCCGCGGCGCCGCCAACCCCAACCCCCAGATTAAGAATCATCAGCACCTCGCCCTTGGTCAGGCCGTACGGCTGCAGCCGGGCAATGAGCTCGCGGAGGGCATGGTCCAGCGGCGTGGGTGAGTTGTCAATCGGGAGAACGGGCGGGAGCGCGGCCGGATCCGCGTCCGTCTGCGTCTGCAGGCGCTCGAGCTGCTGGCGCTGCGACTCGTGGATGTACGCTGGGTAGTTGAGCAGGTGCGGGGAGAGGCGCGCGACGTAGTTGTGTATCTGGATTGGTGATTGTTAGCTACGCTCCCAAAAAGCTGGCAAATGCTGACGCAAGGCGCGTACCTCTTTGACGACGGTGTTGTGGTCGCGCAGGTCCGGACTGGGAACCCAATGTCGCGAGTTGGGCGGCGGCTTTGGCGGGCGGCGCGGGGGGTTCGCGGTTAGGTAGGCTAGCACCTCGATGTTGGAGAGCACGGCGGATTGGGGGTCAATGATCTGGGTTGTTAGATGGGTCTAGCACGAGGGAGGGGGGATTGCGTACCCTCATTGTGGGGGTTGTGTGTGGGTGAGGGGACTGAGTGAACTGGTGATGCTGAAAATCGAGGCTTTTTTTGGCGGCAGAATGCGCGGGCGGTAGGCTCCTGGTGGAGGGGACTATGCAGTACTCTGTAGTGTATGTATGTTGTATGCTCCCGATCAGATCATGTAGGTAGGAGAATAAGATGAAGGAATAAATTAATATAGGATGAGGAATTAATACTAGTCTAATGATAGATCTCCCACCGGTCTGGGCTGCACGTTCCGACACGCCTCTGCTGCATACCGGTTCCCCCAATCCTTGACCTCTCTCTCCAGCGTCTCCAGATCAACCTTCGCATCCAGCACCTTTCCATCCTCCACAGCATCGACCGGACTAGGCTCCTGCCTCTGGAGTAACTGCAGCACGCGAAACAGCCACGTCCGACACGTCACCCCGAGGTCGTTGAGTTGCGCGTCGTAGCGGCGGATCAGCTGGTCCACGGCGTCGACAGCGCCAGGAGGGACGTCGACGATGCGCAATAGTCCCACGAGCAGAAACGTCTTCAAAATGTTGGACTCAGGCCCGTGGCTGGCCACCCAGGCGCTCTGGCCCCCTTCGTTCGTGATGTGGTATTTTGTGCCGCCCCTGGTGGCATCGTGATGGAAGTACAACGCCCAGTGGAAGTTGTCAGGGACAGGCGGATCGGTGCGCACGTAGAGGGCGATGTAGAGGGTGTTTGGGGTGAGAGACATGTTCATGGTGAATGTCGTGCAGAGTGTAGCGAAGGGTGAGAGGAAATGTCTAAGAGCAAGGAAGACTGCGGCTATAAATCACATTATCCTAACTGCCTTACCAACAAGCACCGCTGCGCCATGGATAGACCAGAAAATTCCATCCGTAAAAGCCATCCAGATCAAACAAACAAACAAATAAGTCAACCCACAAGATGTGTGTGTGATATCATACAAAACTTGAAAATAGATCCATCAGGGTCGCTGCCAACTTTTGTCTTTACTCGTCCTTCTTCTTCTTCTTCTTCTTTTTCTCCGCGTTGTCCACTCCCTCGCCCTCGTCGGACCGCTTGCGCTTCTTGTCATCGCCCTTGGACGCCTTCTTGGCTTCCTTCTTGGCCTTCTTCAAGTCCTTCTTGCTGACCGCCGTCGGGTTGCCCTCCGCGTCGAACTCGATCTCGCCGCGCTCCAGCTTGCGCTGGTACCGCTTGACGCTCAGGCCGGCCTTCTCGGCCATCTTCTCCAGATCAGACTTGCCCTTCTTGGATTTCTTGCTGGACTCCTCTTCCGACGAGTCGGAGTCGGACGCGCCGTTGGCGTCGGCCATCTCCTCATCCTGCACCTCCTCCACCAGCTTCTTCTGCTTCTTGGCGGACTTGGGCTCGTCGTCGACCATCGCATCAGCATCCGCATTGTATTTCCGAGCCTCGTTGATGTCGAACTTCTTGGGCTGCGCGGGCGTGCCGTTGGGGGCGATCGCCACGCCGCGGGGCTTGAGGGGCTTGCCTTCCATGGCGGCCAGTTTCCGCTCCAGGTTGAAGCGGGCTTCCGTACCGAGGGCGGCCTTGTCCTCCTCCGTCACGTCGTCGTCCCACTCGGCGAGGGCATCCACACGGAGACCGAGGGATGCCTTGGCGGCGAGAACACGGGCCATCTTGCCCTTGTTCTTACCGGTGGCCTGGCCGATCAGCGAGGCGTGGTAGATGAGACCGTACTTGGGGGTGTCGTGCTTGGTCTTCAGTGCACGGAAGAGCGCCTTCTCGGCTCCCAGAATCTGGAGCGTCGAGGCCGGGCTCTTGGAGAGATTGGTCAGGCTACCGGCGTGGGCGATGAGACGCGCACCGACCAGTTCGCCGACAAGGGCGGTCAAGTTGGGGGCAATGGCATTCATCCGAGCGGTCAGGTAGCTGGCCAGCTGCTGACGGTACTCGGAGAAGCCGACGACCTGCTCGGCCAGAGCCTGGATGTTCTCCAGATCCTCCTGGCTGATCTCCGTACCCATCGAGCGGTCCGCGGCGGCCTTGACGGCACCCTCAATCTCCTCGGGGAGGATCTCGGCAAGGTCGGCGGACTCGAAGTTGGAGCGCATGCCCATCTTCAGCACGAGCTTGGCGTAGGCAATGTTGTCGTTGAGGATCTTGGCCAGTTCGGGGAAATGCCAGCCGTACCATTCCTTCACACGCATGGCGTAGTTGTTCAACTCCTTGTCCAGATCATCCAGCAGGGCGATGGCCTGCACAATCATCGTGTCGATTTTATCCGGCGAGAACTTGAGCTTGTGACGGGCGAGTGAGTGAGACAGACCCAGAGACATGGTGGACATATCCTGGGGGAGAAGGCCGGGGATCAGGGTGGGCAGGTGTTCACGGATGGCACGGTAGATGTCGGTGGTGGTCGAGTCCGCAACGAGCTGGATATCAAGACCGGGAAGCTTGCCAATGGCGTTACCTGGAAATTATTAGCCTGGTTTCCATCGTCAGAGGCACCCGAAAGACATACCGAGCTTGGGGTCGGCCACGGCCAGCGAGACCTTCTTTTCATCTTTGATCTCGTCGAGAAGTCCGGCAAGACGAGGGGTGACTTTTCCTTCCACGAGCGAGGCGACTTCCTCCAGAGCTGTAGCGGCACTGTCGAATTTCTGGAAGCTCTTCAGCTTCAACCTGTAGATGATGAGTTAGACTGATTGTTGCTTGTGGAAAAATTTTGTGCGCGTGAAACCATCGACACATTTCCTTCCACAGAAAAGAGACAATCCCACTTACAGATTCGACACGCCCTCAGGAGTGGCAGTCTCCGTGGACAAATCATCCCTCTTCAACAGCTTCTTGTCCTTGGCCTTCAGCAGGGCATAACCCGCGCTGGTCTCGGTGAGGATGAAGAGAGTCATGGTGCACGTTCTCAATTCCCCGCGACGTGTATTCTAAAAGCAAAAAACAGAAGGGAAAAACGAAAACACCAGCTCTAGAGGAGCAATGCAAAAGAGTCGGAGGAGGGAAACGGCCGGGCGTGGACGAAGCCGGAGGTGCTGTTGGAGAGAAGGTGATCTCGTCGCAGCGGGAAATTTTTACAAACTAAAAAAGTTGAAAAAAAGCGAACTCCACCAGCCACACCCGCCGCCCATCGGTGTGGCGGTGCGGTGCCCGCTGACTTAAGCAGCGGCCGCCAGCCACGTGACATCTCACGGGGAAGGCCAGACGAGCTCCAGCTGTTGACTACACTAGGTTATACTCGGTACAAAACGCAGACATCGTAGCTCTGGCAGCTGCTCTCAATCCATCTTCTTCCCACCATGGAAGGCCTTTTCTTTAACGTCAACAGCGGGTAGGTATATGCGCTTCCTCGTCGGACTTCCCTCCAGACTGACACCCGTCGCAACAGCTTTGTCGAAGGCATTGTCCGAGGGTATCGGAACACCCTCCTCACCGGCCAGAACTACTCCAACTTGACCCAATGCGAGACGATAGATGGTGCGCTCTACTGTCCCTGCGATCGTTCGAACCTGCTCTAATCATCTGGGTGCCCTGCAGATGTCAAACTCCAGCTTGCACCCGCCTACGGCGACTTCCTCGCGGCTCTCCCTCCGAACCCCTCCACCTCCGCCCTCGCCGGCAAGATGACGGACAAGCTCGTCGCAGAGTTCCGGTACCTCATGGCCCAGGCGACCGGCTCGACCGCCAAGTTCCTGGAGTACCTTACGTACGGGTACATGATCGACAACATCGCGCTCCTGATCACGGGGACGCTGCACGAACGGGACACGCGCGAGCTGCTGGAGCGCTGCCACCCGCTGGGCTGGTTCGAGACGCTGCCTGTGCTGTGCGTGGCGACCAACATCGAGGAACTGTACAACTCCGTCTTGATCGAAACCCCGCTGGCCGGCTATTTCAAGGGCAGTCTCAGCCACCAGGACCTCGACGAGCTGAACATCGAGATCGTCCGCAACACCCTCTACAAGAACTACCTCGAGGACTTTCACCAGTTCGTCAACTCCCACCCGGACTTCAAGGGCACCCCGACGCAGGAGGTCATGTCCGAGATCCTGCAATTCGAGGCCGACCGCCGCGCCATCAACATCACCCTCAACTCATTCGGCACCGAGCTGTCCAAGCAGGAGCGGAGGAAGCTGTACCCGGAATTCGGCAAGCTGTACCCCGAGGGGTCGCTCATGCTCTCGCGCGCGGACGATATCGAGTCCGTCACCCTGGCCGTCAGCATCTCCGCCGACTACAAGGCCTTCTTCGATGCCGTGGGCCTCACCCAGGGAGGCGGTCTCGGCGGCATGGGCGGTGGCTCCGATGGGAAGAGTCTGGAGGACTTGTTCTACCAGAAGGAGATGGAGATGTCCAAGATTGTGTTCACCCGGCAGTTTACCCCGGCCGTGGTGTACGCCTGGATGAGGTTAAAGGAGCAGGTAACGACCCAAAGTTTAACAGACCGTTTCTTATAAGCATGCTGACCCCAATCAGGAAATCCGGAACGTCACCTGGATCGCCGAGTGCATTGCCCAGAACCAGAAAGAGAGAATCGGAAATTTCATTTCCGTTTTCTAGATGCCCTCCTCTGTGACTTTATTTCGTTGCGTTTCCGTCGTGTTCATGTCTAGTACCCGATATCTGTAACCAGCGCATCAAATCCGGGGCATACCCTGCCAGCTTTGTTTGCGATCTCTTCTGCTTTGCTTTGGGCGTTGGGGAATTTCTCATTTGCTTCCTGTGACATACTTCTAGTATAGATGATCAGAACATCTCCGTCTCTGCGGGAGACTTTGGAATTGATCTCGTATAGGCTTTTGAAAAGTGCTTTTTTTGATGGCGTAATGCTAGTATGGCAAACATAAGACAAATCCAAAAGCGTTCTAAATGCGCCAATGATTGAAGCTTTTCGCAGCAACCTCAACTCGTATTACACATGAAAAAAGGCCTCAGTCAAACACACCGTATGCTTGAAGCTGAAGGTCCAGCAAAGATGCAACCGCACGTTCAGAGAACAAAAAATGAAATAACCAACCCCTCCATGATGAGCATATGTATATAGAGCAAACAGCCGGTGAAAGAAAGAAAGGAAACAACCATCACCCCAAGAGACCAGAGGAGGCTAATGGTACAGAGAAAAAGAAAAACAGTCTTGACAGGCGGATTTACCGACCTATCGTTTTCTAGCTTCTTGCCTTATATTCATCTGATAGATTCAAGCAGAGACACTAGATATGCGACTGCGAGGCAGAGAAGATGCGTAGAAAAATCGATCCAGTGTAGCAGCCCAGCAGCATAACCGTGGTCTAGCAAAAAAGAAAAATAAAGCCAACAAAAATCCTAGAGTATATGGGCCCGGGTCGTCGCTCCTTTTTAAAGAAAAATTCATTCAGACATCTTCAGCGAAATTCGCAAGCAATTAGAGAAAACATTCAAGGAAACACCGTTAGTCGTATTGGAACAGAACACTGATACTTTCGCCGTGGTGGACGCGACGGATGGCCTGCAGAGTGTGAGAATTAAGGTTTCGATCTAATGTATGCAGGTTCGTTACTTACCTCGGCAAAGACGTGCCCGACCTCCAGAACCTCCAGCTTGGGGCATCGTCGCAGGTGGTCGGCCTGGTCAACACTGTTGGTCACGACGACCTTGTCAAGGGCGCTGGCGTTGATCCGATCGATGGCGTCGCCACTCAGAATGCCGTGTGTCACCAAGGCGTAGACGCAGGAAGCGCCCTCCTTCTTCAGGAGCTTGGCGGCGCGAGTGATGGTGTTCGACGTGTCCGCAAGGTCATCGATGAGGATGGCGGTGCGATCCTTGACATCTCCGACCAGCATCATGGTGGCATTCTGGCGGTCTGTGATCTTGGTGGGGCGGCGCTCCTGCAGTTTGTTAGGTTAGCCGGCAAACAAAATGAGAAAAAGCAATTCACCAACCTTGTGAATCAACGCAAACTCCATCCCCATGGAATCGGCGATAGCGGTAGCTCGTTTGGCACCACCGGCATCGGGGCTGACCACAACGGCGTGCTTGTAGTTGGGGATGTTCCGCTGGATGTAGGTCTTGAGAAGAGGACGTCCATACAGGTTGTCCACCGGGATGTCGAAGAAACCCTGGTATTGAGGATCGTGCAGATCCATCGTGATGATATGGTCCGCACCGGCGCAAGTGAGCAAGTCGGCCACCAGGGTACCGGCTTGAGCGACCCATTGCTTGTAGCCCGGGCGTGGCTGGAAGTTGTTGATCTTGACTGTACTGTCATCGGTACTGGGGAGAGTGGCGTCCGACTTGGAGGACTCGAGGGTATCACTGCGGGAGAGCCCGTTGACCGGGCGCTTCTTGACGGGACTGCCATTGCTGACATCTTCTAACTGCGCCTTGGCGAGACTCTTTTGCAAGTTGTCGACGCCATTCAGAAGGCTTGCGCTCTCGGCCTTTCCGGGATGTGGGGTAGACGGGGTACTCTCGAAAGTATAGCCGTTGGAGTTACCCGACTTTTCCGAGGGAGAAGATTTGACCAGCGGAGCTCCGGTCTTGTTGTACGGGATATCACTCTGGCGAGAGTAGGGGAATAGCGGAAGCACCGCGGTCACTCTTCTGGCGGAGGCGGTCTTGCAGGCGGAGATGGTGATGAGGAGCTCCATCAGATGGTCATTCACCTTCCCACCACCCGACTGTATAATGTAGACATCCTTTCCGCGAACGGATTCCTGGATTTCGACTCGGGTTTCGCCGACGGAGAATTTCGACAGTAGCACCTCGGCCGGAGGGATTCCGAGGACATTGCAGATGGTCTGAGTCAGTTGCGGGTGGGAGGTGCCACCGATGACGACGATATTGCGAACCATGGTGACCTGAGGGGTAGAAGGGAGTTGTTTGGGGAAATTGGGGGTGTCGAGGAGGATCGAAGTAGGAGGCTGTTTCGGAAGCGGGGAGGAGCCAGGAAAATCCGACGCAGTGGTGGTGAATCTGGAGGGGCGGTAGGACCGGTGAGAGGAAGTACGCAAGTAGTGATGACGATGCAAGGAGGACCAGAAGAAGAACACCAGGACAACGAGCGGGACGGACAAACTACCTCATCGCGGGGGGCTGGAGAGACAAGCCAGAGGGACTGGAGCAGCAAGACATTGAGAGAGGAGGAAGAAGAAGGTCGTGTGAGGGCCGCGATCAAAGGCCCAGCGAAAAAAAAATGCCTCTTGGGGCCGAGTGGAGCCCCGTCGCCTTGTCGCCTGAACTCTCAGGCCGCCAGAGGGTTTCTGCCGTTCCGGATGGGGCCGCCGCCTGCCTGCTTGGGAAAGGTGTCGACTCCAACAGTGGCCGAAAGTCGCCAGTTTTTCCCGGTTGCCCCGCATAGCAATCCGTCGAGATGAAAACAACAGGTGAAGAATTGTCGATCCCATCCGTGGTTCCTGTTAGCGAGTGAGTGTGGAACGGTCATCATCAAAACAGCATGCAGCAAATGGTCAGCCAGACAGCGTTACGAGAAGCGCCATAGTAGCGGCTGCATTACAAGAAGAAACACAACAGGAGCGTCCGCATGGTCTCCATTGAGCCGGTAGGTACATGGAAACGTGCCTGTTCCCGAGACAGAAAAGGAAATCCGCAAGATAGTAGTAGTCCCACGAAAGAGTATGCCCTATTGCTCCTGGTCCAAACAACCGTCGCTTTTCGAGCTGAGAAACCAATATGAAATGCAGTCCAGGAAAAGTCATGATTTCATGGCATATTAATATAGTACAGTCTTAATCGCCGGTTCCGACTTCCCTGTAGATGGATAGATTAGAATCAAACCCGGGCCATCGAGAAAGGCAAGAGGATCAAGAGTGTTGCTCACAAGTCAAGCTGAGAACCATGGGAGATGGAGTAGTCAGCTAGCGTCAAGAAATCTTTGAACGGACGTTCGCCCTGGCGCTTCAAAAGAATCTCCTATAACAAGCATTAGCGCCATGCAATCGGACTAGGTTTGAGTAGGACTTGCATGAGTCTCGCGTCCAATTCTTGCCGCGACCTGCGCCTTGAACAGTTCTGTACCCACAGTTAGCTATCGCAGGACCAACCCCAGATAGGACAACGCACTGATCGGATCAGATCCAAGACAAGGGATCGCAGCCTTTGTGCCTAGACGGTCATTGACATAGACCACCATCGTGGGCTCAGTGGCCTCTGCGACAGCCGCCTTCTTCTTCTTTTCCTTCTTCTCCTTCTTTCTTTCCTTCCGTTCATCCTTATCATCGCCCCCTGGACGACTTCGCTCGCGGTCGCCTTCCCTGTTGCGGTCTTCGCGTCGGTCGGACTCTCTTTCTCGCCGGGGGGACCGTTCCCTGTATCCTCGATTCAAGCGGCGCTCATCGGCTTCCGGTCGGTCGTTGTCATCGCGTCGTTTGTCTTTCCACCGAAACCCACCGGACTTCTTGGGGCGGTCTCTGTCGCCTCCAGACCTCCTCCCGGGAGATCTGCTTCGCGAACGTTCGTCCATTGTGGTTGGGTTCAGATCGTGAAAGGGATTCAAGTGAGCTGTCAGTAAGCTCGGGAGTTGGATGCGACGGGGCCTAACGCACGTGATGCTGTATAGCGGCCCGGTACGATCTAAGCTAGTCCAATTAGGGATTATTTCTCCAAAAGTGGCAAGTGAAGTATACCGTGCCTTTATTGATTTTACAAGGTATTCGCCAGTAAGTGAGGCGAAGTTTGATAAATGAAAGTAGTTTCGTGAAAAAATCCAGGCCTACTTTGCTTTAATGAAGACATATTCATGGAATGAGAAACAGTCGATGCTACATTCCAACCCCATGGAACCAATCCTCCTCCCTAAGCTCCCTCATCAACCTGTAAACGCTGATTTCGCACTCTTTAAAGTAACCTACCATCTTTCACACATTGGGATCAAATTGAGACTGCAGGCTTCAGCAGGGCAATTTCTTCCGGGACCACTTCATGAATGTCGCTTCATCTAGGAGGTCGGGGCGGGAGATAAATTGGTGAAGAGCATGCCCTTGCCAGACATGGATGGCGTTACGACCATAGTCCTGTTGATGTTAGGTATCATGAATCGAAGGGAGTATTTAGTTCAATGTACTGTTGCCAGGAACATGGCCTTATTGTACTTTCGATTCCGGGTAGCTCTACTTGGGTGGAGAACCGGATAACGAATTCCTGAAATATTAACTAGACTCGAGAGGTTGTGGGACCTTCGTATATGAGGATGGTGCCGGCAAGCACCTACTCTCCAAATCAAAAGGTGTCTTCTTTGGCAAAATCCATCGTATGTCACGCCTCGGGAACAGCTTGCTAATTTAGGAGTGACAGGGAGAGCCTCATCCTCGAGCGTTGGAATGAGTCCATGTCGTGTATGATGGGCAGCAGAGATAAAGATGCCAGATCATATAATAACCAAGCAAGATAACAGCAATACTACAGCAATACACATTATGTGACAGACTAGTTATGATCCGCCGGCCAAGATATACCCTTCCTGCCACTTAAAGGCACTTTCTAGCATAGTCACTTTACCAATACCCCTACTATATGCGGGAGTGGATTAAATCGACCCTCATTTGAACCAGGACGTAAGTTGGTCGACGTCCATTTGCAATTGTGCAAGAGGGTCTCTTTTGTATCTCGAGTCATCGAGCACCCGTCCAGACATAGAGGCCAGACGGTATTAATCCCGGCTTTTCAGAATCGACCGATCAGTTCATCATGATTTTACCTACCAAGAGTTCAATATAAACTTACCTTGCCAGGCGCCCGCCACGCTCCATTTGTTGCTTGCTTTGACATGTTCGTACACGAGCCACTGTCCACCGTGCCGGAGATACGAGTATAGTAGTCTCACTAGGGAATCCGGTGCTGCGACACTACACAGCACATGAACCGTGCTGATCGTGTCGACCGAGCCGTGCTGCACACCATAATCTTTGAGGTCCTCGGTTCGCCTGACGATCTGACACTTCTCCTGCAATCCGTACTCCCTCACTCTTTTCTGTAGGTCAGGGTGGAAGGCCGTGTTAGGCTCAACCAGGTAGAGCTTGGATATATTACTATTTCTCTCTTCTGAAAATAGATATATCCAATCCCCCGACCCAGTCCCGATGTCTAGGACGACTCCGTGGGCGGCGGATAGGACCTTTTCGACGTCGGGAGCAAATAAAGCCCTGGAGGCCATGCCAAAAAAGGACCAGAACCGGGAGAACCAGGCTTTTTCGAAAGACGTCCAGGAAGATAGCTCGGAGAATTTCCCATCTTTGAGCAGGAGTAGAAGTGTCACTGGAAGGTATAAGATGGCCAAAAGTAGAACAAATACGGGGACTAAAAGGTCAAAGATACTGAGGTTCAACATGATGGTAGCCGAGATAAGATTAAAGTATGGGTTCGAGATTTATGTGAAGAATTTGTCGAATGTAATTCTCCACAAGAGCGAGGAACTATACTGTCTAGACTTATATCACCTGCAATTCGTCTGTGGTGGCGAGTGTTCTCGTAGTCTTCAGCAGGATGACAGTGACGTATACAGACGTGATCATTCCCCAAATACCTGGAGACTGCATCTGAGACATAGTACAATGGCATTCGACGAGGATAAGTCTGGACCTGGTCTGGACCTTGAATATCGAGCCATAAAGTAATTAGACTCCAGGTGGCTGATAGCAGCTGATCGCCCGTATCCGGCCATCTTACCACAGCCAGACGACCCCAGGTAATCCTATGGCCCCAACCACGGCTTCACGGCGCAAATGTCACTGGGAGTTTTGTCTAATTAATGCTAATTTGGTTGGATGCAGAAGTCTACCAAAATATCCGATTCTGTGTGAGAGAGAACTACATAGAATGTAAGCCCGCGCAAACGTTTCACCCAGGCCGCAATGATAGATGAGCCCACAAACCACCCAACCACCATATCAATCATTAAGAACCCTCGTAACAATTGCTTTTATGCCAAAATTGCCTTCGTCAGGGTATGGGGTTCCGAAATCACGGACGAAGTCGATATCTTTCTTCGAAGTCTGATAGAGTTCAAAGTCAAATCGGCGTATCATCGTTGCAATGACGAGGAAGAGTTCCGCATAGGCCAGGCTAAATGCATAAGTCAACATCAATATCAAACACATGTAGCGAAGTCGTCTTACTTCATCCCTAAGCAGATCCGGCTCCCTTTGGAGAAGTTGACAAGGTAACGGTCTAATCGCTCTCCCTTGGCAGCAGCTCGCATCCATCTTTCAGGATCAAAGACGTGAGGTTCAGGGAAGATGTTCGGATCCATCAATATAAAATAGTTTGTCTCGCTGACCAGAGTCTATGACTGTAAGTAAGTCCGCTCCATCGACAATAATATGGGTAACTTACCCCCGGAGGTATCACATAACCTTTATATTCCAAAGCCTCGGTAGGTGCTATCCGTGGAGATCGACTTGCGATTCCGGTTGACAGACGCAGAGTTTCAAGGACGACTCCAGACTATATCTCTTAATCAGCAAATCCCCGACATCGTATGTACTGGAGGCCATCGCGCGTACCAGATATGGCAGCTTCTCAAGCTGGTTCCAGGTCGGCTGGCTATCAGGTGCCGGCATGACCTGCCGTAGCTCTTCTCGCAGCTTTGTTCTCACGGGCTCATTGGTGATCAGATTGTAAAAGCAGAGAGACAGAGACCGGGCTGTTGTCTCTGTGCCCCCGATAATCAACGAGAACCCTTCATTCATGAGGCGCTCCGGTGTCCTCATGTTCGCCGGCATGGACGGCCCAGCAATAGCGTCGATAATCGAACCTCTGCCAGATTTTGTTCCGCTATTATGCAGAGCTGCTACTGCTCTCTGGTACAGATCGTGTTTTTGACTCGCCATGGCGAACGCAAACGGGTTCACCTTTTCCAGCAGCCATAGAGGCATGGCGTTGGTGATTGTTTGCAGAATGGGGAAGAAAAACATGACATGAGCCATGCGGAAGAGCCCACTTATTCCGTCCCGGACGTGCTCGTTGAAGTCTTCAGCGTCGAGGTTTCCGCTGTTGAAGCCCCAGGCATACTGGTGGATGACGTCGGATGCCAGGCCAGCGAATCCCGCATCCAGACTGACGGCTCTGTGCGACTCGCAGGCGTCTTGGAGATGTCGGGAGAGCTTGTCCAGACACTCGTGAATGATATGTTCCATGTTGGTGACGGCTTGTTTGGAGAAGAATTTGTCGAGTGGTGCGCGGCGCTGGCGATGGTCTTCGGGGGAGACACTTGAGAATGCAGACCCGTCGAGGCCGAATTGCGCAACTACCACGGGATCTTTTTCGCGCTTGCGTGCGCTAGAGGCATAGATTTCGTCGTAGTAGTCTGGATCCTTGATATGGATTTCCCGCGGGCTGACCCGTATAATGGGGCCTATAGGTACAGCGTATGAGCAGAGCGGTACGTTTTGTAAAGGGATGTTATCAACCTTACTGACCATACTGCTGGTGCATCCGCTCGATCTCCCAAATGAACATGCCGCGCCGGACCACGTTGTAGTAGAACTCATAGCCACTGGTGATTGCAGCCAATTTTGGACCGGGGAACTTGCTTAGGGGATGGAAGTAGAGTCGATATATGCTTCGCAGGGCAAACCAGACGATTATACTGGCAAGTCCCCATAGTATAAGAGAGGCCATGGTGAAGGCTGGAGGAAGGGCCGATAGTAGAGGAATATGTAGAAGACGGTATGCGACAGGGCAGTCTGGGCTTAAAGAGCCATGAAATACGGCGGTCCCTTTGCCCTACATGTGAGGAGTTATGCATGGGCCCTGCGATAAACCAGTGGCATTCTTCATGCATGTCAAGTTCTGATAGCTAGGGGGGATGGTGGCAGAAATCTGCAAGAAAAGCGGCGCTAGCGTTGACGGTCGTGAAACTACTCGGTCTCTATCTAGGGGTCGCCTCTGAATGAGCTCTCAAGAGGGGTCAGATAGCCGATAGATGCGCTAGCTACCTGATCGTCCGTCATGGATGGAGGAATTGCTCGGCTCTTCTTGCCCAAAACTAGTAACCAGCGCCTTCAGACTAAACTAGCACGAGGGAACCTGAGATGAGGACTTGGCGTGATTTTGGCCCAATTTTTCGAGTCTCTTATACTTCCAGTAAGACGTCAGGCTGAAAGGTGCTCGATAAGGGGTGGCTAAGTATACATAAGACATTGATCTGCTTTTCGGCATCATGAGTCTAATAAATACTAGGTACCATATACTATGTCGGCACACGTGAAGTGACTAGTGGAGGTGCAGTGCTGACGTGCATTAACACCCCCACTATCACCACATCACCACCTCAAACCCAAGAAGCCGCAGATATTCCCCTATCAACAGCCGAGAGATTGATTCGAATCGAGTGCAATGGTAAGCTCCCACTACCTGACTACATCCGGAGAACCAGATCTGAGTGACGGAGTCCACCAGCGTCGTCTCTGTCAGTGTGTCCCCGACGCACTCCTTTTCCAAGAAGCCCGTTGCGGCCATCAGGCTGATCCCGGGACTGGGAGTTGAGGGCGACGCTCACCTGGGACGGACGGTGCAACACCGGTCCCGACTACATATCAAACCGCCTCCGCCGAACCTCCGTCAAGTCCACCTCATCCCCGCAGAATTATTTAACGAGGTAGCAAATGCAGGCTCTCCGCGACTCCAACCTGGAGACCTGGGTGAGAACGTGACCACCCAAGGCATCAACCTGAAAGGACTGTCTCGGGGCACGAAGCTTCGCTTTGTGTCGGCCACCGGCGGCGGCGCAGGAACGAATGCGCCCACCGTGGTGGTGACGGGACTACGAAACCCTTGTCCTCAGATCGACAAGTTCCGGGCTGGGCTGAAGGAGAAAATGATCGTTCGAGACGAGAGCCGACAGATTGTTGGCCGTCTGGCGGGCGTGATGGCGACGGTGGAAACGGGCGGGGAGATCACTCCAGGCATGAAGATTCTGGTGGACGAGCCGGCCGTGCGTCTTCCTCTGGAATGTGTGTAGGTCCGATGCAGGCGAATGCTAGTTAATGCTGGTAAATTCTACTGGTGACAAGCTGTCAACTTGAAACTGCGTGATAGAGCGCGTGGATATGGATATGGATAGGGCTATCGGGGGCAGATGCGGGGATCCCCGCAGGCCCCCACCAGCCGGGGAGTCTCCGCCGTCATATTGTTGCCCGCAGTCTCGGCGTGTTGGGAGAATAGCGTCCAGAAGTCCATTTAAACATGAATACGACGTAAAGATGGAACTGGGGCACCTCGCAGATACTTATATGTAGTCACTGCATGGTCTCCTTTATTCCACTCTGTTTCTTAGAGGGTACAGGCATAGATTTCTTTCTTTGTTGACATTGTTTTTCCAAGTTCATTATGCCGGAGACATTCGATGTAGAGCATGTTCTCGCGAACATCAGCGAGCAAGACAAGATCGCTCTTCTATCTGGTACACGAACCCAGCTGACTTTGGCACCTCACTCGCTAACAGCCCTAGGGATCGACTTCTGGCACACACATCCCATCCCCGAATTCAACGTCCCCTCGATCCGCACCACCGACGGCCCCAATGGCATCCGAGGCACCAAGTTCTTTGGCGGCATCCCCGCCGCATGTCTGCCCTGCGGCACAGCTCTGGGGGCAACCTGGGACCGAGATCTGATATACCAGGCGGGGAAGCTGTTGGGCGACGAGTGCATTGCGAAAGGCGCGCATTGCTGGCTGGGCCCGACCATCAACATGCAGCGCGCCCCCATCGGCGGCCGCGGGTTCGAATCGTTCGCGGAGGACCCGCATCTCTCGGGCATTCTGGCCAAGTCGATCATCCTCGGATGCGAGAGCAAAGGGGTAATTTCCACGGTCAAGCATTTTGTCGGCAACGACCAGGAGCATGAGCGCCGCGCGGTGGATGTCCTCGTCACCCAGCGCGCCCTGCGCGAAATCTATCTACGACCGTTCCAGATCGTGGCGAGAGACGCGAAGCCCGGCGCACTCATGACATCGTACAACAAGATCAACGGGAAGCATGTGGTGGAGGACGCGCGCATGCTCAATCTGGTCCGCGACGAGTGGAAGTGGAATCCGCTCGTCATGAGCGACTGGTACGGGACCTACACGACCATCGACTCGATGAATGCAGGCCTCGACCTGGAGATGCCGGGGGTGTCCAGGTACCGCGGGAAGTACATCGAGTCAGCTGTGCAGGCTCGCCTGATCAAGCAGTCGACGATCGATGCGCGAGCGCGAAAGGTGTTGGAATTCGTCAAGCAAGCGAGTCAAGTCCAAGTGTCGGAAGTGGAGCGAGGACGGGATTTTCCAGAGGATAGAGCGCTGAACCGCAAGGTCTGTGCCAACAGCATCGTGCTCCTCAAGAACGAAGACATCCTGCCCCTTCCAAAGGATGTCAAGAAGATCGCTCTTATCGGGTCTCACATGAAGACGCCTGCCATATCGGGCGGAGGCAGTGCGTCGCTGGAGCCATACTACTCTGTCTCGTTATACGACGCCTGCACGGAAGCACTCCCCAACGCAGAGGTGCTCTATGAAGCGGGCGCATATGCCCATAAGATGCTCCCTGTGATTGACCGTCTCCTGAGCAATGCTGTCATCCATTTCTACAACGAGCCGATGGGCAAGGAACGACATCTCATCAGCACCGAGCCTGTATCGACGACGGCCTTCCAGTTCATGGACTACTATGCCCCCGGTCTCAACCGGGGGCTATTCTGGGCCACACTGATTGGCGACTTCACGCCCGACGCATCGGGGCTTTGGGACTTTGGCCTGAGTGTCTTTGGTACCGCAAACCTCTACATTGACGACGAGCTCGTGATCGACAACACCACAAACCAAACGCGCGGAACGGCCTTCTTCGGCAAAGGCACTGTTGAGGAGCTCGGATCAAAGGAGCTCGTTGCTGGGACTACATACAAAATTCGGATTGAGTTCGGCTCGGCCAACACCACCACGATGAAGACGGTGGGCATGGTGAACTTCGGTGGCGGCGCCGCCAATCTGGGGGCGTGTCTACGGATGGACCGGGATGAAATGATCGAGAATGCTGTAAAGGCGGCGGCCGAGGCCGATTACACCATTCTCTGCACCGGGCTCAACAGGGACTGGGAATCCGAAGGGTTCGATCGCACGCATATGGATCTGCCTCCGGGCGTGGACCGGTTGATCTCGAAGGTGTTGAAGGCAGCCGCTGACAAGACCGTCATCGTCAATCAGTCCGGAACCCCGGTTACCATGCCGTGGGCGGATCAGGCGCGGTGCATCGTGCAGGCCTGGTACGGAGGGAATGAGACGGGGCATGGGATCGCCGATGTCCTGTTTGGAGAGGTCAATCCATGTGGGAAGTTGCCCTTGTCCTGGCCGGTGGATGTGAAACACAACCCGGCCTATCTGAACTACGCCAGTGTGGGTGGCCGGGTGCTGTACGGCGAGGACATCTATGCGGGTTATCGCTTTTACGAGAAGACCGGACGAGAAGTCCTCTTCCCTTTTGGGTGAGTTGGCTCTCCACGAAGCTGCCTCGTGGCACGCAGTCTCATCTAACATATTGCAGCCACGGCCTGTCGTATACGACCTTCAAGGTCTCGCCGAGTGTCACCGTCACCCCAGAGATCTTCAACATGGGCCGTCCTCCGGTCGCCACCGTCCAAATTAAGAACACGGGCAAACTGGCGGGAGCCCAGATCCTGCAGCTGTACATCTCTGCCCCCGAGTCCCCCACCCCACGCCCGAACAAGGAGCTACACGGGTTCGAGAAAGTATTCCTGCAGGCGGGGGAGGAGAAAACGGTGGAGATCCAGCTGGACCGATATGCGACCAGCTTCTGGGACGAGATCGAGGACATGTGGAAGAGCGAACAAGGGACGTACGAAGTGCTCATTGGCACCTCCAGCCAGGACGTGGTGGCCCGGGGCAAATTCCAAGTGGAGCGCACCACGTATTGGCGGGGACTCTAAGGATTCATCGTCTCGTCCAGAAAGCCTCGTTTGGCTCAATTGCCCGGCTAAATGAGACCGTCTCGGCTTGATTGGAGGGATAATTCAGCCATCGTCTGACTCTCAGACACCGAACTCCATCGCCAATCCCCGGCATCGTCGTTTTCTCTCTTGTCTTGGCCTGTCATCACCGTGTCTTTCTCCGGCTATCTCCCGTGTCTCCCGCCGGAAGTCCTAGCAGGAAGAATGCACGCTTCTTCGACTCCGCGACCTCGCAAGCACACGCGGGTGCTCACCGCGTGCGATGCCTGTCGTCTCAGCAAGACTCGATGCGACTCGGCCCGGCCAGTGTGTGCCAAATGTATCCAGCGGGGTGTAGCGTGCGAGTATCCGGAGACGGATGCCATCTCAGTGTCGGTTCCCATAGAGCTTTCCATTAGTCGAGGCATCTAATGACCACCAATCCTACCTAAAGTCTAGAAACATGGGGCGCAAGAATCCTAGACGCAGTAGAACGGCAAGAGCGGCTGCTTTCAGAGAGCCTGGCCACAACCCGGGGGCCTCCTCTTGCGCCGCAGCAAGCGTCGCCATCCCCCGTGGACGAAGTAGATCCCGAGTCCATCTCGCGCAATGATGCGCTCAAGACGCCCATCACCGGGTCGGACATGATTCTCAGCTGGCCGATTTTTCCGAGAGAGAAACCCGTGTCGACGTTTCCGATGGTCGCGTACTCTGAGAAGCCAGATCGCTTTCAGACGGGTATATCGCCTCGCTGGTGTTAAGTAACTTGATACTGATCGGCGACAATAGCTCTACCCAGTTTAGATCCCCAGAGACTGCTCGAATTGCGCGAGATTTTCATGACCAAGATCTGGACCAAGAACCCGATCGTGGACCCAGACCAGCTGGACTTGTATATTGCCCGAGTGCTGGAAAATGGCATCGACTGGTCGGCCTCGTCGTGCCTGGTGCTCCTTGTCTTTGCGCTTGCGGCCATCTGGGGGAACTATCCCGACGACGAAACCCGCGAGGTCTCGTACAATGAACCGTCCTTTACTCCGCCGGTCACCTATGTGACAATGTCGGTTCCGGAGCACCGCATGAAGGAATCGTTGGCGTTTCTCGCCATGGCGCGGAAGCGCATCTCTGCTGCGTATCTCGACGATACCTTGCTGGGAGTGCAGTGCCTTTGTTTATTCGGGTAAGCTTCATCCCAGGCTTAGATACGAATGTCTAACACTGGCTAGAATTTGGTATCAGTACAACATCGAGCCGATTCCGGGCTGGAAGATGTTCCGGACAGCATCCATGTTGTGGCAGACATATCATTTGAAGCACCGCGAGGGAAAGACGATTAGAAATGCGCAGGAAGAGAGTGAGTGACTTCATCTCCCCATTGCGGATGGCTCTGACTCTCCAGGTCTGGAACAACGACTCTACTGGACATGCCTAAAATCTGAATGGTATAGCATGCCTACACTCCAGACCTATTCTCTTACCATACTGACGTAGATAGTGAGGTTCGATATGAACTGACAGACCTTCCACCCTGCGATCTCAGTCTCTCCGATTTTCCTTATTCCCTCCCGAGCTTTCCCACCAGACAACCATCCAACGACAGCCCTGGGCGCCTGTTTTCCAATCCCTCAGCGACAGACCTCGAAGCAGCATCCTCCTACTACTATCTGGCCGAGATCTCCTTGCGCAGACTCCTCAACCGAGCCCGCAATGCGGTGCGCGTACTCTCCCCGGATATCGACCTACCGACCATCAAGGTCCTCGCAGACACCTTGACGCAGCTGGAAGGCCAGCTGCAGCAGTGGGTAGACTGTCTCCCTCACACTCTCCGGTTCAACATGCCTCTCGAATCCGCCCCCCGCCAGAACGAGGGCGAACTGATGAAGCTAGCCCGCGAGCGGTACGTCGAGGTGCGCGAGCTGCTCTGCCGCGCATATCTATACCTGTGCATCCATGTGCCGCTCGACCCAGCGCTGGCAGCGCTGTATGGGGTCAAAGCGAGCGAGGCGCTCCTCTTGGCGGTTTATCGAATCCAGACTGAAGTGCCATTCTTCCGGCACCCGGGCTCGTGGGGAGCGTGTCGGGTGCGGTTCAACCACGCGCTTTGCCTGATTGCGGGATTCCGCGCGAAAATGAAGCAGCTACCGTCGGCTGAATATGTGAGCATTCCTCCCGCCTGGGCGGACTGCGTGCGCGTGGTGATTGAGCGGCTGAAGATCTGGGGGGAGGAGGGCGGCGGCCTCAAGGAGTTAAGTGTGCTGCTGGAGTGGCTGCTGCATGGCAGTATGGAAGCGTAGAACACATGAAATGAAACACAACGTGTGTCTTTGTCCCAGCCAAATAGCAGGAGCTGCAGCTGCAGCTTCGCTTCAGCTCCGCTTCTCTTCGAGTATGTATCCACAACGCTCCCACACTAGCGACTGGCGCCGACGGTTCTCTTGGCCCGAGGTTCGGGGAGACTCCGCGCAGTCCCTGCATAGCTTTAGCCCTGCTTTAGGCTAAGATGAAGTGCCGAGACTCTCGTGGGATTGGCATCCAGCAACCAGCGCCACAAGCTTCCTGGCCTTCTCTTCCCACCCCCAGCTACCCCGTGGGGTGATGAAACTATAATCCCTCCAGCGGGGATCATACCCGGATTGTCTTGCTCGATACGATAGAATGCAGCCCTCGACCCCGTCTGGGCATGAGCTGATGGGTCAGACGGCTCTTGGCTGTCTGCGACTGGGCAACGTGCGGTCTTGCGGCGGACAAAGAGCATAATAGGGATGGCATATATAACCATGATTCGTTCCCCGAGTCTTCAGGGGTCCACGGATCAGCAGCGTTGTGAGCATCCGAACAGCAGTCTTTCAACATGGTCGCGGTGGGAAAGCAGCGCGAGGAGAACCTCGCCGAGCCTGTGCTGGCCAACTTGCTGGCCGATGACCGCACGCCTTGGTACAAGAAGCCGAATCTGCGGCGGCTGTACTTCATCCTGTTTCCGGCGTGTATGGGCATCGAGATCACGTCCGGATTCGACTCGCAGATTATCAACACGGTGCAGATTGTGTATACCTGGAATAAATGCATGTCTGTCGATTCAGCTGAGCGTTGCAGAGACTAACAGCGATATAGATTTCGGCCACCCAACCGGGAAGATTGTTGACGGACAGCCCCAGTATGCGATCGAAGCGAACCTCAAGGGATTCCTGGGTGCGGCGTACTCGCTCGGAGCCATCCTCTCGCTGCCTTTTGTCCCCTACCTCAACCAGCTTGTCGGACGACGATGGACGATTATGTTCGGTTCCTGTGTGAGCTTGGTCGGGGCCCTCATCCAGGGCTTTTCCAACGGAGGTACCGCTCCTCTCCCTTGTCCTTTCGATGTCCCCCTCTGACGATCCCAGTCGCCATGTACATTGTCGCGCGTATCCTTCTGGGATTCGGCATCCCGTTTTGTATCGTCGCAGGTTCATCCTTGCTGGGAGAGCTGGGATACCCCAAGGAGCGTCCGATTCTCACCTCGCTGTTCAACTCCTCCTACTTCATCGGCCAGATCGTCGCGGCAGCCGTGGGCCTGGGGACGGTAACAATTCCGTCCAACTGGGCATGGCGAATCCCGTCCCTGCTGCAGATTGCGCCCGCCATGGTCCAGATCATAACGGTGATGTAGGACGCCCGCTCTACCGCGATTGCTCCCATTGACACCTGTGCAGGTTCCTCCCTGAAAGCCCCAGATACCTGATCAGTAAGGACCGCTACGACGACGCCTTCAACATTCTCACCAAGTACCACGCGGAGGGCGACCGCAACTCGGTTATCGTCAAGGCCGAACTGGCGCAGATCGAGCGCACCATCAAGATCGAACTCGAGGAGTCCAAACAGTCGTGGTGGGACATGTTCCGCACCGCCGGCATGCGCCGTCGACTGTTCATCTCTGCTTTTCTCGGTCTGTTCACGCAGTGGTCCGGCAACACGCTCATTTCGTAAGCCTCTCCGCCCGGGCATCCGGCCTATGAGTTGGTCGCATTCGCTAACTTTGATATCTAGGTACTACCTGAGCGACCTCCTCAACATGGTCGGCATCACCGACAGCGTAACCAAGTCCAAGATCAACATCGGCATCGCCTGCTGGGGTCTCGTCTGCGGCACCGCATTGGCGCTGACCGCGCCGCGCTTCAAGCGTCGCCCGATGTACCTCACCTGCGCCGCCTCCCTGCTGTGCGTGTACATCGCCTGGACGATCTCCATGGAGCGGTTCATGAGCACGCAGGCGCGCGCCGCCGCCATCCTGACCATCCTTTTCATTTTCCTGTACTCGCCTGCCTACAACCTGGGCTACAACGCCCTGACCTACAGTGCGTGTCCAATCCCGTCCGTTTCTCAGTGTGTGTCCTGACATGAACAGCGTATCTGGTCGAGCTGTTCCCGTACATGGGCCGCTCGCGCGGCCTCTCCTGGTTCCAGTTCTACGGCCGCGGCGCGAGCTTCTTCGCCACGTATGTGAACCCCGTGGGTCTGGCGCGCATCGCCTGGAAGTGGCTGCTGGTGTACTGCTGCTGGCTGGTGTTCGAGCTGGTGTTTATCTACTTCTTCTTTCCCGAGACCGCGGGCCGCACCCTCGAGGAGCTGTCGTTCTGTAAGTGGTTTTCCGCGTCTGCAACGATGATCCGGGCTAATGTAAGCAGTGTTCGAGGACAAGGACAAGGCCAACGAGGTCGCTGCCGCGGTGCACGAGCAGATCGATGAGGACGGCGAGAAGAAACAGGCTACGGCACATGTGGAGGTCTCGGAGACCAAGAGTGCTGTTTGATGTGTGCGTCTGATGGTTTTGTACGGTCTGTGGATGGTAGGATGAACGGGGAATAAAGGTATCTTAGGTAGTCTGTTAATTCTGTCGTTACATCCTGCAGCCACTTCTGTCCTGTCCGTCCCGACAATACGTAGAATCTGCGACTATCCATCTGATGGTCACTTGACCTCCACACTGATCTTCTTCTTGGGCTCATCCGTCTCGATTACATCCTGCCGCTCGTCAAGCTTCACATTCTGCAAGAAGAACATGACCACCAGCATCGGCGCAAGAGCCGCCAGCGCCGCAATGGCCAGCAACCGCTGCGACTCGCGGTAGCTGCGATCGATCGCCTCGCGCACGGGACTACCCTGCGGGTACTTTTGCGCCACAACAATAGAACCAAAGATAGACTTGGCCTTGTCCTTCGCCTCATCGGGCAAGTATTGCTGCAGTTTGCGCGGGAGGGCGCTTCTCCAGATTGCCCCGGCCACACTGGTTTCATTAGCACTGTCCCTCTCTTCTAGGTACCTAGGTACTATCTCAGGGGAGGTCGGGAGCATACCTAGTCCCAATAGCCCCTCCGATACTCATCGAGGCAAAAAACACGGCCGTCACGACCGACACGTCCTGCCGCGCGACGACGGCCTGCACCGACACCTGCGACGCGGTCTGGTAGAAACCGCGGCCGATTCCGATGAGCGATTTGGCCGTCACGAAGGCGGCCTCGTTGCCGGTCTGACCGTCGCCCATGTCGACGAGGTAGAGCAACACACCCATCCCGAGCACGCAGAGGGGCACGCCAGTCAGTACCCAGATCTGGGAGCGCTTGGTGTATTTCATGAAGAAGGCGACGAAGATACCTGCGACCTGGAAGGCGACGCGCAGCGAGTTACTAGGTATGATGTTAGCCGGGAATATCGTGCGGTGGGAAGGGGACGTACTCGACGCGAGTGGCCTTTCCAGGGCTGAAATGCGCAGCGACCTGCAGGTAGCTGGGGAAGAAGATGGAAAACACCGAGTAGTGGAAGAAGTCCAGCGCACCGAGGAGACAGGCGGCCGCTACGGTGCGGTTCTTGACCATGCGGTACGGCACGAAGGGCTTCTTTGCGAACCACGCGTCCCAGACGAGGAAGGCGATGAGGAAAACCACGCCCAGGACCAGCATGGCGATGAAGTTGCCCTTGTGCCAGGCCGCGCTGTTGTTCGAGCCGGTCAGGGACAGCGGGATCAGCAGCAGGGAGAGACCGAGCACGAGGAGAATGCCTCCCGGGAGGTCTAGCTCGAACCAGAGGAGGTTGAACACTCGCTTCCACCATGGCCCGGGGCTTCTGTGTTCTGTCAGGATGGGCTGTGGGGACCTCGATGCAAGTCGATGCTGGTATACCAGCATGGTCCCGATCAGCGGCGCCGCGCAGACCGGGAGGATAATCGCCCACATTCCCCATCCCCAGCGCCAGGTTGAATGGGTGAGAATGCGCTCTGCGACTATGGTGCCCAGATATAGAGTTGGGACAGTGGTGATGGAATCCGGCAGCGTCGACCAGATGCCTCGGTTGATGAGGTTGGTCACGTCCGCCACGAATACCTGCTGGGTGAGGGCGTAGCCGGTCGACCCAACGGCTTCAAAAATGCCGGCCACCTAGTACTGTTAGTTGAGCTTGTGAGTAATGGCGAGGTAGGTACCATGTATTGAGCAATGTTTTGGCAGGCCGCGTAGATCACGTAGCCCAGCGTTGAGGTCACAATGGAGAGGGTGAACATTTCCGCTCTCCCAAAGACCTGCGTCGTCAGTAATGACTTAGATAAGACACCCTATATACATACATCTCCGAGTTTTGCAATAATTGGATAGGCCGAGATACGGGTAATGTTCATGACGACGCGAGCGGCGCTCATGGCGGAATGCTGCTTGAACGCGCTGGTGGTATATGCGGTATAGACCTGGGTGGAATAGTCGCCGAAATTGATTGCCAGAGTAGCTAGAAAGAGGCTAGACGGGTGCATTAGTAGGGCATTCGGTAGAGAACAGTCAATTGATCTTACTTGCCCTACAAAGGCCATGATGAGGCCCTGTTTGGTCCAACCTTTCCGCAGCATTTCCGCTCTCTTGACTCCATCCTGGAGACTTTCGGCGTCATGCTCGTGATTCGCATCTGGAGAGCTCTGCTGGACAAGAACATGTTCTTGGATCTTGTTGTCGTCACCTGGGGTAGGACGGATATCACCCGATGTTGGAGCGGACATGTTTTCCGTTGCTGAAGACATCTCTCAGACGGGGAAGATTCAGGGAACCGCCGGAGGACATCCTCCCCGGCTATAATATATACGACAGCCATCGGCGGGTCAGCAGAAATTTTGCGTAGATTGACAGAGAGTTGGCCGGGGGAAGCCCGGAGTTGAAAAATGCCCCCATTTGGCAGGGGACGGGGAACCAATGATCTAATCTTATCAATCGCATCATTATCAATCACATCAGCCCATACCCAGAACTGGCATACCAAAAGAGGAAGTACTTGGAGTACTCTGGATAGACCATGTCTCGGAACAGCACTTCTAAGCGAGTTTTCTCCGGTCTTCGGACCCAGGACTCTGGCTCCGTTGAAACCATCAGATAATGGCAACAGCTGCCATTATGTGCTTGACACCGCCAAGGCCGGTCGCGCTGGACGTGGCGCTCGTCGGAGATGAGCCTGGCCGAGAGCAGTGGGTTTGAGGCATTTCATTGAGAGGAATGAGTTCAGTCATCCAAGGGACGGGGAGTTGTCTTTGGATTCATGAGTCAGTGTTGCGTTGAGGCTGAACTCCGCTGCCGCCGAGCCCTGACTCTATCTAAATCACCATAATCTCTTCATCAAGCTGGATGGAATAAAAGGACATCCCGTTGATCCTCGGCTATTCCCCTTCAACGACAGGATGCGTGAGAAGTGGACATTTACACCGTCAAAGACCTGCTCCATCCCCAATATTGCTTCCTGGGAGATCTCAAACCAAAAGGACCAGACCTATCTGCTCCAGGTCTCATGGCCGTTGGGATGGGCTTCGGAAAAACCATCCACATCAGCCAACTTCTTGTACGTCTGTCCTGGCCTTACAAAGCGCTCTGCTAATGGACCCAGGTACCTGGTTGACGGCAACGCTGTGTTCTTTTCTGCCACAGACACTGTTCGACGCCGTCAAGCGCGCAATCTACACGAACCAGGAACGATCGTCGTGGGTATTGGCTATCCACTCCACGACTCCGTCTACAGCCCGCGGCGAGCGTTCGATTTGACACCTCCCACCGAGCACTACGTTCCCCCGGCCGGTCCCGACGGCCAGCCCAGAGCGCAGCCACACGGCGGCGCAGACCAGCTCCTGGTCTTCATAACAGAGGTAGTCAGACCTTTCTTAGCTTCCACCGTCTTCCCCGGTGTGCGAGTGTCCCGCACGGCATTGTTCGGTCACTCGTACGGAGGCCTGTTTGTCCTGCATACGCTCTTCACACAGCCGATGCTGTTCGACGCGTATCTCGCGGCTAGTCCGTCCATCTGGTGGAACGATGGGTTCATTCTCTCCGAGGAGGCTGCGTTCTGTCGGACGGCGGACACGGACACGGACACAGACACGTCTCATCGTCCTGCGCTCCGGCTCTCGTACGGTTCGAGGGAACAGTACCCCGTGCGTCAACGCGACGAGTTACCGGAGCAGTTTGAACAACGGAAACGAGGCGCTGCTCTGCGGCGCATGACGGATAATTGCTGCGAGATGTACGCCAGGCTCCGTGGGAGTGGTCGACTCCATGTGGAAAAAAGAGAGTATGTGGATGAAGATCACGGCAGTGTGATTGCACCAGCACTAAGTGGAGGAATCCTTTATTTCCTCGATCTAGAGTAGTGACCGATCGACCAACATCCCGCCTGTGTATGTATTATGTTTATGAACCCGGACTGGTAGCGATAGTTTACATGAATGCATTGCGACGACCAACCCTCATGGCCTCAAAGGACCAAGGCAGCCAGAGCGACCGCAACAATCAACCCCCCATAGGCGCTGTATCCAGCCGAGCTCGCCGTGTTTCCGGTCTGCGATGGCGAGGCCGCTTCGCCCGTCCCAGACGCAGAACCCTCCGAAACATTGCTCGCCGCAGCAGAGGACGTCTTGAGCGTGGAACGGGCGGTCGACGCAGCCGTACCGACAGTCGGCTTGGGGGTAATCTCCATACTGGACTTTGATCCAGAAGACTCCGCCGTCTTCGATGCCGAGGACGCGGTCGTGGTAGCAGAAGCAGTCTCGGCTACTGTCTTTGCCGTCGCGGTGGCACCCGGACCATATCCAGGAAGATAGCTGGGCTCGTACGTCGCAGTACCGCTGTACAAGGGACAGCCGGGGGTGTTGGTCTTGGGAGGCGCCCGACCACCGCCGCAATCGAGGAAATCACAGATCTCGCCGGTGTCGGGGACGTACCAGATCATGCTGGCTTCGTTCCATTGGTTGACGGTTTCGGACTTGGTGCAGCCGACGAGGTCGGTTCGGGCGTGGACGGCGGTCGCCAGGATGGCGGAGAAAACGAGCGTGGAGGTTTTCATTTTGACTGCTGCAGGTTAGTCACTGACTGAGTGGTGGTGTGTGTTGGGGTTTAAGTACTTAATGAGAGACTTATAACTAACGAATGACACGAGTAGGGAGCGAGAGACTGATTTCTCGTTTAATCTGGGAGATGGAGATTTATACCTACCAATCCCACAGGCAACAGGGGCCTTTGTGTCTCACTTTTGGGGAATTAGCCTGGAGAACCCTGCTCGCTATCGAAAACTAGCCTCGATTCAGATCTAGACCGGCCGGATCTAGACCCTCGATGAGGCTGAACATGGAACATTGTACATTGTACATTGTTCCTTGTGCAATGTTCCTTGCTGGTTGGCATGTACAATAGCAAACAGATGATATTATTCCACCATCTTTATTCCATCGACACATGCATTTGACAGTCTGAACAAATTATAAAACCCATAAGAAATCAGCGTGGAAACCGATCCACGGGATTTAACGGGTGGCTCGGGTGAGATCCAGATATTCCTCTGCCCAGCCAAGGTGGAAATGAACCTGTGCGCCACATCCTCCAAGCGAGGTGAGCAAGCGATTGAACTCATCACTTTTGTCTTCATTCACGGCTAGTGACTTAACTTCCGAGGACAAGAATCCCAAGAAATTGAAATTAGCGTCATATATATCCGACCTTGGCCCTTCTTTCCACGCGCCTATACAAGAGGAACTCCCTAGCCACCATACGAATGACTTTTATTTAGAGCGCGCACTTCCCCCGGGCTCCCAAAGCCAGCTGTTCTGAGCATGTCCTCTTTCTCATCCTCGGCATCCGGAATCAGCTCTCCATACTGCATTCTCAGATTCTTCAATTTAGCCGGCACATTCTCCTCGCCACCTAAGCAAGCACCGCGAATAGCCCGCTCTACTGTCGCACTGCCCCTGGTAGTAGTCAGAAGCTGGAGGAACCCGCCGTCCGCGGCTGACACGCCGTTTGTGTATAACGAGTAGTATCCCAGCACGAGGACGCATAGACCAGTAGAAAGAGTGAGAGCGTATGGAAGGATGAAATTGAGCGGCTTTGAGAAAGCGTACACGTTGACCCACTGCGTTCGAGTCTGGTTCACGGTGGTTGTCCAGCCGTCTTTGAACGGAATCAGGGAGAGGGTGATGTCGACCAGCATTTCGTTTAAGACGGTTTGGTTGACAGTGAATAGCTCTCTGTCCACGCTGGTGAGTGTGCTGAAATCGGATGATAGGTCCACCCGCGTGAAGTATTGCAGGAGGACATCGAGGGTGCTCTGATCTAGTTCAATATTAGCTGCGCAACTTCCAGACGACGAATATCAGCAGCTGTCGCTCACTGTTTTTGCTATCCACCAGGGAATTGGTTGTCTCATAGTGGACGAACCCCGCATCGTCGGGGGCTGTAGGATCCCCTTGCCCGGTAGCTGTTTCATTAAGCGAGCAGGATATCATGTTCGCCAGCTGTTGAATAATGGTGTACATGTTTAGGTCACGAAAGAATGGCAGTAGGGACGGATCCATGACGGTGGTGTCTGTCAAGGAGCCATTGAGCTGCAGGCTAGTCAGAGCAGCAGTCAATGGCCTCACAGATGCTGCGTCGATGGATACATTGTAGTTCGCTCCATTGTTTCTGAACATGGTGTAGACGGTATAGTCAGCTCGTGATGGCACGCATTCCAAGTGATGTTCGGTGGTGTTTAATTGATAACGCCGGACTGTCATGTTCACACCCCCGTCGAAGGGAAGGCCGGCGACGATCGAGGATGCGTTCTCAACATATGTCCGGAGGCTCTTCACACCCATAACCCTGTTCGGCACCACAGTACTAATATGAAGACGACTGGATGTTTCTGTATCCAGGAAAGACTCATTAGCCAGTAGGGATGTGGAGTTGAGGTCAAAGACGCTGGCATATGCGGGAAATGAGACCGCAGGAACCGAATTAGCCGTCTCCTCGGTGTTCCAACCATGAGTGACATTCTTCTCATAGCTTGTGCATTGCAGATATGGCCCGGCAAAGTGCAAGGTGTAAGAGCAATTAGATCCACATGGTGAAGGCAGATTCCATAGACTCCTTGTCGAGAGGGTCCTCCGGATCAAGTACTGAACAGATGGCGGCGCATATTGGTTGCCAATGATAAGATTCGAGATAAGCTCATCATCAAAACTGTTCATATTCGCAAGCGACTTCTGCGCCAAGTACCCGTATGTCATATTGCCGACCTGTAAACACGATCGGATCTTGGTCAGGGGTTTCCATGTAGCAAGACGAGTCCTATACTTACATCCGAGGCATTGAACGTCGGAACAACTGTATCCTGCACAACATGCACCTGCGCAGACTGAGCCACAGTCAGGGCACCGGGAGGAAAACTCGGTGCAATCGTGCTACCGTAAATGACGACAGCGCTCAACACCAACGGCCAAGCTTTCTTTAGGATCAAGGGGTCAAAGAGAAGGAAAGGGTTGGAGCGCATGGTAAAGAGCCCATCAATGGTGGACGCCTTGAGCGGTGCGAGTCGCAAAAGATGCCAGAGATATTGGGTAAACGATAGACCCAGGCTGAATCGAAGCGACAGGCCAAAGAGCATGCTCAAGATCGTAGATACAGTAGTAGAGTATGTCTGAGAAACCGGCGCCGCTGGTCCATCAGCTGGTTTGCCTACTAGATAGTTATAGAATAAACCATGGATCACCACAATCAGGCATGCTAGAGCAGGATTAGGGCTATGCAAAAGTCGACACTGGATGATGTAGGTACCTAGGGCAAAAGTTGCTCCCATCCAACTAGGAGTCTTCCAACCGACCGTCCAGCGGCATTGTGTTGATGGGGTTGGCATATTCATTAGGACCCGTCGTCATGATACAGCTGAGATGGTGGCCTTCCGCACAGCATTGTTGGTTTGCGTTGATCGAACTCATCCTCAAGCGAGGAGTGCTGGATTGATATCAGCGCTTAAGTCGGTCACGGACTTCATGATCTAGCAAGTCTGCGAATATGTATCTAAGCAGTGGGTAAGCCGGCGACATCCAATTACGGCTGTTGTTTACGCGCCGACTTTTTGATGCTTGAAACACTCTCGATCTCCTTACCAAATTGGCATCTCAGATTAGCCGCGCTGGATGCAGGGCTACGAAAATCGATTCATGGTCATTTTAGAAAATGCGATGGGTGAGGGGAGTCAACTCATATTCAATGCCAGACGTCCATCAACCTATGTAAAAGATATGGCATTACCATGTAAAATAGAGATGAAACTATCCAATCAACCCGCGGAGAATTATGCTTTTGTGCAGTGTTGTTACGTAATCTGTGATAACTACGCTTCACCAGGGGCATCACGAACAGCTCCATAATCGTCAGTCGCGCATCAATTGGATCATCGCGAATTCCTCCCACCTCCATGAAGTTACCCGTATAGCAGCTACCACAGAATCAGTTCAATGCCGGGTCGCCTCACCCTTCGCCGCCCATCCCCTACGACGGTGTCGTTCACCGTTTCCAATGCCTCCAGACACACCAGCACTCCGGCCAAGATCCTATTCTATTTCCAGATCCTCCTACGTGCGGTAATCTTTGCGTTTGTGGTCTTTGTCAACATCGCAGAGTTTCGGCATTCCTTCTTCGATCACGATGGTCTGTTTGTCCGTTGGCCTGCAGTGTGGGCGAGTCCCCTAGGATCATACGTCTGTCGCATCGCCGATACGTACACCACTTGGGCTGTCGCGTTGGTCAGTGCGATAGTCGTCTATGGCGTTTTCAGGAAAGGATATACCGGTTCGTCAGGCCCGCATTTCTGAGTACTAAAATCGTGAATAAGTACTCACAGTTTGGCTCAGAAGAATCGCTGCTCGTCATCCGCGGACTCGGCATCCAAACCTCGACTTCCTCCTCCACCTATCTCTCCAAAGCCTCGACGCGATTCATCCCCACCACCCAAATACAGGACATTGTGATCCATGAAGCGTTTAAAGGCTTCGAGGTGCGCTTCTACCTTGCTGTCATTGTCGAGGGAGAGGGCGAGGTGGTTGTTGTTTTCCCTGTGAGTACAACGCGATCTTAGAGACGATGATATGTTAACAAATCATGGATAGAAACTTCTACCCGGTCGAGCTATTTTGGAGGAAGTATGGAGAGGCTCGCGACACTGCCTTTACGAGTCCAAATCGTGAGAGCCTCAGACCATAAACAGTCATTTGCGCTATCTGAGTTGGGTATTCTTGCAGTCAATCTATCGGGTGAGTATATACACTTCTATTCCATCCTCATTCACATTCCATCTTGTTACTCTCTGCATTGGCGGTCCTCCGTTGCTTCGAAGCGAGCCATCGGGCATTCTGTACCTCCACCGGGTCCAGCTTTCTCTTCTCCATGATGGGAACATACGGACCACCAGTCCTGGCCTCATTTGCACCATAGAACACCTTTTGACCCCTGTTCTTGATCTCAGACGCCGAAAATTCGCTTTTGCCAATGTTTTGATCACCCTGGCTGATCGCCAAATCTAGCAGGGAACCGGCGAGGATCTCGTCTATCTTGCGCTGTCTCCAGACAGACCAAAGATTATCGACCACGCCCCCAAGCCCAAACTTGCTGCTGCCCTTGCCAACTTGGGTCTTTGTCTGCCGAGGGTCTCCGGCATAGACCCACTCCAATGCATCTTCGCGGCTACCACTCTCCTCATTGGGGAAAATACAATCCCAGAGGACGAGCGGAGCGTCGGAAGCCATCTCATAGGACGGCTTGCGCGGGTTCTTCGACACGTCCAACAGCTCAGATACAATCGAGGGCTTTTCGAGCCCTTGTCCGACTAAGAATAGCACACTGACCATGTGTCGGACCTGATGCCACAAGAACGCAGAGCCCTGCAGAGAGAAGACATAGACCTGAGACGCAGTCGGTACAGGGGTCTCCAAGGATCCAGAGCCCTGCTCTGCAGAAGGGCTCTCCAAAGCTGTGAACCCTGGCTGAGCCACATAGCCAAGCGGGGTCGATCGCGGATCGACCAACTCAATGTCAGAATGGTAGATAATGCGCTCAAAGTTCTCAATCTGCTTGCTGGTATCCAACTTGCAGAAGTTCCGGAAATCATGCCGTCCCACAAACATCCGCGCCGCTTCGCGCATCGCCTCAATGTCTAGCCAGCCTTCTCTGTACTTAGGAACGGATCCGGCCTTGTCGTTCGCGCGCGGCGCAAAGCCACCAGGTCCGGGGGTGGGCGAGAAAGCCGGCTGGGTAAAGAAGTATTTGTACTGACGTTCGCGACACGAGAAGCGTGCGTCGAATCCCTCTGGTGGATGCGGACACCACGCTAGAACACGGATATCCTCTGGGAGGACCCGATTCAGCAAGTTTATGTAGGGTAGTTCATCGGCAATATCATCCCAGTTGTCATCAACCGATCTGTCGGCCGTCACATTCCCCTCGCCTCCATCCTGCATAGGAGTATCCGCGCCAGGGTCCGCGACAGCAGCCTTCTTCTTCGGCCGCGCACTCCGCACCCTAATACCAACCACCTGCCCGAACGCGCTCACGCCCCGGTCCGTCCGTCCAGCCTTGGAGTACTCGCAGCCCTCCCAGTTGAGCGCGTAGGGCTTCAGCGCTCGAGGTTCCTGGAACTCGCGCATATCGTCGGCCGTCGCACCCGTGGGGAAGATCAGACGCGTCTTCCGGAGCGCCTTCCACAGCTCCTCCTCAATAGTCGGCAGCGGGGTCACATTCCCGTTCGCATGCTCGAGGCCGTTGTACCGCTGGCCGAGGTAGGCAAACTTCAACGCAATAAACCGGGTGTGGTACTTGGACGGGTCCATCTCGCGGGGCGCCTTGGGCGGCTTATTGGGCGCGCGGACATGCGTAATGTCGTTCACGTCCGCGACCTTCTGTTTCTTGTGTGGCACTGCCTGGGAGGGGCTCGCCGGGGGTCCTGTCGTTGTCGGGGTCGGTGCTGTGGCGCTCGGCGCGGGCTGGTTCGCGGGCGTGGGAGTGAATTCGGAGGTGCGCGAATGTAGCTGGCGCTCTAGCTCGGTGATCCGGGCGATCAGACTCGATGGGCTCCATGTCGAATAATCGGGCTGGCCTGTAGGTGCGGGCGCTGCGGTGTCGGACATGATTTTGGGCGGCGCCGAATCCAGGCGGGCGAGTTGCGGAGCGGAGAGCTGGAAGGACCGTTTGAGAAGGTGGTATTCAGAGCTGCGACTCAAGGATGAACAAAGTCTGGGATTGATTCTCCACATCCCCTGGTCTTGGAGACGGAGGGTCAGTTGAGTTGTCCTTGAAGGAAAAGTGGTTGCTGGTGGGAAAAATTGGAGATGGGTTTGATGGGTCTCCCCGCGGTACCGCCTATGTATTGTATTGTTACGCCTTCTTTTCGGGCTGGATATTCGACATAGGGCATGCTGTAGAGTGCTTTTGAGGATGATTAAGAGTAATTTATATTGAGTGGTCTTATCGAGGTGGGTATATATGATATACTCTGGAATAATGCTTTCTGCGGTGGTATATTGGATGTATTGTGTGTCAGGTAGTAGGTTGATGCCATGACATTTGCTTTTTATATATCGAACCTCGCCTCTTATCCGCCTCATCTTCAATTGCATTGTCTTCTCACAACGCCAAACAATCTTCCATGATATACTGCATCATCTATCGATATCGCCTCTTTTGGTTATAGGGACCTTAGTCTGGAAATCGAATCTAAAGTACAAAGTACCCAATGGCCCACCCAGCAGCCCCTCCAGGCGGCGAGACCACAGTCACAGTCCTCCTAGTAGGAGACCCAGGGTGTGGGAAAACAACCTTCCTATCGTGAGTAGCAATATGATCATGCAGCTGAGAATCAGTATGCTGCCGAACCTTCCGTCGTGAGACCTAACATCCCCTAGAAGCCTGAAAAACAACCCTCGACGACGTGGACAGGTCACCGACAGCTCTAATGCTAGCCTCGAACTGCTTCGCGACACTGACCAGCCCTTTCTCTATGATATCCACTTTTCAAAGAAATCCTTCACTCTGGAAATCTACGACACGGCCTGCCCAAATCAGCACTGGTCTACGCTCCAGCCAGACATCGTGCTTCTGGCATTCGATATCTCAAATCGAGATACCCTAGCCGGATTGAAAGGGGTAAGTCAGCCGATTACATCGTCTTTGATGACCTATGGGACTCGTGCTAACTGTCACAGTGGCGAAATGATATCATTCGATACTTCCAGCACGGCGATGGGGAGCGTATCCCCGTCATGATGGTGGGACTCAAACGGGACCTTCGCGTGGAAGGCGAGGGCATCATCTATCCCCAGGAAGTATGCGATACCCCTACGATCTGTAGTACAATCCCGAAATGAGAGATGGGCTGACTCTGAGTAGACCTACCGAATGGCGCAAGAGCTGCGCTGTGATCGTTATGCGGAGTGTTCTGCGGTCACAGGCGAACTGATGGCGGAAACGTTCGAGGATCTGGCGAGACTTGCGGGTATGACCACCACTGAAGCTGGGGGTCAGACCAAGGGAGGATGTGTGGTTATGTGATTGCTTTATGATACCCTTTAACGATATTGGAAAATTGCTCGATCTGAACACTGTCTACGAATGCGTTACGGCTCCTACTACACACGAACACGGATGGTAGCTAGCATCACTTTTCATTTACGACTAAACATACAGGGAGAAACCAAGGCAACGATTAAGTCCACCTTGTGAAATTGACAGCACAGGGCTTTCCCCCAGAAGCTCACCGAGATAGAAGAACAACTGGATATCTTTCCCTCATAAGTGCCAGGTCAATTTTTAACAACGCAATTCCTCCCCGATGCACCACGTAAGAACCGGTTGGAAAGGAAACAGGAGACTTCGCTGTAGCATACCAAAAGGAAAAGGGCGGAAGAAAAAAAGGATTTGAAGTGATGGGTTCCCGTTTGCTCTTTTTTTCTTCGTTCTCTTTTTGAATAGTTTGTGGAAAGACTAGGATAGACATGTCAGGGGAATAATCTCCTTCAGCGGAAGAGGTTTTCGGACATCAAGTCGTCAGCCATAAGGTTCAAAAGATGTCAGTCCTCCCCGAGCGCCATTCGTGCGAAAAAAAGATGCATGTTCCCGATCAACGGCTGTCCTCGTCGCGATCCTTTTGAGTGGCAATTTACCACTTGGCACCCTCGGCACCCTGGGCCTCAGCAGCCCAGCTCTCGGCAGGGGCAGCAGCAGAGCTGGCAGCCCAGTCAGCGCCATCAGCCTCCCAGCTGGTAGCGCCAGCAGCGCTAGCAGCAGCGAAAGCAGTGCCAGGGACACCGGCACCAGGAGCCTGGGTCTCCCAGTTCTCACCAGCGAAGCCGGACTCGACGGCACCAGCGCCGATCTCATCAGCACCGGGGACCTTGGCCTCCTCGGCGATCTCCTTGTTCTCCTCGGCCTCAGGGTCACGGTAGAAGTAGAGGTCGACAACGACGTCCCACTCGGCCTCGCGGGAAGCGAGGGTACCGCGGAGACGGAGGACCTCACGGGCAAGGAGCCACCAGACCAGACCGATGGAGTGACGACCCTTGTTGTTGGTGGGGATGGCAACGTCAACGAAGTCGGTGGGGGAGTCAGTGTCGCACAGAGCGATGACGGGGATGTTGACGTAGCTGGCCTCCTTGATGGCCTGGGCGTCGGTGCGGGGGTCGGTCACGATGATGAGACGGGGCTCCTTGAAAGAGCGGGTGATGTAGTTGGTGAAGTTACCGGGGGTGAAACGGCCGGCAATGGCGGTGGCACCGGTGTGGGAAGCGAACTTCAGGACAGCACGCTGACCGTAGGGACGAGCGGAGATGACACAGATGTCGGCGGGGTTGTCAATGGCGGCAATGATACGGGCAGCCAGGAGGATCTTCTCCCTATACGACAATCCAAGTTAGAATTTCCGCGCGAAAATCGCAAATTGGCGAGCCAGATTGCGGGCACACGACCGCGCTTTCGGGAACAACCAATCCAACACAAACGTACCAGGTCTTGCCAATGTTGATGACATTGACACCGTCGGGACGGGTCTTCCAGAGGTAAGGCTCCATGTGCACCTGGAGGTTCTTGGAACCCAGGTGGCACTGAGCAGCCAGGAGCATCTCAATGTCCTGGGGGGTGGGGTTGAACATCGGGGGAAGCTGAGAGGGGGCCATGGTGGGCGATTGATATGGTAGAGAAGAGCGAATTGAAGATATCAATCGACTGGCGCTTGTCGCGGGAGGTGGTGAGGTCGAGGATGCACGCGGAGAGGGAACTTGAAGCCGTCGCGATGATGGATGGAGATTTTCGCTTGCCGTGTGTGAATCTTAGGGCTAGGGTTGGCCTTCCGCCTCCGACACCGCCCGATTGATCGGAGAATATACACGTGATGCATTCCTCCTAAAATAGGACTAGCGCATATGGCGTTGAGATTTCGGAGATGCTTCAAAGTTGCTCGCGGTGATCGTGGTTGTCTGTCGCTCAATCCATTGGACGTCTTCTACGACTTCCACCACTATGTCTCCGCGCTTTCTTCTTCGGCCTTCCTTGAAGGCTTTTACTGGTATGCGATTCCCATGATTCCCCCACAAGCACCCACTCCTATCTGCCTGTTACTTACTCATTCCAACCTACAGGCTCTTCCTACATCCAAAGCCCCCTCGCCGCCCTCTCCCTGAACCCCTCTAAAACTACCATCCGCGCCGGTTCTGCTGAAGCGCGCGAGCGTCGCAGACATGATCCCTTCCTGACGGCGCAGTCCCGTCAGCGCAAGGCTGCCAATCTGTCCCGTCAACAGGCACTCGCCGAAGAACGCGAAGGCTCCTTGGGAGACCCGGTAGAAAGTGACCCGACACCTTTCATTCAGGAACTCAAGGCCACCCAGCCTGGTCCCCAGGCTGCGACTACGGACGCCAAGTTCAACTATTCCGTTACTCCCGACGGACTCCAGGAGGCTTTGAACTACTCCAAGAACCTGACCTCCCCGCTGGAAAACCCGGATCGGGACACTGCCGACCCTCAGCTAGAGAAGGAGGCTGCCGAGAGACACCTCCAGGAACATCGAAATGCACAGGAAGCAATCAACCGGATTGTAAACATCAACAACGGAAACACGCAAGATCAGATGCGCCTCCGCATCCAGCAATGCATTGAGAAATTCGGGCGACACAATACCGATAAGCACCTTCAGCCGAAACCCAGCGCGGTGTCGCACCAGTCGGCAACTGTACACCCCGACAAAACCCCTCGCGTGGGACCGGATACTGGCTCTCCGGAAGTGCAGGTTGCTATCCTGACCGCCAAAATTCTCAATCTGTCTCGGCACCTGCAGACCACCAACAAGGATAAGCACAACAAGCGCAATTTGAGACTCCTGGTTCACAAGCGACAGAAGCTACTCCGGTACTTGCGCAAGAAGGAGAGGGGTGGACCCAGATGGCAGTATCTGGTTGAGACCCTGGGACTGTCGGATGCCGCATGGAAGGGAGAGATTAGCATGTAATGAATTGCTGGCGCTTGTTTCTTTTTTCCCAACCCTTTTCTTCCTGCTCATTTCATTTCCCACTGTACGGAACATTGGCGTGTACTTTATGGCATTGGAAAGCCCTTTCTTGCGGTCATCTGCATCTCGGTTTGTCTGACGAAAGGGGGTTATCTAGCTTGTATAAATCTGTATAAATATAGTCATTACACTGTTACATGTTCTGTCCATCTCATCCTCGGCATCCTTTCTTTCGATGCACCTCAATCTATGCGTTGTCGTGTAAGAGTGCTGACCACTGAAGGGGCGAACAGTTCACCTGCCCCTCACCGCCTGCCGAGTTCTGCCGGACGTCACCGCGAAATTCGAAATTCCCAAAGTTTCCCCGACTTCTTCATTTCCTCCTCCACCACAACTTGCTCATTCATGCGCTTCACTTCTCCTGCTTCGCTTCATTCACTCCAGGTAAGTCCTTCTTCAGTGAATGTCGACCATCGCAGGTGACGCGTCGAGCCCCCCGCCACCACAACAATAACAGAACGTCCTCCCTCTTCTCACCTCTTTCCCTTCCCTCTTTCCTTCCTCTTTCTTACTTCCTCCCACAACTACATCTCTCTCTGCCCCAAAGCCTCCACACCACAGATCTCTCTCCATCTCTCATAAAATCGCCATCTTCTACATTCCAAGCTTTTCGGAAGCAATCCTACTTAGTCTCTCTCATCTCTCTCCAAACGCCAGCTAAGCTCCACCCATCTCTTCATAACAATCCTCCCAACATGAGGACTCGTTCGCAACAGGCGTCGCCTGGCGGCTTCGTCTCTCTCGACAGCGAAAGAGCGACTCGTCGTACGCGATCCACCAGAACTGCATCTCAGTCGACCACTGAGCCGTCTACATCTCAAACGACCACTCGGTCGAAGAATCAGCGCGCGGCCAAGAAACCCGCCCCGAAAAAGACCACCACTACTACCACCAAGACTCAGACTCGCAAAGGCACGACGCGCACGACGCGCAAGACAACTCGCAAGACCACCCAGACCACCCCTGGCGATGAAGCTCCAGCGACTCATAACGATGCCGCCGACGAGAACACCCCCCCCAACGACCCAGAATCCATCGACCAAGCTCACGACAGCTCCAAAGATTCCGAACCCGCGCCCGCTCCCAAACCTGGCTTATCAGAGCCCAATAATTCCGAGCGTGAGTCTTCCACCCCCTCCGCTAAGGTCCCCAAGAAGGCCATTACCCTCGCCGTACCCCCCGCCGTAACCCAGGGCGGAGAACAAGCCCAACAACCCCCTTTCCCCCAAGCACCATCCCCAAGGTCAACCATCGGGACGTCGTGGCTGGAGTACCTCGAAAACATCAGCGATATCGGGTCGCCTCTCTCTGAGAGGTCGAAGACCCCGTCCGTCGACTCGTCCTTCGCCCTCGAGGGCGAGGTCGACGACGATCTCATCGCCCAGGTCTCAGAGGCGCTGGCGCTCCAGAACGCCGCCCAGCCCGACGTACCCACTGGGGAAGACCCGAGCACCTCTGAGCTTGCTGAGGTGGGACCAACCACGACGGAGTCTGAGCCAGCGAACACCCCCGCTCGCGTCGTTTCTACGGAGTCGAGCTGCTCGGCTACCGTCGTGGTCTCCGTTGAAGAGTCAGCCGCAGTGGATGAACTGGAGGATTTGGCGAAGAGATTTAGCAAGTTGTCCCTTACTTGCGTCCCTGCGGTTGTTTCTTCAACGGAGTCGCCTGCTACACCAACGTGGCGATCTGAAACGCAGCAATCAGCCAACGAAACCGGTGCGTCGCAGACCACTGATGTTTCTGCTGCCGTTTCAGACGCCTCTGTTGATCCCCACCGCCTGGCATCCATCTATAACGATGCGCCTCCCCAGTTCCCTTACGGGGCCTGGCAGGACTTATACCCTCCCAAGCCGGCGGTGGAGGATCAACAGAGCCCTTCCACGATCTTCGGAGGCCCTATTCCGAGTGGCCCGTCGTCGATTTTTGACGACGAGCGCCAGGCTGCTTATTACCTTGGAAGGCAGTCGATCGTGGAAGGGCCGTTGGTGTCAGAGGCGTTGGCGGAAGCGCCCGAATTGATCGCGGGCCTTCCATCCCACCCAGCTGAGGCAGAACCCGGCGAGCTATTCCATCGGCCGTCGACTCCAGCCCCGGGTTTCTGGCCAAGAGGGGGCCGGACACGACTCTCTCCCATCCCCGAAGAGCCCGAGGAGCCAGAGACGAGTCCCGTCCCCGGCTCAAGTGCTGGTGTGGAGCAGGAGGGCTCTGCCTGCACGCCGGCACCCCTGCCTGCTCCCTCCCCAGTCCCGATGGTTGACCCCCAAGCCCCAGCCCATGGGCCGGCGCAGGTCCCCAGCGCCGTTTCCCCCGCCCCGCCCAAGAAAACAAAGGGGAAGGAAAAGACAAAGAAGACCAAGCCGCTGACCTCTTCTAAAGTTAACAGAAAACGGTCTCGTTCTGAGACAGGCGACGAACGTGCCCCCGAAACGCCCATCGCCAACAAGCGCCGCAACCTGGGCCCCCCTGGAAGCACTCCTTTCGCTCGCCGTCTAACCCCGTTGTCCCGCCGGCTCTCGACAAATGCAGCGCCATACTCGGAGAGGTTACGCCGACGTACGATTGAGAGCCAAGGCCGCATCCACAGAACGGTCTTTCGCATTCCCCAACTTATTGCACAGACGGAAGCGGATCGTCGAGCCTCGGAGTCAGCCTCACCAAGCCCCTTCCCAGAGCCACCTGAAACGACCTTCGATTTTACCGTTGAGCGGAACCAGGAAAACCATCAGACCTCTCAATCTGAACCCTCTGCGCAGCAGGAACCGTCCACCCCAGACTCATCTCGCAGGGGATGGAACATTCGTGGCTTGTTGAGTTCGGTCCCTCGCTCTCTCTCCATCTCGCGATTCCTTCCGTTCGGTCGGTCTCCTAGAACTGCCGAAAGCTCTGGTAAGCCCTCAATCGCCTTCTGTGACGTTGTGCCAGGTTTTAATCTGTTGCAGCCGCTCCGCAACCTTCGTCGGAACGCATCAACCGCACGCAACCCCTTGAGACGGACATGGCCACCTCTCAAAGAGAAACCCAACCTCGTCGTGTCAGTGAGAGTCATCTCGCGGAAGAGCCTCCCAAAAAGCGCGCTCGCAATATGTCTTACTCCCTTTTCCCCGCACCAATCGATCGATCTCTTTACCTGGGAGACATTCCGAAGACTAAGCCGGCGCCGAAGCCTTCCTCAGAACCTGAGTCTCAGCGACCTCAGAAACAGGCCACAGAAGAGCCAAAGATCCAGGAATCGACCGTGGCGGGTGATGAACCTTCCAGCGAACGTGAATCCCGAGCCCCAACGACTAGCGACACCGCTCAGAAGAAGCGCAAGCGTGCCCCTTCGCCCGATGTCATCCCCAATCCAAAGGGATCCAGTTATGGAATGGACTTGGATTACTTCTGCTACAGTTCCGACAGCGACGAGGAGTCCAACAAGCCATCCCAGCAGAACGAAGCCGAATCTCCCAACAAACTCTCTCTCGCTCAAAAGGCTGTTCGCAGTGCTCTCCGCTCCGAGCGACACCCTTCCAAGAAGGTCCGTTTTGATGCAAGCCCTGAAGATACTCCTTCGAAACTGCGCCTGCGTGCTCGTGCCACCGATCCGTACCAAGGCAGGCATTTTATTGGAATGGGCGAAGGATCTCCTTCCACTCCTGCGTCCGCTCCTACCACCCCAACTCCTGCTGATCGTACGGCGCGCCCTCCGGGTTTCATTCCCAATACGCAAGGCACTTTTCAGCTCGATTACGATGCTTTCTCGGACGATTCTGAGTCAAGTGGAGCGCCATCTCCTTCCGCCGTTACCGCTCCAAGTCCTGCGCCGTCGGAAACTCCGTCTATCTCTTCCACCCAGGTCGAGGTGGGCGATAGGTATGTCTTCGCATCTTTTCTCTTTCTGTCCTAGGATCCGTATCTAATCATCATGATTTTATAGGGTCCCTGAGCACCTGCAGCCAGCTCCTCTGACTCCTCGCGTGCCACCCCCTCCTCCCTCTACCCCAGCCACGAACAAAGAGGCACTCGAAAGGGCTCGTTCCCAGGCGGAGAAATACAAGCCTAAGACTCCTAGCGGTCTTCGTACGGCAAGCCGGTACTCGAGCCCTCTGACAGCAACCCCAGAAACTGTTATTGGACAGCCTCCTCAACCTGTACAGCCTTCTCAGCCTTCTCCAGCCGTCGAAGCAGTCGAAAAATTCGGCGATGATCAGTACGCTCGGGACGCCCAGTGGCTCTATGAGAACTGCCCCTCTGGTGATCTTAGCAAACTTTCCTGGCCTGGTAGACAGAGTCTTTCGGAGAGGTTGGGTACCAGCCCCGCTACTCTAGAACTGGTGAACGAGATCATTACGGAGTCTGAGATTGAAGGGGGCTACAAGCTCTTCTGCGAGGGACTGAGGCAGTTTGAGCAGGCCTCTGCTTAAAACAGAACCCTGATGTGAATTTTGTTACGAATGAAAGCTGAAAGGTGTTGTGGTGTCTGTGTATTGATTGAGTCATAAGCGGTGGTTGCATTGTTTTCTTCTTTTTTGTCTTTTGCTTTTCTTCTGTGGGATTCATGTCTGGCCCTCTATGGTTTCAAGGACTTGGATTTGGTGCGAGAGGGATTTTGCATTTGTTCAGAACCTGGTCCTGGATCATTCTTTGTGTGGCCTTGTGATGATCGCCGCCACTATGGGATGGATCCTTCTTTGCGAGTGGACTCCTCCGTCGTGAGTTGAGTCTTCCACCGAGAGCCGGAGTCCTCTATCGGGAGTTGATACCTCCTTTGCGAGTTGAGCCCTCCTTCGGGTATGGGATCCTTCATCGGAGTCGAATCCTCCATCGCGAGTTGATACCCTCTTGTTGGTTGAATCCTCTGTGAGTTGAGTCGTCTGCTGGAAAGTGAGCACCCGTCGTGTGTTGGTGGCCCACAGCCTCGTTATTGTATCATCCGGATTACGGTCAAGGTATTGAGGATTGTTTTGACTGGCGAGTCTACTCTGTTCTGTTGTTAAATTTTTGCATGAGCCTGGCATTATCATTGCATCTCGTCTTGCATTCCAGGCGTCTGTTATTGGGCAATGTGACTGCATTCGACTTCATCTCAGGACCTGTAGAGACTTCTAGGCCTCGCTAGAAACCGTCCAAGCGACATCCACCAACCTTTACCAGAGCGGCTTAGCTGAGACATGTTTTGGATTCTCTTTGAGGGCATCGCAAACCAACTGGCCTGTCTTACAACTCAAGAAAACCAGACACCGACGGATGGCATCGTCTGAGAAGGTATAATAGGAACCCATGTCTGACGCTTGACCTGGGATGATAACCTGGACCAAATCTTTCCTAGACCGCAGGCCAGTCCGACTTTTGTTTGTTTTGAACCACGTCCTCCGGCTAACAACTCCGTGATAAACAATGTGCTACTATCAACCGAACAAACCTCCGTGCACCTGCGCTTTCCTCCAGCTCATCATGCCATGCGATAAGAGCAAAAAACTGCCGTCTCCAAACAACAATCCAAACCCGCTGGTCGTGGTCTGTGGCAAGAAACGCCTTTGTCGCGGCGTCGGACAACGATACTGCGTTCGATGCTGCGGTCGTCCGCATCCTCCACAGTTGCCGTCTATGTCTCAGAACATGGACAAGCGGTCCCATGTCTCGTCACGCCCAGGTTTCGGCAGAAATGGGAACAAAACCGCTGGAAAAGCGACGTTTTCATCCTATACGGTGGCAGAGCCCTCACATGGAGGTCTGGATCTGCTGAGAAGTCGGTATGGTCCGGGGGTAGGGATTAAACGGTCTTTGCCCCCGAGAAGTGTGCCTGTCGAGGACCAAAGACGGTCTACAGAGGCTGCAGTCCCTGCGTTGTCGGCGTCTACCCCTCCGCCGGCTGCGCCTGTTGTCGCGAAGAAGGATTCTTGGGGTGATGGGCCGAAAGGGAAGATGGTGGTGGAAGAATTCATCCACAAAGAGGTATCTATGACGGCTGTATATGGGTTGAATGTGGCGCCGAAGCTGAAGGTGGAGGATTAGAGAATACAGCACGGTTAGGACTAATATGTTTGCGTTGGTTGTCATATCTATTCAGGATAGGGTATGGTATACTATAATAAATACAGTCAGAAGGTGAAATAGAGTCTAGGTTCAATCGAACCCTTCAAATTCATCATCATCACCATCGTTATCAGCTGCCTTTCCGGCGGCTTTCTCTGCGCGTCGCAGCGCACGTGCCTCCTCGTTCTTCTGCCGGATCTCTTCAAGCATCTTCTGCGTCTCGCGTGCCTTTTGCTTCTCCTCCTCCGTCATCTTCTCCCACCGCCTCTTCTCCTGTTGCAGATGTTTCTGCTCGCGGCGCTTCTGCTTCTTGTTCTTCTGGTCGACCTTGTTGCTCCAGGCGACGCTCTCACTGGCTCGTCGCTTGTTTGAGGTCTGCTGGGCGCCCGCCTCGGCACTCTCCTGGAGGACTTCCTTGCGGCGCTTTTCCCGCTGCTTATCCTTGTATGCGTAATTCTCCCAGTCGAGATCGACGCCCAGGGTGCGGTCTCCGGTGAAGTTCCGCAACTCTGGCATCTTCGGCAGCTTCAGCAGCCCCCATGCATGTCCGAGGGCCTCCCAATCGAGATCCGCGACGCGGAAGATGCTGCTCGCCTGGTGTTTGCTGTAGCTTCGGAGCCAGCTGACAAAGGCCTTCTGTCCTCGGTCGTGGAGAGCACGGTCTTGCTTGATGATTTTGCGCGCGGCCTCTGTCGCCGTCGACGCGTCGGAGTCTGAGATGGAGATGGGGTGGGGGAAGGGCGTGACGGGGGTCTTGCGGACTTCCAGGAACGACACGTAGTCTTCTTCGCGTCCGGGGTGCAGCAGGACGACACTGACACCCCGGCGGCCGGCTCGTCCGGCGCGGCCGCACCGGTGAATAAAGGTCTTGGGGTCGGAGGGGGGATCGATCTGGACGACTAGGTCGACCGATGGGATGTCCAGTCCTCGGGACGCAACGTCGGTTGTCAGGAGGATAGAGGGCGTGTGGGCGTTGATGAAGCGGTTGAAGTTCTTCTGGCGGACATTGGCTGGGTGTTTCCCGTGCAGCGGGATCAGCTGGAAGTCGTCTCCCAGCAGCAAGGGTAGGATGGCGGCGAGGTAATCCACGCCTGAGCAGGTCGAAACGAAGAAAATGGTTTTTTGGGGCGTCGGTTGGAGAGAGGTGAGGATGGGTCGTAGTGTAAGGAACTTGTGCGCGGGCGGCGTCGTGAGGTAGGTCATTTGTAGACTGGCCGGCGTGCGCTTGTCTTGCACACCGGACGTGCCCTTTACTTTCACCAGAACCTTGACGGGATTCCGCAGGCCCACTCGGACGATCTGATCGACTGCCTCACTGATACTGGCGCTGAAGAGTCCCGTTCGTCTTTGCTTGGGGAGTCTTCGCAGAATGTTTTGTAGCGTCTCTTTGAATCCGAGGTCCAGCAGTCGGTCTGCCTCGTCCAAGACGAGCATCTCGAACGACGACTGCGGACAGTGCACGTGCGGAGAGGAAAGGAGCTCCAGGAGACGTCCCGGGGTAGAAATCAACACGTTGGGAGAATGTTTGAGGAAATAGCTCAAGTCTTCGGCGGGAGTTGTCGATCCTCCGAGAAGAAGCTGCGGGACGACCTTCAGCGTTGAGGCGGAGAACTTCTCCCGCGGCGCATCGTCTTCTCCTGGGGGTTTGATTGCGGCGGCGGAAGGAGGATGGAAAGCGAGAAGGGATAGAAGCACTTGGTGAATCTGGGATGCGAGTTCTCTGTTTCCTGCGTCAGCGCAAATGCGTACTACTTGGCTCTGGCGACTAGTACCTGGTGGGAGAGATGATGATTGCACCGATATGGTGTTTTTTGATGGGTTCCTCCAGTCGCAACAGCTTTTCCACCACAGGAACTAGGAAAGAAAGCGTCTTTCCACTTCCGGTGACAGCTTCGACGACCACGTCCTTATGCGCCATGAACAGCGGAATCGCCGAGGCTTGAACCGGAGTCATTTTGGAAAACCCCCACGAAGCGACGGCATCCAGCACCCATTCGGAGAGCGAGGGGGAGACTGCCTCCCATGCTCGCGAGGAGGTACCGGCCGGGGGTTTGGGAGCCATCGTACGGTCTGGAATAACAAACAAAAGACGAGCAACGAGGGAAGAAAAAATGAAGCTTATCAGAAAAAAAAAGATTAGATATCGCGGGCGGTGAGGCACGTGATGCGGAGCCGGATTGGGCGGAAGCGATTTTATTTACACCAGCGGCGCCGATTTCTCACGATCGTTTCTTTTTCTTCAGCGCCTTCAAAATACACCGTTCTCCGGCTATCTGCAATCCCTTTTACCCTCATCGAGGCTGTCGTCGGTAGTTGATCGGCCTCTGACCTCAGTCCGGCATGCGCATTCCCTCATGAACAAACACCCTGCCTCGACCTCCCTCGGCCTTTGATACTGTCCAGTCGCCCATCATTCAGTCGTTAGGAGGGGATTCGCTCCTGCTCCACGCCTTTTTGGCCTCTCCTGATCCGTCCCAGTTGCAGCGCCCTCTATCCGGTCTGATTCGATCTCCCGTCCTCCCTCCTCTCGTCACACGACAGCCCGTCCACATGTCACCACCAACTGCGATCCCCAAGACCCCTCGGGTGATTTCTCCTTCCCCGGATCCTTCAGACGAATATTCGGCGCCAACAACACGATCTGCGGCCCGGCGACAACGTCAAAGGGATGTGTCGGAGGATTTGAAAGATGAGCCGGCCTCAAAGCGCTCCCGCACCCGGCCTCGTAGTCCTACCGTTCGGTCTCGGAGGTCGACTCGGCGGTCCAATCCCAAGATGCCCGTCAAGGAAGATCTCACGCCGAGGACAAACGGCCACGCCGCATCCAACGGCTTCCTGTCTCCGCTCACCATACCCGACGGTATCATACCAGATATCTCCCGATCCCCCTCCCCGATGGGCCTCATTCCCCTCCACACACGATACCGCAACTTCATCCACCGCCACGAAATCCCCCGCAAGCTGCTTCACGTGTCGATCGGCTTCCTCACCCTTCATCTATACAGCCGCGGCATCCAGCCGCTGCAGATCACCCCGTGGCTGTTCACGGCGCTCGTCCCCATCGCGACGACAGACATCATTCGCCACCGCTCCGAGACGGTCAACAAACTGTACATCCGCTGCGTCGGCGCGCTGATGCGCGAGACCGAGGTGTCCGGCTACAACGGCGTGATCTGGTATCTACTGGGCGCGTATACCGTGCTGCGCTTCTTCCCCAAAGACGTCGGCGTCATGGGCGTGCTCCTCCTTAGCTGGTGCGACACCGCCGCCTCCACCTTTGGCCGTCTCTATGGCCGCTACACCTTCTCCCTGCGCAAGGGAAAGAGCTTCGCCGGCACCCTGAGCGCGTGGCTCGTCGGCGTCTGCACCGCCGCCGCCTTCTGGGGCTACTTCGTCCCCCACATCGGCTCATTCCCCAATGACCCTGAGGGTTCCTTCATGTTCACTGGCCGTCTGAACCTGATCCCAGCTTGCGTCAAGAACCTCATCGGTTGGCCCGCCGACAGCTCGACGGGCGTCGTCACGGGTCCGCTGGCCCTCGGAGTCATGAGTGTGGTCTCTGGCGTTGTCGCTGCCGGAAGCGAGTTCCTGGATCTCTTTGGCTGGGATGACAACTTGACTATTCCTGTTCTGAGCGGAATCGGTCTTTGGGGCTTTCTGAAGGTTTTTGGTTAAGGATCGGGATCATCACGGCGTTCATTCTTATCTTGCTTCGATCTCATGTCATTCATTATAGGTTACCTCCCGGGTAGTGTTCTTATCGTGTGACTTGGCATTGGAATAGATGAAGGAACCGGTTAGACGTTGGCTGGGCTTTTGATAAAGGCGTTCATCCCAATGTTGCATCTCCTACCTCAGCGACTTACCTTTCATCAGTATATGCTTCGATTGTAGGTAGTATCTTAAATAATGAGATATGTAATTAAGCCAGTCTCGCTTGTCGCATCTAAGTTTCATCCTATGTACTGTATTGCATCCGCCAACGCCAACGCAAACCCAATAACAATGATGTAGGCTTCAATAAAGCCATCAAAATAGCACAAAACTCCTTGTAAAATGATAATCGGTGGTAATCACGATTCGGTCAGATCTACGATGCTCACGCGCGGGATCTTCTTCCTTCCACCGCGTCTCGCTGATCTGCCATCCACTGCTCTGTTGACGGTATCCGATTCTCTCGAGTCCAGCTCGCGATCCGGTTCTGGGGTGCTCTCAGTGGTCCAGTATCCGTCGTTTACGACGACAGATCTCATATGTGAGGAAGTCTCCTGGCTCTTGGTTTTGCGGCTGCCAGGCTTCTTGACCGGGGTCTTTGGCGCTTCTTTGATGTCCTCTTCGATTGGTGTATTCTCTTCGCAAAGATCGATGGTCGGCGGCGGCGTCTTCTTACTCCAACGTTTATGCAGCGAGCGCATATCCAGGGCAGCTGCTTCCAGGAGATCCTGGATTCGAGGTGGACTGGTCTCTCCGGATTCCTCCATAGTGTTAGACTCAGCATGTGCTTTGCGCGCGAGCCGTTGTGATTTCCGTTTCGTGGTAGGTGCCACAGGGGAAGGGGAGGGATCTCTTTCTAACTGACTTGCGCCATCCTTCAGCTTCATCGGTGATAGGATGTCCCGCAAATCATCCATTTGAGCCTTTGCTGTGTTTCGGCGGCTTGACCTCTTGAGTGTAGGCGACGGGTTGGTGAAGTCCACGTCATCCGTAGCGCAGCTAGCATTCGAATAGCTCATCCGGATTTTTCGCGAAACAGACGGTGAAGGAACCTCTAGAAAATCCGTCCCTGCTTCCACATCCGAATGCATAGCTAGACGCCTGCTAGCGGCTTGTCGTAAAATAGACGGGGAAGGCATCTCCACGATTTCAGCTTCGACTCCACCGTCCCCAAAAACCACAGCTCTCCGTCTGCTGGATGCACGCGACTGACTGAGCATCGGATGTCGTTTGATATCACTGCGTGGTGTAACGATATTGCATGCGGAGGTTAATCCTGCATTGAGATCATTGATCACCGGTGACTCGAGGCTAGCCATATACTGTGGAGAGTATGGCGTCAACTGCGACGAGGTGTGTTTCGTAGGTGTCGCCGAGACAGCTGCTTCGAATAGCTGCGCGTTCTTGAATTGCGATACATTGGATGACTCTTTCCTCAGGGTGCCATATTTCAAGATGCTTCCTCGTTTCATTCCAGGGTCGATGGGGCCCTTCTTGCGTGGGCCAGTCTTTCGACTTCGGGGCTTATTAACAGCAGAAGCCTTCTCTGCCTGTTCCTTCTTCCACTTTTCCACAATTTCAGGAATACCTCTCATGGCCACCGTCTCAAAAATCCAGATCTTGCTGGGTTCATAAGGATCGTATCGTTTCGTTACTCGTGTTCTAGCTGGCGTGGTAGGAACGACCTCTTCTTCGGCGTCCGTCTCGTCTTCATCTCCGGAGGCCGTTGATTCCTGAGAAGGCATAGGCGGGTTCGGTTCCTCGGCGAGTAAATCCAGTCCAACGATATCAATAGGAATGTAATCAAGTTGCAACTCGCTCATACCGTCTGTGCTATAGACCGTACGGCTCTTGTAGACTTTCTGAAACATGGGCGTTGGGTTGTTCGATAACATAGGTCCATCGGGAAAAGCAAAAGGCCGTCTTTGAAGCCGTAGACGGTGGGAAACAAGAGGCTCGGCCAACAGCCTTATCACTTTTCTGGCTCCAGAGCGATAGTTCCATTCGAACGCGTCTGCGGTGAATTGTCTAAGCTCCATGACATCGATTTCCTGATCCCACGCATTCATCAAGCGACGTTGCAAATGCTCGATGTCATTGTCTGTTGATACAACCGGCTTGGCGTAGTAAGACAAGATCGCCTTATCAGGAAACGTTTCTGGGATCCTAACCGCTTTATGCTTCGTCTGGAAGTAGCCGCTTTCGTTTTCCTCCAGTTCGTACTGAAGTCTCTCCCTCCACTCACTCAAGCGCTCATCGACCTCGGGACCATCGCAATCGACCGCTTCCATGAGGTCCGCTCCAAAACCCGCCCTGGCGATCTCTGCGGCAAGCTTGCTGCCGCATTTCGGCACTCCAGACGGGAGATAGTCACCCCCGCTTAGCATCGCAAAGAGGATCATCCCCGCCCGGTCCACTGACACGGTAGACGGGATATCGGAATTGCCCATGTTATAGCAGGTAACGTGCGTTGCGGGGCCGCTTCCGCCTTCCTTGGAGAAGTTCATGATGGTCAGCGTGGAGCCGAACATCAAAGCATCCACATCGTTGCTCATAACACAATCGACAACGCCAGCACGCTGAAGCCGCGCGCATTCAGCCTCCGCCTCCCCCGGAGCGTTGTGGCGGGGGAACTTGAACAGATCGACCAGGATCTTGGAGAGGCGAACGATGGGCGCATTTCCGTAACTGCCTCCTGTCGCCTTGCCCCTTTTAAAAGGGGGCTTCTCCCGCCCGTCATACACGAACAGGGGATGGATGGGCAGTGCGAGGAACTTGAGCAATCGGTAGAATAGCGTCCGTAATTCCGGGTTCCGACCGCCTCGGCCAGCTTGCACCTGGAAGAGCCATATTGAAATGTCAACCGCAATCCGGATGGGTCTTGCTGTGCGTTCCAGGTGGGTTATGGCCAATTTGGACAGGGAAATGCGTTCTCCTGAACCGATTGCATTGATAAGTCTGCTGGATGTCAGAACGCGGAAGCGGGAGGCAAGGTATATATATTTTGCTCCTCGCCGGTCACACGATGAATATTATGGAGAAATGAACCTACCCAGGAATCCCCATTGGGACAAAAATTACCAGTGACCCAGCAAAGACATCAAAAGACCAAAATTGCGCCGTCCAAGAAGGGCGTATGAGGGCACTGGAGAATGGTGGACGATGTTGTTTATTATGATGCCGAGTGAACTGGACAACGCGGCCCGACGTAGATCCGGCCTCCCCCCAACACCATCGCTGCTGCTGTTTCCGTGTCTACGCGCATTGGATCTGCCAATTCTACTTCAATAATTTCCTTGGAGCTCGGACTATTCATTCGCGCGAGTCGCATCACCCAGGATGAACTGAGTTCCTACTCGATCCACACCTTCCGTCGCGAGCAAAAGCATGCTTCCAGCACCTCGGCGCCGCATCCCCCGCGCTCCGAATCGAACGTAACAACAGCAGCATTGGGGGAGACACACGACCTACGACCACGCGATGACCAGTGTTTCGACTATGTCTGCTGCCGATGATAATCGGACGCACACCGGGACCCCGAGTATTTCCACGAGTCTACGGCACAGTCAGTCCGGCCAACCGTCGACTCCGCAACAGCAGCTGCGTTCGCATCATTCGTCCTACGCCAGTACCTCGTCCACGAGCTCATTCCGTGGTGAAGAGGAAGCAATCATTTTTGAGTTTGGCTCCAGATGGCTTCGGGCCGGGTTTGAAGGCGACAGCGCGCCCGTATGCGTGGTTGGATGTGGTCCAGAGGACTCGAGGAGAGCGGGCGATTATAGGGGCTGGGTGAGGACCACTTCAAACCAAGATGAGACGACCCCTCCACCAGTCAAGCCCGAAGAATGGACGGGTGCATATGAATTGTGGAAGATGGACTTGCGTGACGTCGATTTGGGACTGGTCGAGGACAAGATCGAGCGGATGATCCGAGAGACATATAACAAATACCTCCTGACTGACGCGGGCACTTCACGACTGGCTCTGGTCCTGCCGTCAGTCATGCCGCATCCGTTGCTGTCTGCGGTTTTGTCGACCTTGTTCGGTCGCTGGCGGTTCCCCAGCATTACTCTCCTGCCCAGCGCTACGATGGCGGCCACTGCCGCGGGCGTGCGCTCGGCCTTGGTTGTGGATATTGGATGGGCGGAGACTGTAGTGACTGGGGTCTACGAGTACCGAGAAATCTCTATCAAACGGAGTACACGAGCTATGAAGTGGCTTCTACAGGAGACCGGGCGGCGTCTCTCACGTCTTGCGAGCAATGCTGGGGAGTCGGATCAAATATCTGTGGACTTTGAATTCTGTGAAGAAGTCGTCAGTCGATTCGTATGGTGCAGCCCTTATTCTAATGCTGACCACAAGGCCTTGACGGACGAGGAGGGCACGCCGCTTCTGCAGAAGACGGTGTCGATTCCTTCACCCTCGAAGCACAATTCTAACTACATTGATGTTGCTTTCTCTACATTCTCCGAACCGGTGGAAAAGGTTCTCCTGGCTGACGGGGTCGCCGAGTGCGAATTGGATGATGAGGAAATACCTCTTCCGTTGTTGGTCTACAACGCCCTGTTGGATCTCCCCCCTGATGCCCGTGGCACTTGCATGTCGCGTGTGATATTTGTCGGGGGTGGGTCACATATCCCCGGCATTCGTCGTCGAATCTTGAATGAAGTCGCTGGGCTTGTTGAGCGCTATGGCTGGAGTCCTGTCAGGGGCAAAGTGATCGACCAGGCAAGACAGAAGCTGGAAGCGTTGCGTCTTAGCAAAGAATCTGTATCCGGCGATGACAGGAGCCCACCCGCCGACTCCTCTGAAACTCCCAATGAGAAGGGAGAGGACGAACTAGAGATTGACCCCGTGGAGCAGAAGCTCCGTCGGAACAAGCAGAAGGATATAAAACCGCACACCCATGGCGTTCTACGTGAAGTCGAGTCCCTTGGAGCTTGGGCTGGCGCCAGTCTCGTGACGAGTCTCAAGATCCGGAGTATGGTGGAGATTGAGCGCGAGAAGTATCTCACACACGGCCTCGCTGGGGCTAGCCGGGATCTAGAGTCGCATGGCCATGTTCCTGATCGTCGGTCGGGACTTCGCGCCGGTGGGGATCGGTCTAGTTGGACCTTAGCAGGATGGGGTTGATGGAGACGGAAAACTCGGATCTCCGGACTGTACAGTGTTGATTGCGATTTAGCCAGCCTTGATCAAGCGTTGAACGTTCTTGGTCGTTTCTCTGTTTCTCCTCCTTTACGACATGTCTGTTGTGGCTGGTCTTGATACAAATGACTGTTAGATACGATACCCGATAAAAGCAAAAGATTCTAATGTTAGACATTATGCCTCGAACTTGAGTCCTCGATGCGTTTGAGATTGGTTAGACTAGACTATTTACACAGCAGTAAATGTACATGTCATCGAGAACATTCAAGGGATTACGATAGATTAAGAAGCATTAGCTCTTCAGTAAGGTCGTCCGGACTTATATCGTGCCGAACTGGTAGGTGGCCCAGTTGACGGCCGGACCGGTGTTGGGAGAGTAGATCTGATCCGGGAGCTGGCCCCACTGGGGCTGGTTGATACCATCGATCCAGCCCTCGGTCTCGACGACGAGGCAGCCGTACTTGTTGATAACCTCGGCGCCCTTAATGCCCTCCTCCTTGTTGCGCTTGAGCTGAGATGCCTTGACGGGGATGGTGCCCTTCAGACCGTTGCAGGAGTAGATCTGGAGAGCCTGCTGGTTGGTCGCCACCTCCATGCTGATGCCAGTGGCCTTGGAGCTCATACGGAGGATGGGAACGATGGAGTTCGCGGAGGCGTACGAGGCGGGACGGTCGACAATGAAGCAGTTGTCGTAGCCAGTGCAACCGGCGCCGCAGAGTCCATCGGCGTCCTTGATATCCTGACCGACGAGCTTGGGAGAGGTGAAGTCGGCGGCGCCGTTGTAGGCGGTGTCCACATCCAGGAGGTCGCCGTTGGGAATGAGGATCGAATCAGTGCCGATGATGCGCTTGGACAGGGGCAGCTGCAGAGTGACGTCGTCGAGGATGTTCTCCTTCTTGAAGCCGTTCAGGTTCCAGTAAATGTGGTTGGAGAGCATGATAGGAGTAGCCTCGGTGAGAGCCAGCGAGATCAGCTTGCTGGTCAATTGCGGGAGACCGTCGGGGTTCTCGGGGGTAACCTTGGTCTCGACGCTGAAGGTGGCGTGGGTGATCACGTCGCCGGGGAAGTCCTCCAAGCCCTGGTCCAGGAGGGTGAAGGTGACAGAATCCTTGGTGTGCGAGGTGACAGTCCAGTTGCGCTGGTCGTAGCCGACCTTGCCTCCGTGAAGGGTGTCATAGCCACCTTTCTCGTTCTTGGCGATGTGATATTCTTTTCCATCGACGGAGAAAGTACCGTTTTTGATGCGGTTGGCTGGGTTGGTTAGTTAGTTTTCTATTTCTTAATTTGTTGCGATTAGTTGGTTGTTGTGTAGGGAAGAAGCTCACCATAGCGGCCGACGACGGGGCCAAAGTAGTTGTGATCACCCAGATCGTTGGCGCGATATTGCTTGGGGTCATCGAAGCCGACGACGATGTCCTGGACGTCTCCATTGCGGTCCGGGACGAGGAGAGAGGTGAGACGGGCTCCGTAGGGGATCAGCTTGGCGGTGATATTATCCGCACTGATGGTATAGACCTTGAAGGGGTCTTCGGCACCGTGATGCTGAGCCAAAGCCGGCACACCCAAAAGGGCGGCAGCAGGGAGGTAACGAGAGAGATGCATTCTGATTCCCAGAAGGAGGGTCACCGCTAGACAGACCGTACAAACAATGGAGAGGTGTCGAGGAGAGAGACGGGCTGGGAGGAGGCGACGGGAGAATGTGGAGAAGCGAAGCATAGTCCTTTTTATAAGTCCCTAGTACTAGTAGTGAAGTCTCCCTGACCTCATGCTGGCGCCTGACCGGGGGACCAGGGGGGCGGGGAAAAGACCAAATTCACTGACTGACCAGGAAGTTGATCCAATGCAATCGTAATTATCCGAGCAACGGACGCAATCGACGAGGCTAACGGTAGTGTAACCAACAAGCTCTGGATGGATCGAGGCGTGAAAGGGGTCCGTCCGTGTTTGGAGGAAGATCGAGCAAGCCACCGAGTGGAGAAGAGACTAGTCAGTCAAGAATGACCGGAAGGAGGGAAACTCCCGTGGGGGGGAAATGAAAGGATGCGGGGGAGCCAGCCGGACGGCTGGTCCGTCATGCTGAGCGGACGGTGAGCAGGCAATGACGGCTAATGAAGGCAGTTCATCTATGGAATTCATCCGAGCTCATTTCTTTGTCGGGATTCATTGGGATGATCGAGTAAACAAACAAAGAACGTCCATACTCCATACATACTCCACAAATGCGAGGCTCGGAACTACGTTTTCCCGCGCCTCCTTGTCCGCTGTTGACATAACTCCTGACTAAGCTATGTTGGCCGGATTATCAAACCCCCGAGTCCCCTTTCTCCGACCCCAATCGGGAGACTTGTTTATGCTGCTGATTGCGCCGTTTCCCCGCCACCAAGACTCAAGACGATCTTCTTCATCGTCATCTCATCTCCATCGCTCTACACCGTCGGTCGCAAAAAGGATGTCTGGTCTTTCTCGCGACTGAACCGACCCGCTTGATCGGTCGCCACGAGACGCGCAATTCCCACCCTCCCAGTCGCACCTGCTTTCGCAATGTCCTCCCGTACCTCAACCTCATCTCCCGACATTCTTGGTCCATCTGGCGACGCCGATTATCTGGTCTCCTCCCCCTTGAAACCCTTTCCGCCACGCCCTACCTTTATGTCGCCCGCCAATCTTAAACTTCTTCAGACCCCCGGCTCCGTCAAGGCCAAGACGTCACGGTTCAGTCCCACGCCCGCCAAAAGCGCCCACTCCATCCGCTTCGATGATGTTTTACTCCCTGCCTCTCCTGCCATGAAGTTCGCCGCGGGTCAGCGGTCCTTGTCTCCGGACAAGGGTGCCGATGGCAATCAAAGTCCCTGGAGGATTCGCGTCACGCTGGAGGCCACGCAGGATGAGGACGCCGCCCAAGGGAGTCCCGCGCGCAAACGCGCCCGTCAGACTACTATGACTACCAAAGTTCCCCTCAAAGACGAATCCGAACAGACGCCCCGACGACGCCGAGGTCGCCCCCGCAAGTCCGATGCGCTCGAGCTCGCCCAGACCCCAACCCCTGCTCCTGTCCCAGGCAGTCCAGGACACACCCCAGGCCCGGCAGGTTCAAGTGGTCAGAAGAGGAAGCGAGGTCGGCCAAAGAAATCTTCACCGCTGGTTGACTCGGTGGAGACTGCAGACGAGCCGGAAACTCTGGCGCACGATCACCACCCGGAACGTCCACGCTCCGCTGCGGAGCCCAATCCTGACCCCATTGTTGAGTCTGGCCTGGAGTCCACTGCTGAACCCGCGCGAAGTTGGAGTCCTCTGAATCTCGCAGCTGATGATGATTTTGACGATGAACTGCCCGATGCGCCTGCTCTCACCGATCCCTTTGCGTTGGGCGAGCAGCCCCACGAGCCGGCTGATGCCAATCAACACCGTAGTTCTCCGCGCGCCGCGTTTGATACGCCTAATGTGAATGGGGTAGACGACGCCTACCTACGGCTTGGTGAACCAAACTTGAACTCGACCCCGTCAAAAATACCATCACCTCCTAGAGAGGACCACGCCTCCCCAGACAACACCCTACATGCCGGTCACACTCCGATGCCGCCACGACGCTATCCAACCCCGACATCCTCGTCGCAAGTCGGCGACGATAGACCAGAACGCAGTGATATCCGTGATGCGGCTTCATCGCATGCTCCTGCCTCCGCATCAAACGACCCAACAGACGAACACCGCGAGTTCGATTCGATTATGGAGAGCGAAGGATTTAGCATGGTTTCACTCGATACTCTGCCATCTGCCAAACAGCATGCTCTCAGTGTGAATTCTCAGCCAAAGGTGAACAAGGGATCCTTGAAACCTTTCATGGGCCGAGAGAAAACTACGGTCTCGAAACGAAGATCCCCGCTTGCGCGAGTCGATGACAACCATGTCTCAAATGCGCAGGGATCTTTGTCGCCAGCGGCGGAACAACGCCAGTCCCATTCACGGTCGCATTCGAACTTGTCCAACCCTCCGGTAGTATATCCGTCGCTGCCAAGCCAACATAGTTCTCCGAGGATTCCGCGATCATCACCTCGTCCAGCTGCCAACCTTCGAACATCACCTACAGTTGCGACACGGCAGAACCCGCTGGCGAGATTAGTGAAGCTGGTCCGCCTAGGCATAGCGCTCGAAGGTGTGCTGAGGAATTCGTATGATGCTCCCGATGTGACAGATTTGAATGCGATACAAGAACAAGGCGTGGATTTGGAGGCTCCGAGACAGCGCTTGGAACGTCTTTTCATGGAGCATAAACCAGAAATCCAGCGACGACTCTATGCGGGTCTGGAACTGGCCCACGAGCTTGCCCAGAGACGGATCCTGAACGAATTCGCGGAAGCCAGGGACAGGGAAGCGATCACTGATCGTGCGATCGAAGAAGACAGAGCAGCCTCCAGATCTCCGACGCCGTCGGGAGATCTCGATGAGGTCCCTGTTAATGATACGCCGGGCTCTGAGATGAAGCGACGAATGGAAGAGTGGCAGCGGGAGAGAGAAGCCATCAGTCGGGAAATCCGGATGGCAAACTCGAGCCAAGTCATTGTAATCGATAGCGATGACGGCGGCGGTTCAAGCCCGCAGGCTGGTGGGGATTACTATGCAGCAGAGGTTGAATCTGAGCAAGAATCTGATCCTGGATCGGAAGCTCCGCGGGAGCCAGAGGAGGTGGAGACCTATGAGCAAGCTGAGGAAGAGGACGACGGATACGAAGATATATGGCAGCTGGAAGCGCACGACCAAGGCAACCAGTCGGATCATTCTCCTGCGGCCGATGAGTACCAGGAGGACGGTCATGATAGGCAGGAGTCGAGCCCGTGGAAGAGCAGTGAACGTGGGAAGCTTTCTTCTCCTGCATACTGGACCAACGATCACGACAAAGTCCCGTTCCTGGGCCCGTCGAGGATCCGAGAACTGCGGGAGCAGGACGTAGATCTGTCTGGTTTACTCCGCGCAGAGCATACACCCAACCGCTCACGCTATTATTATGGGAAGAGTAGCCCGTTTAGTGCTACAAATGGACGCTCCCCGGATCGGTCTCCGTCAACGTCGGAATCCCGTGGAGAGGAAGCGGCAGAGCCTGAAGATCGGGCTGAGGTCGACATCAAATCGGACAACTACTTGGACACGAGCCCTCATCGGGGCTCTGAGGATGACTTCCAGATCGACCCAACTACGCGATTTGAGAATGCCATGGAGCGTGCTGATTCGCCTGCTGATGAGAGCAAGGAGAGCGAGCAGAGCGAGCAGAGCGAAGACGGGCATGTTCCGAATGCCGCCCCAGCCGAGCACCCCTCTGTGCACCAGACCGTGGACACGACACCCCAGCGGCCACCGCACGGAAGTGGAGATGCACCGGCATCAACCTTGTTCCAGAGGATCGCTAGTCTTACTCCTGCGTGGCTGCGAGCCCCAAATAGGAAGCAAGTTGAGCGACCAAGTCAGCCATCCGAGGAAAGTGAATCCGACAACGACTACGATGCGGAGGAGCCCAACGGAAACCATACCAAGGAGGAGATTCGTTCGGAAGATCTGGGAGAGTGGGAAGACACGCCGAGACCTCCGCGTCGATCCATTGAGCTCGCTCGGGAACAACGGAGCTCCTCTCGCCCCAGTTCAGGCAAACAGTTCCACCATGCACGCTCGTCCCCAGACGCCCGCATCAATAGTCCGACATATGAACGCCCACCGCCAATGGCGATGTCTGGATACTTTTCCGACGAGCATTATTACCTCCTGCGACGTCTGTATCGGATGGCCAAAAAGCATCCAGAGCGCTTCCCTTACTATCCAGCCCCTGGCCGCAGTGATATCATAGGAGACTGGATATGGACCTCGGATGGCACTTACGGTGTCCCGATTACAGAGCGTCAGTTTGCCATCATTGACCGCTTTGTGCAAGAACTAGCGAAACACGACATACAAGCCGGAGGTACTGGTCAGGTTGGCTGGACTGAAGCCGAATTACACAGACGACTGATCAGTATCATCATTGGAGAGCAGATTCGGCTGGAGGCAAAGGAACAGCAACCGGAAGGACACTCTCAAGCCGAGCCTTCCAGAATCAGGGGCATTGCCAGTAGGTTGTGGCGCTAATGGCTGCGCAGGGCCGTACGGAGTAGACTGCTCGGTCGTCTTGACTCGTTCACCCCGAAGTCGACGCTCGATCTCACGAATGGACGGCCTGCATGATTTTTGGCCTAGTCTACGTTCTAATGATTTCCATTTTGGTTTTCTGGTGTTACATATCCTCGGGTCGTTACGGGATGGCGCACCAATGAACAGATTTTGGCGATTGGATTTGCTACCTGACATGGGATGGATTTCATGTTTTTGTATAGCATCTACTTGGTTCTTTATGATTCCCCTTTCGTTTCTTTTTTTGGCGTCTTTTCTTGCCTTGATTCGTGAATTGCCCGAGTCAGCTGCTTCTGGTTCTATCCACGTATACATATTCTTTTTCTCATTGGCTCCACCTTATAGATTTTGGAACTTCCAAGCACGAGAAATCTATGTCTTTTGGCTCAGTTGGTTCACATCTATGAGCATCTCCAGATGAGCGGGCATGAAGCTTGTTTGAAGAAGCCGTGATCATAACTTGGCGTCCGATGAGACACGTGCATACTTTCCACCCTAATACTGCCACTCAATCGTAGTGACTGACATGTCTAGGGACTTTTGGTCATGGATTCAGGCCTGAAGTTCCAAAATATCCCCGATGCGTCTCTGAATGCGCCATGGCGGAGTTTTCCCCTCATAAAAGGCTGTCCTGCCACGTTTCCAGGCTCAGGGATGGCGCCTGCGGGAATGAGACGTGAAGGGCCCGATATTGGCTCCTATTTGACTCGACGATATGCACCCCACCAGCCGCCGTCCAAGCGGAGGGGCGAGATTCGATTCTGGACCGGTTCAGTCCCCTCCAGCCGGTTTCGCGGAGCATATCCCGGAAGGTAGGTATACCGCCCTGTGCACGGAGCGTGTCTGTATGGCCGCATTGCTGGATTATGACATCGTGACTCTGTGTGTAGACGGCAATTTTCGGGGAGCTTCACGCACACGAGCGTTATAAATACCCGACCACAGGCTCCTTAGTAGGGGAACACTCACTCATACTACGATGGACCAAGGAGCCCCCGCTCAGATCACATCATCCCAGCACCTAGACAGAGTCCCGCTACTCCACCTACCGTGAACGATGGGGGTCAGCAACACAGTCAAGTATGTCTTTCGCTTGTCCTTCCTCCCTCGACGAAACGTCCAAAAGGGCAAACAAGCCGAGCACACGACGAGACCGATCGCGGTGACAGTGCATTGTCACGACGACGACGGGCCCGATGGCGATACGGATTTCGATCCGCGGTATTCGTGTTCCCTTGACGCCCAGATGGCGGTGAAGGAGGCTGCATTGGGCGTGCATCACCGTGCTGCGGGCAGGGCAACCAGCAGCAGCGGTAGCAGCAGCGGCAGTCGGTCTCGATTGGTGCGGATTGTCAGTTGGGCCAGCATCGTGGGCGACCGCAGTCGGTGGACGATGGAGCAAGAGCGCGAGCTTGCGATGGCGGAGAGCCAGTTGGCGCGGTGCCAGAAGGCGTGGAGTTCGGAGCAGGAGTTGTGGTTGGCTTATGTATGTATTTCTTTTCCCGCTCGAAAGTTCTGTATCCTTCTTTGATTTGATGCGTGTGTGGGTATATGGGTGGATGGGTAGTGGATGGGTGCTAATGGTGTTATTTTTGGACTGCAGATCAAGGCGCTTACAGAAGAGAAAGAAGCCCACGAAGAGTTTCTTCAGCTCCGTGCTAGACAGCAGGACGACGAGCAGCAGCATTTCCGGAAAGCTTGGAGTCGGCGGAAATCTTACGACGACCAGCAGCAACCGGAGAGGGCAAACAGTCGCTTGCGGCGCTTACGGAGACGGACGAGTTCATTTGGCCTGGGAATTGAGACGTGACAGGGGACTTGTGCATCTTAATGATCTTGAGGGAAAGATTGATGTTTCTCCAGACGTGGCTGTGACCGTCTTGAAGGAGCCGGCGAGAGAACAGCCAGGAAAGGAACCATGACTGATTGCTGGCTAGCTGGAAGGGGCCCAATATTGGGGCATGTCTCATGCATAAAGGAATAGTCCGGCGCTTGCTTCTTTCTTGTTGATATTTGTCAGGGTGAGAATCCTGTTCCCGAATGTGGAGTATACATGAAGTATAGATATCTGTGGTATGCTCTAGCTGTCAGTCGTTTGTCAGTTTAGCTTCAATAGACGAAGGACCCAGGTCCATCTAGAGCCCTTGCTCGATATCTAGATATGTCTTGAATGTACTCTGCAGATGGAGAGACGTCTGTTTTTACTTGCAGTAAGGGGCTGGTGGGCGGATCTTGTTCCACAATGGTCACACCATGGATCCTTGAACCCACATGAGGCTCATGATCGTCAGATCCCGTATTGGGGCTTCGTCCCATGAGCTATGATCTGGCACAGAATAAGAGGAGTGGGATTACGGAGATGTGTGGGCGGAGAGGTCCATCTGTATTCTCCGGACGGACCCCGGAGACCACCGTCTATCGCCGCAACAAGCTCGATAATGATAGCGCTATTGAGTTGACCACCTTCGCGGCTCGCCGAGAATGAGCAGCATTTTCCTCCGTCTGCACGGGTTCAGGGTTCACATCGGAAGTCCCCAGAGATAAGAGACGCGACGGGCAAAGCACAAGCCTCGGTATGACCGACCGAGATGGATGTCCTCCGGAGTACAAAGAAAGGAGGCTGTGTCTGTCAAGAACTCTGTTGTTGTCTTGGACCACTCGATCTGCCCTGTCTTATCTCTCGGCCCACCCATCTGGCCATGACTAATGGGGCCAACTAAGGCCGCATCTCCAGGCGTTCAAACCATCAACTGATAAGCATCCGTCTGTGTGTGTCCGTTTCCAGATGACAAGAGGACTCGGGTCACCCGGGATCGACGCCACATTGCTTTTTCTCCGGAAGAAATGACGCGGTTGGGGAGAGCGAATGGCGATGATTTGTCGGGGATCGTCTGGAGGTCTGGAACAAGATGATGGCTCACAATGGGGATTGTTACTGATCGAGAGTGGATGAAACAGGAGAGAAGAAGGAGAAGGAGAAGAATGCATGGCTGTAGTAGACGTAGTATAGGCTGTTTTGGGACTAGTGGCTGCTGAATCACGTTGTCCTTCCTAATCGGGCTTATCATCAACTTCCTCTTGGCTTCGTCTGCTCTGCTCCTCTCTCTGTCCACTCTTCCTCCGCGCGCTCTCTGTTCCTCTCTCGACGGAGTATTGATTGTCCTAGTCGGAATCTTACTTATGCCCCGACTCCCCTATCGGACGGTCTCCACTGTTCCAATCTGCCAACCGCATGGGAGACTGTCGTACTAGTCTCCTCCCCTTAGGGCTCTCCTACGAACCGTTGCCACGCTGATCCGGCTACGGAGTAGACGTTCATTTCCTTTTTCCTTTTTCCTCATGGTGGATGACCCATTCTTGGGGGTCCTTATCATGTCATCAGCACACCCGCCTCACGCGCCAGAGGGTGGTGGGTGCAACGGTTGCGCTCCCCATCCAGGAGAGTCATAATAATGGCGCATCGCCCTTGCACCCCGATTTCTTCAATCTCCGCGCTGCAACGTCCTGGTCAACTATTGATTGGCTTTCAATAATGCCGTGAATACCCCTTACCGGCCGGTGGTTGATAAGCCTCGTGTCCACCAGCAGAGTGATCCGTCCATTCCCCGACCAGTAATCCTCCGATACTATTCTGTTTCCTGTTAACTACTACGGTTTGGATTAGGACTATTGGCTGCTTGAATTCTAGATTTTCTGGTTTGTTTCTCTTTTATTGCGTGGATGATTGCCTCTGACTGACACCCGCCAAGCTCAATCAATGATTGTCCTGTACCTGCAGTAGATACATGTCGACTGCTACCTCCTGGTCAACCTACTGAAAATGGCCCTGGTGTTCTCCCTGTATTAAAGCCATTGGATATCCGTTTCCTCTATTGCGGGACTCATCTCTCTTGGCTGCCTCATTCGCCATGCGCCCATCATGTCCGTCACAACTTCTGTTTGGTGGCCCGAGGACCGGGTGAAAGCGACTCTCTCTCCCGAATATGTCTTCAACAATCTCCCCTCTCATCTCCTGTCGCGTCTCGTGGCACCATTGCCCTGGGGGGAAGGTCTGACGAGCGAGACGTATCTCGACTGGATTCTTGCAAAAGCCGGGAGGTTCTTCCTGATCCTCGTCGATATCGGGGTCCCCGAACGCATCTTCGCATTGGTAGATGAGTCCTTTGACGACTCTGACCTGCCTATTGCGGTCCACAGTGTACATCGACTGAACCTCGCCCCTGATTCTCCCGATTCGGCGTTGGAACAAAAGTTCTTCCTTGCGCAATGGCGATTTGTCGTTCGTGGAATCCGCGAGGGTGATCATGTAAAATACACCGAGAACGAGGGCGTCCCCGTGGAGCTGCAGCGCACCGGCGCGGCTCTGGTAAGGGAAGGTGTGGAAAAGGTTGTTCTGGCTGGCGCAGTCTGTCGCGTGTACCTGCGGACCCAGGTCACTATCGGTGGTGCACCCCATTTTTTCGAAGAGGATGAGGTCCTCGAAGAGATCCGCTCCCTTAGGAGACTAGCCCATGACCACGTTTATTCGATATTCGCCTCCTACTTTGTCGACACTACCGTGTGTATCCTCTTTTCAGGGGTGTACGAACGCACACTGCTGTCGTTCCTGACAGATCTGCCGCAAGCGTTCAAGCGCCTCCCTAAACCGCAACGCCGTGGTATTCTCATCAACTGGCCGCATTGTCTTGTGAACGGACTGGCATGGCTGCATGCCCATGGTCAAGTTCACGGTGCCATTCGCCCCTCGAATATCCTCATCGATTCCGACTACAAAATCTTCCTCGGCCAATTTGAGGCACTGGACACGTTACTGCCACCCGTGAAGGTGGACGACGTCGAGGCTTACCAGTATGGCTCGCCCGAACGTTGGGTGCGTTCCAATATTGTACATGGTGGTGGGCCCCAACGAGCGGCTCTTCCATCGGGAGGGCGCACCTCCCGGAAGCCATCGACACGCCCAAACCGACTGAATCTCTCCATGCTGAGGGGATCCAAACATATTGATTCCGATCCTGTTGGCTCGCGTCCGGAGTCGGTCGTTTCCCAAGGGACAGCTATCCGTGTTGGGCTTCCCAATTCACCTTCTCGATTCTCCTACGCCCTCTCCTCCTCGTCAGGGTCGAGTGATGGGAGCGCTCGCAAGCGCGGCTTTCCCTCGATGAAGCACCCTATTATCTATTCTCCCTCCATTACATCGTCCAACTCTTCGGGATCGTCTGGTGGTACGGGACCTGGGTCACCGAATCCCGTTGGGTTGCCGACTTCCAGTTCGGCGGCAGTGGTCCAAGTCTGGCAGTCGCATCAGAGCGACCCGGAAGCATCGGATGTTTTCTCCCTCGGTGCCGTCGTTCTGGACATATTCACACACATGTGCAAGCGCAAGATCTCCGCGTTTGCTCACCATCGCGGCGCCAAAAATCGGACTGCGGGACGTGGTGGTGGTGTCGCCGACTGTTCCTTCCACTTGGACCGCAACCTGGTCCAAGTCACTTCGTGGATCACTCTGCTTGACTCGGATGCGAAGAAACACAAGGACCCTGTGTTTGTGGCTGTGCGGCCGATGTTGTCCGTGGTACGGGAAATGCTGAGCAAAGACCCTACCGGTCGTCCTTCGGCCTTCCAGATCGAGCGGCAGTTCGCCACTGTAATTGAGCAGTTGAACGGCACTGCTGGCTTGCATTGTACTTCCAACATTCAAGTCCGCGATCTCAAATCCCAAAGCCCATTTCGTGAAGCGAAGCAATCCCCCCAGAAACAGCAGCAGCTGGGAGTTTCTTCGCCCCGAGGAACTCTGCCGACCACTGCTACAAGCAGTCCGTTGACTTCAGAATTCTCCCCCGAGGCTCATGCAACCTCGGGGCCCCCCAGTTTTTCTCCCGAAGCTTCTGTCACCAGTTTCAATTTTCCCGACTGGACTCGGTCCTACTCCCAGAGTAGCGACACCGACTACGAGAGTAGCAGCGGGTACGAAACTAGCCTCGACCATAATCCATGGCGGGACCCGGACCCTGTTCTGGGACCGGTGTCTATCAACGATCCTACATGGGAGTACAGGATCACATCTGGAGATCGATGAATATGAATCGATGATCCGGAGATATCCTCTTATATGTACTGTCTAATGTTTTACGATACCATCACCTCTTTGCCTCGATTATTTCCCTTCTAATACCTGTGACCCGATTTGAATATGATATTTCTTTTTTCTGTACTTTCTACTGATGCAGTGTACGTGGGAGGTTCCCTCATGGGCCGTTCTGGTGGCTGTTACATTTCAGAACTTGCACTTCTCTGTTGATTTTATCTGATTCTTTCCTTGATATATGAGAATGGGTGGTCTGCGATACGACGACATGACAGGATTGGGTGGCTTACGGGCGTGAGGATTATTGATTCTTTTGTACAACATGCTGCGCTATAATTGACGAACGTTGTCAATATGATCGAAGTATATGTTAATTTCCGACAGAACTGTTCTGCCTAGTTGATCTTAATAATATAACGAAATAGGCCGACAAACAGAAAACGCCACAAAGTGCCCAGCACCTTTGATGCAAGACAGGTATCACAAAACGCCAACGAGGAGAAACTAGCGCCTAATCAAAAACAGCCCCCATCCAGACCCATGCACAACGACCAAACAAACAAAGGGGCATTACGGTCTGTCTTGGGTATATATGTCTTGGGTATGATGGAAAGGGCTCGAACGAGGACGGTCTTACAGCCACAACGCCAACGCCCCACTCGCCACGCAGAGACACATGACCACACCTTCGAGACGATCCATTTTTGGAACCGCGACAGCCTGCCCGACATTACTGGGGAGATGCGACGCGGAGGGCGCTGGGGATGCCGTTGGGCCAGACGTCGTGGTCAATGTTGGCGCAGACGTGATCTTGGCGTGGGTGTTGTTCTCGGAAGCCAAGCCTCCATCACTGCCATTGCCCTGGCCGTTGACGCTGTGCACCGCGTCCACGGCCGTGTTCTCGCCGGCGCTGGCGCCGGAGTCTGCGGAGTCCGGGCTGATCGCCGTTGCGACAGGCGGCGCGGGGTGGAAGGTCTGGCCGAGGGTGGGCAGCGGCGCGCTCGGGTCGACGGCCCAGCCGCCGGGCGTCGAGGCCGGACAGGCGGGGGGTTTGATAGCCGCTGTGGACTGGATGTAGTCGGACAGGGCGACGCTGGACGGCGACAGGGTTTTCCACTGGGCCTTGAGGTTGTCAAAGTCCGGGGCGATGGGGGTGGGCACGCCCTGGCGGGTGTAGCCGTCCTGGACGAGGGTGTCGGTGGGCGGGGCGTCGGGGGCGTAGGGCCCGTAGTTGATCAGGCCGTACTGGTTTGCTTCCTGGATCCATTCGTAGATGATGGAGCCGGACCAGGTGGCGGACATGTCGGGGCCGAAGATGGCGGCCTGGTCGTCGAAGGTGCGCGGCGGTGCGGCGTTGCAGCCCGTCTCGGAGAAGAAGATGGGGATGGGGTAGTCGGCGGCCTGGTGCTGGAGGGTGCGGTAGCCGGAGGTTTCGTAGGAGGCAGCACCGCACCACTCATAGGCGTTCAGGCCGAAGAAGTCGAGGCGCTCGGCGGGGTCGGGGCGACAGGCGAGGTAGTTCTGCAGCATGGGCCGCAGTTCTGCAATATCGGCGGCGGTGTAGCCGATGGGGATCTGGCGGTAGCCCTTCTCGTTGCGGTAGGATTTCATGTCGCGCGTGGCGGCGAGGACGTATGGGGCGGCTGGAGAGCCGGCCGCGGTCGAGAGGACCTCATTCCCGATGAGGAAGCCCGCGGTGTTGTCGTATTGTTGGAACTCATCGAGGACCGCTTTATACTTGTGGAATTGGTCTTGAGTCCAGTATGGAGTGTCCTGAAGCGGGGGTGCTGTCAGCGAGGGATTGGGTGCTACCGAGGCGAAGGGGTCCGACCTGTCGGATCGATGTGTCAAATGTGTCGAGGTCGACAAAGAGGTAGATTCCTGCGTCTGCAAAGGCTTTCATGCAGCCGTCGTGGTCGGCTGCAGGATCGACGTGGTAGACCCGGATGGCGTTGGCGCCGAGTTCCGCCATGCGGGAGACATCCCGCTGGCATTGGGCGGTGTCAATCAAAGGGTCCTGGGGCGTCCGTTGATATGCGATGCCTTTCAGGAAGTACTGTCGGCCGTCTTCGTAGAAGAATTTGGAGCCGACGGCTGAGATGGTGGGGACCGATGCCACGGACACGGCGTGGAAGCCCAAGATCAGAGCAACCCAAGCTGATGGGAACATGTCGACTGTACGTGCAGCAGTGCAATGCAACGTGGCATAGAGCCAAGGTAAGGAGCGTTTGCAGCTATCCGACGGTCTGGATATCAGACTCGCCTGCTACTTGGTCCGACAGTGCGACACCAGTAACGAGGGACGAAGAAGGTGGCATTGTGATATGAGATAGAGACAAGCTTCTTTATAGTTGCTGGGAGGCGATGAAGTCATCTCTGGGGTATCATGGATGGCATCTAGGATGCCCTCCTTCAACTCTCCAGCCTTGTTGGATACCGTATGGCCGTAGGAAGCGGTATGCATGTGAGGTGCGATCGCGCGACCATGACGTCGACAGGATTGTTTGCACCTCCCTTGAAACGGTAGCAAGTTCATCAGCATTCATGAAGGGCGTGTGTTGTGAAGGTGGTTTTGCTGGGGAAGGAATGTTGCGGTCTGCCAGGAATGAGAGCAGGTTCAATGTATAGATTACAGAGCCAGTAGTGAAAGCGAGACCCTACTCCGTACGTAGTAGGTGGGAAAGGTCATTGACGCGAATTATTGTTGACGACTGCCATTATCTAGAGCTACATGGCTAGCGAGACTATGTATTGTCAGTGGTCAAGCTGCGAAACCTGCGAGGCGGGGGTGGGATGTGATTGATGCAGATCGGAACGAGGTTAGACTTGATCGTCGCAAAGCGAAATGAGCACCAGACGACGGAGAATGCTCCGATAGCAAGGGATGGAGTGGTGGGATGCGGATTTGCAGAGGTGAGGTGTCTGTGACAAGGGTTTCTGGCTATCTGAAGCGTTAGTTGTCAGAGGGAGATGTGCATTGGACCATTGTTGACAGATCGTCTACCCGATCGGATAAGGGTTCTTCAGGGTGCCTGGAGATCGGAAGTCCTCCGCGTCCAGATGGAGTCGATCATGAGGGTTGATTTGCGGGAGTTCTCCAGTGAATTGTATCAAATTGCATCAGGATGTGTCAGGAAGGAGTACGTAGGGCAGATGGTCGTCATCATGTTGGACTGTCCTCGTACTCCAACTCCATGCTGTACCTGTACTCCGGACTCCTATTGTAGGATGCACGAGGCGGAGAGGCCCGACGAGGACGCGACTGCTTGGCAACGATCGAGACCCTGGGCCCACCGGGAGATTAGGATCAACTGTCGTCATGAATTGGCCGGATTTGAAGAGTGAGGGAGAAGGGAAAATGGGATAGGGATAGAATGGAGTGAGCTGTAGAGTGTCAGTATGTCCATCAATAAGAAACATGAAGATGGTGAGGGTAGAAGAGAAGAGACGAGTAGGAAGAAGTATGGAGGAGAGAAGAGAAGAAGAAAGGAGGAAGAGAAAGATCGACGGGGCTTGCGTGGATAAACGGGGCTCACCTGACTGGCGCCCGCATGCAGCGAATCGTGCGCCGCCATTGCAACATCCTTAATCTCTCTATTCTTCTTCTTCTTTTCTTCTCTTCTTCTCTTCTCTTGGACTCATCTCTCTTCCTTTCTTCTTTCTATTCACCTTCAACTTCAACGTCACCTTCACCTTCTTCCATCCCATTCGCTTCTTTCATCGGATTGCCATGATCCGTGGTTCGGCTCGCCCCTCACGTCATCTGCTCCAGACTCGCCTCCTCCACCTCCGCCGGCCTTGATTGGCAGTCGTCCTGCTTCGACGACGTCAACGACTGTCATCCCCAACTCCCCTCGTCCCCCTTTGTTCTCCATCAGGGGCCTGGTTGAATTGCTTTATTTCCTGCTCCGTTCGCAGCAATTCCGCCATCGCCTGCGTCAGTCCCCAAAATGTCGACCCGCAGTACCCTCTCCCCTTTTCGCATCTCCCAGCGTGACGGCGAGAAATTGGACGCCAATGAAGCCTTCAGAACCATCCGCGATCACTTGAGGCGTCAAGAACTGGGCATGGAAGCTCCCAGGTATGTCCAATCCTGTCGCCTCAGTCCTCTCCCCTGACTTCGGGCAGTGGAGCCCCCCCGTGCCCCTTTCAATCGCTAACCGGTCCCTTAGTTTTTGTTCGTTCCATCGTGATTCCTGCTCCGACGAAGAACAAGAGTGTTTTCGCCTCCATCGCGATGTCATCCACACTCTCTTGCTCCCTCTCTTCCTCCTGCATCATCAGGCCTCGCGCATCGCCGCCAGTGTCTTGCCCACACACAAGGGCGCCGAGTCGGAGCGGGCCTTCCGTGGCGAGGCTCGCAGCGCATACGCCTGGCTTCATTGCATTCTGAGCGAGGAACACGATTGGTACTTGACCGAACGCTGTCCCGCCTGCATTGTCCTGCATGTCTTGCATTCCGAACCCACCATCCGCTTCGTGGCGGTCGCCTGTCTTCTGTCCGACCACCTCCAAGGCGTCGAGCTGCTCAATGGAAAACGCCGTCTCCCTAGCTTCGACTTCTGGCTCGAGGCGCTGGAGACGGCCGTGCGGGAGGATGAGTTTTGGGGCGATGATTTCTGGCCCGACATCGAATACCGCGCATGCATCCTCACCGATGGAGTCAAGCAGCTGGTGCTGCAATGTCTGGAACTTCGGACTGCTTTGGACCGGCAGACCCTGCAGCCGTCCATGCTGTACAGCAGCCGACCGCACGCTCCTCGACAGCAGCAGATGCGCTCCATCGCCGCCAAATCGAGTCCTCAGATGAGTGTCGAAGAGCAAAAATGGTTCAGTCGGGCCGCTGCGAATCGCTGCGCCCAGACGTACTGGAATGACCGCCCCCAGCGGTTTCATACCCGCCGCCATGCGGATGCCCGGAGAAGGTCGGTGACGTCTTGAGTCATGGCGTGGAGAAGATCTGGAACAGGATCATCCGCGTCCATCAGATTCTATGGCCAGGCCTTCTGCGGCCCTGGACATTTACCCCAACCTTCAGGACTTCGGGTCTAGACGAGTCTACGACTCCCGTCTCCGTGCGATCGACCCTCACCCTCTTATCCGACCGCGTCCCAGCTGGGTGAAGACACCCGTCCCTCTCAAGCGGAATGCAGTCCGACACGGCTTGTTTGATGAAGAATGAAGTCATTAGTGTCGGGGAGGAGTCGGATGGAGTGCAATTGCGTATCACCCGCTCAGCTGCGGCTTGCCCCGCAAGCTCGTCGCATCCCGGCCGCCACAGCAGCCATCAGACGCGCGTGGCTCTTTTGGGAGGTCGCTCAGCCGTGCCGGCAAGGGCGACAACGTGGGGATGCAGTGAGCGAGCTGACACGAATACTCCGATGGGAGCCTGTTTGTATTATAGTCTGTATATAGTACGAGGTATTTCCTCCGTATATCACGCATTTAATCATACAGTCATCGATTTATTGCGAATTGAACCTTTTAGGTGTAGATTGTAGGCGAGTTGTTATTGAATTGGGGCTCAGCTTGTCAGGATGGTAGATTCTAAGATACCTATTCCATTCTGGTTGTATGCAAGAGGTGGTTACGAGAAGGTTCTCGGACTATCCGATACGAAAGGAGACGTGAGGCAATTGTTTGCCTGGGGGACAGGGTATATGCGATGTCGGTGGGACAAACGGTTGGACAACCCTAATCTGATGCACATCAGCTTATGAAAACTCTTCCACCATGCTTGTGCATGACATTAGTATTGGTCTCGAACAAAGCAAAGCAAAACAACATATAATCAATCAAGGCAACCGAACCAGGCAATATTCGATGAATATGATTCCTGTTGTTAATGTGAGACAAGGGTGGAGACACGGGACAAGACCCTGAGCAATTCCAGGTGCCCTGATTACGACGGCACCGAGCCCTCAATTGCCCATTTACACTCTCTACTCCATAGTGCACGGTCTCATAATGATTAACGACATTAACGACTCTCAACGCTCGGATCAAGATTCACGATCGGGTGGGACACCTGATTGATTGGACGGACCACCCGGGGCCAGCAATCCATGGGTGTATTGATTACAGGCGGTCGCTTGTCCGCACTATTTGTGCAGGGTAATCTTCGGGAGATGGAAGGGGCGCCGAGTTCCATGGGACTTGGACAGTATCTTGCTTACAGCACTACTCCGTACACTACCTACCTAACCTAGGTAGGTACCTAATGTATACTCCATACTCCGTAGTAACCGGACGACTGGTCAGATGAGTCTTGTGGTGGTTGGGTTAATATCAGGAGCATATTAAGGATGCATGGGGCCCAAAGCGGACAATGGTCAGCGAGAAGGATGACTCGCACATGATTGCCGATCTCCGAGATACGGACTACTCCGTACTGAGCAGAACAACTACATACATACATACATAACTACCTGTACAGAAGAAGTCTTAAGACACAGGGTCTAGGCAGTCCGCCCGGAAGCGGTAGTGGGGATGGGATCGGGCGATGCACGCTTCTGGCCCTTTGGGTGCCAATCACCGAGACCTCCGAAGCCCAGTGTCGACGTCAGAGATGATTCACGACGGCAGTTCAGTCCCGACCGCAACAGCGCACGGCAAGACGGCAAGATGCAGCAGAAAACTCATGGGCGTCGTCAGACGGGCCGGGTTGGGCGGGTTGACAAGATGCAGAGATCAAGAACTATTGATTCTCGTTTCAGCTGGGGGGGTTTTTGCTAGAGAGGTTATTGGACGGGGGACTATTTTCCGAGCATCTAGACTAGTAGAACACGACATCAAAGGAGCGAACAAAGATGAAGATGAAGAAGGAGAAGTAGAAGAAAAAAACAAGAAAAACTATCGACCAGAATTCAGGTGTATTTATTAGTATTAGTATTGTGGTCGGACAATGCGGCCCTTCTCGGGATCAGAAAATCTTGGACGCTTTATGCACGGACAGCACCAATCAAAGCGACAATCCCGACTCAAACGCAAAGGACACCCTGCAGTAGACCGACGATCCTTCCCCTGTCTTTTTGACCCATTCATGACAGTAACTAGTTATAGGTATTGTCTGATGAATACTAGCTTCATTTAGTATATTCTAGTATAGATTGATCTAGTATGTCTGCCATCAACCTCCGACCGGCCCAATTTCCTGGAGCTGGGAAAAAAATCCACATCGGCCGAGGCCACGGTGGGGCCCGCTGTTTTTGGAGGCAAAAAAAGAAAACCAAGCGCATCCACCTAGTCTTGCCTGTTACGGCCTAGCCCCGATCAGCCACGATGGCCTAGAACTCCCTGGCAAGACGCCGTCGCAGACCGTAATAATAGCTGCCAGACACTGGTTATCAGTATACGTATGTAGGTACTCAGAGTCATAGTGAGACTGTCGAGTTCCAAAGAACAGAACAGAAATAAAAGTTTCCAGACGTAGATCGCACCGTAAAATAGTGAAAGTTATGAATGTCCTCGTGTCATGGATCCCCCCAGGCCGCCCGGTCTAGACCCCCCCGGGCTGGAAAGAGTGGCAGCCGTCTTGACCGTCGGGCGGTTCTGCTCAGAGTTCTGGCCCTGTCAATTTCCCAGCGTCATTCTTCTTCTCGTCTCTTTCTCTCTCTTCTCTTCTCTCTCCCTCTCTTTTCCTTCCCTTCCATTCCATTCTTCCACTCTTCCTCCAATTTCCCTTTCCCTTCCCCACTGTATCATCATTATCGTCCCCCTCCACCCTCCACCCTCCTCTCTCTCTCTCTCTCTTCCTCCCTCTTCCCTCTTTTACTCCCTCCTATCCACCTTTTCTACCCTCCCGACCGTCTTCCTCGAGACTCTTTCACCAACGCTCCCTCAGCCTCAGCCGCATTCACCACAGATTGCCTTACTCTCCTTACTACCGGAGTGCCTCCAACCTGAGCATTCCATCGACTGCGTATTCCCTAAACCACGCTGTCAAACGAATGTCCGATACTGGTGGAAGCTCCCGACCTCGATCTCGATCGGTCACCGCTCGCATCCCCTCCTCTCATCCCAACAGACTGGATGAATCAGCCACAGTGCCATGGACCATATCGGCCGACTTCTGTGGTGCGAGATAGCCCGGTCATGTGTTCGCCATTCGTCTCTGCCTCCGCTTTCTCCTCCAGCTCGTCATATACGGCCGTAGGATCGCGTTCTTCACCGCAACAGACCGTCGATACCTCGTTTGCGAAGCAGGATCCTATGCAAATCAGCCCCGTCTCTCCCCTCCGTCAACAGCTGTCCTCTCCCCAAGACGTCGGCTCCAGCCGGCTCAAACGTCGGGCCTCGCAAGGCTCCATCCTGACCAAACCTTCCCCCGTCTCCCGCTTCCTCTCCAGAAGTAACGCTTCGCTCCACCTATCCTCCCTTGAATCGAAGTCGTCTGGTCGAATCGAATCCCGCACCCATTCGGCCGACTCTCGCCTCCGTCTCTCCACCCGATCCCCCGCGTCGAGCTCGCTGGCGACTCGAGCGTCCGAGTCGACCTCCCCGTGGGATTCGAAAGGAGACTACCCCGCGACTCTTCCCCCGACCCCGCCGGACGACGACGAGCACGTTGCCTGGAGTCCTCAATCCGGAATGTTGCTCTTTGAACCCTCGATGAACCGCCATCCGGGCCCCGTCCCCATGGATGAGGGTCCCAATATGGAAAATGCCCCGCGGAACCCTCATTCAGATGGTCTGAACAGCCCGTCCGATCAGTTATCCAATGTGTCTCCTTCCACCTCTGGAGGTAGTCCCGGGTCATCCGGGGACATGGACTGCGACGATAACTCGTGGTTGGAGAATGCCACAGAGTCGACTGGTGAGTTCGGATGCCCGTCATCCTTGACCACCAACCGCTGACCTCCCCTATAGTCTCATCACTATCCCTCTCAAACTCCCGCGGAGAGGCCGTCAAGGTAGTGTCTCAGATGCTGCCCTATCCGCGCCCCGCAGACAAAACTGTCGCAGTGCCGCCGAACGAGGACGTCTTCGGTGCTCTTCTCCATGCCGTGCAACATCACTTTCAAAATGGACACCCCCCTTACATCAACATCACCCATGCCGTCCCCGAACAGTTCAGCTTGTCGAATCTTCCTTCCTCACCCCCCAATACCCCGCGTTCTCCCTTCTCGGCCGACGATTATTTCAGCTCGGGTGTCTTCTCCAGTGCTGCCGTGGTCTCGGCGTATCACGATTTCCGTGGCCCCATCCAGGCCAAGGCATCGCACTTCCCGATGCCCATCGTTCCTCCCTTCAGCGTACATATCTCAGTCCTTGAACGATATCTCCCGCCCTCTTCGGCCCAGGAATACAAGGACCTTTTCTGCCCGTCGCGCCCGTCGTTCCTGGTGGATCGGCTCTGCGAGCTCTCCCCGGATGGCGGGTCTCTGTTGTTCGTCTACCCAACCCGCCGGGGAGCGTCCACCTTCAAGTCACAATACCTCGGACCCATCCTTGATCCGTTGTTGCGGCAACTCGTGGTGGTGAACGAACTGTCCGCCGACATTGGTCGGTATCTGGGCAAGCTTTCCTCGGTCGCCCATATGGAGGATTTCGATACCATGCGCGACAATCTGATGCATCTGTGTGACTCGCTGAGCTCGTCCTCATCCCGCTTCAGCGTGGTGGATGCTCGCAAAGGTAATGTGCACCTCGATCGTCAGGTGTGGACCGAGTGGTACATCCACCAGGAGAAGTCCCGCATGAAGGAGGTGCTCAGCGTGTACTGGCAGAATGGCCGTCGACTGCCCGCGAACAAGCGGATGTCGAGCGTCTCCTCCAATTATCTCCTTGAAGACAAGGAGGTGACGTCGGCGATGCTTCTCGGGGACATCCTGGATGGCATTCGGCGTCGGCCGTATGGTGAGGAGATGGAGCCTCGTGATGGAGTCGAATTGGGCGTGTTTGTGATCCGCCGATCGCATTAATCGAAGCTCGCTTGGAATTTCTTTTTTTTTTTTTTTTTTTTTTTTTCATCTTCATGGATATACTAGGGTCATAAAAACGGGACCTGGTGGCGTCTTCCGGTGTTGTCTTTCTTTTCGGTTCTCGGACGGGCCATTCGGGCGGTTACGGTGCATGTTATGTTGGATATAAATACCCAGGATGTTTGTTTTGCACGAGGGATTAGCATAGTCTTGTGGGTAGACATGATACGATCAATGAACACGTTAAAATGATCAATCGAGCCTGAGTAGTTCCTAGGAAGTGTACTCCGTAGGTTGGAGTAGGGACTCGGAGTAAGGACCCATCCACTTCTGTCTATGGGTAATACCGATACCAGGATTTCCATCTCTAATGTGCAAAAAAACTAAAAATACCGTTTGACAGGGTCATGCGGGCGGTCAGCAACGGCCGACGCTAGGCCGGATCGGGCGGGTTCCGATTGATCCCACCGCCCGCTGTTTTCTCCCATCTACTCTACTCTACTCCTCTCGTGCCTTCTCCTGCCTCTCTCCTCAAGCTCTATATCTTCGTGTTGCTGTTGCTTTGCTGATCGTGTACGAGTCTCAGCTCTATTTGATCTATTTGCCTCGATTCTACTTTTATAGTCCACTCGCATACACCAACCTACATCGTCCTCTCGCGGAGACGACGTCCCGTGAACACCTCCCACCTGACGTCCCAATCCAAGAGCCAGCTAGTGTCCCATACTAGCCATGGCGTATTCTCCCGCTCCAGGCTCGCCTGGGGGCACTGTATCCAACAGTCTGCACTCCCGTGGCCGATCGGCTAGTCCCCCGACCAGCGTCCCTCTATCCAAACGAGACAAGCGGCGCAGTGCCCTGCAAGAGCGTCTGCATGATCTCACAGCCTCTTTCAGTCACAATCGCGATACGCAGTTTCGTCAACAACTCCATGCTCTCCAGTGTGACATGACGCTCATCAACAACGCTGACCCCTACGAACCGGGTCCTCTCCCGGACTCGGCGGACGAAATCTCCCAGCTGATCGAAAATACCGTCGGCGGAGGGAAATTCGCGAAGGAGATGGCCAGTCTTGCTGGATTGTGGTATTCCCGGTTTGTCCAAGAGGTCAACCAGGTCAAGGCGGACAAGGATGCCGAACTCGCCATGCTCCTGGTAAGTACAGTACTGATCACATACTCCCCCGGCCTGATCTACACCACGGCATGATGCTGACCATCGCAGAACCGACACAATAGTAACCTGGAACGCTTCAAGCGCGAATACGCCTTTCGCGTGCACTTTGCCGAAGAAGAATACAATAACCTCTCCTCCACCGTGCGCGAGCGGCTCGTCCAGCAGATCTCCACCAAGCGGCTGCGCCTGATGCGCGAGAAAGAGCAATTGGACCTCGCCGATACCAACGCCCTCCTCCTGCACCCGAACCAGTTCAGCATCACGAACCCCGCCAGTCCGGGCGGCATCCACGGCAACCGCAAGACCCGGCACACGCGCCATCGGGTCGACCTGGACGAGCTGGGCAACGGCATCATGTCGGAGCACTTCAATAAGCGGAAGCGCAAGGCTGCCGAGGACGACGTGGGGTCACCGGTGCGCGAGGGCTTCGCCAACCCGGCCGAACGCGCCAAGGCGCAGATGGCGGCCCAGCAGCACGCCCCCGTCTATTCGATCAACCAGCTGTTCACTGAGAAGGAGCTGAGCGCGCACGCCAACCAGGCGCACGTCGCCACGGTGCATTTCTTCTCGACCTCCAAGCGCGCGGACCAGCCATCCGGCGCGGCGACCAACGGCAACAACACCGACGCGGAGGATGCGTCCGGCCTGGGCGACGGCACCGAGGAGGGCACGCCCGCCACCGACATGGCGCGCACCGCCAGCCAGAACTTCCACGCGACGCGGTCGACCCGCACGCACGGCAACCACGCGCTCAACGCGCTGGCCGAACTGTCGGACAAGCCCGCAGTGCGCCCCAACCTGCCCTACAACATCCTGGCCAACTACCACGCGCGGTCCAGCAACAACGGCGCCCCACCGCTGCCGCCGCTCATGAACGAGGAGGTCGACGACGACTGGGCGCGCATGGACCGGCTGCACGCTAAACCGCCCAGCTACGTCGACCGCAATCTCATCAATCTGCTCGTCGAGCCCGTGCCGGCCGAAGTCGACGGCGTCCCGCAGAACCCGCACCGCTTCAGCTTGCTGCACCCGGATTTCCCGGTCGAAACGGGCGTGCACCTGTACCCGCTGAAGGGCGGCAACGGCAAGGACGAGGGCAACGACCGCACGAAACGGAGTCGACATTGACATGCTGTTGGGCGTTTGGTTGGGGGATACTACGTAATACCATGGCGTTTGACTGGTTTTTTTATACATTATACATGATTGGGTGTTATGCTTTCTTGCTACATGAATCGAATATAGCTTCCTTTGGATAATAGGCGGCAGCCTTGAGCGGCTGACTCAAGCATAGGACATGCAGTGTCTTTGAACCATGCTAGTGAATGTAATCAGAAGAAACCAGTAAACCAAAGTCTCAATGGTTCTCTTTTCTTCTGGGCCAGGGAAATGTACCTCGGCGATAATATATATGCGCCCTCGTTCCATATCCTCCTCCCGTACTGTACAAAAATCTCCAGTATATATATACAGTAGGACTTTGTATTTTCTAGTCTCCAAATAGATCACTGTGGCAGCATTCATCCAAGGACCCAGCACCACGGCTCCTGGCTGGGTTATCCTACGAACGTGATGGATCAAATACAAATTGAGCCTGACAATCCCGTCCAAGTGGCAGTCTAAATCAAATTCAACTACTTCCTATGTATGACACTATACCACAATATTACGCATATACAACGGTCCAGTCTGAAGACAAGATGTCCGAGACAACAGGTACGAGGCATGGCAAGACAACTAGTAAACAACAGCCAGCGCCACACCCATGGCCATCAACAGGCCCGACACCTTCTCCCTGGCGGCGGCGTTGAAGGTCTGGATGGGGAACGGGGCGGACGGGGTGCCCGTGGCCGTCGCGGAAGCGGTGACCCAGGACGACGAGCTAACCCAGGGGTTGGGCAGGCCGGTGCCGGTGGGGGAGACGCCGGTCGGGGCGGGGACCAGGCCGACGGTGGTGGTTGCGGCGCCGGAGCCGGTGCTGAAGGAGACCTGGGGCACGGTGACGGTGTAGGTGGAGTAGGTGATGGGTGGTGCAGGGGACCGAACGGGCCGTTGGTGACGGGGGCGACGCCGGTGGGAGCGGGGGATGAGGGAGCTACGGTGTGCACGAGGGTGATGGTGGAGGGGACAGCGGTGACGATGCTCGGGTTCTTGCGGATTAAGGGTGCGCAGATGCCGGTGAAGTGATATAGGGCAGCCTGGACCTCGGTGTCTTAAGCTCCCCAGCCTGGATGCACGCGATGACCTTGTTGGTGAAGTCGGACGACGGGACTGAAGCATCTGGTGTCGATGTTAGATGCACACTTGGGGATGGTCAGCCAGGTGTTGATGCACTTGGGCACGACGTTGGGGCAGGGCGCCGAGGGCGCGGGCGCGGGCGACGACGGCACCGAGACGCTGGTCGAGGTGAGCGTGACCGTGGAGATGGTGCTGAACACCGAGGTGATCTGGGTGCCGCTGGCCGAGAGGGTCTTGGTCACGGGGCAGGTGGTGACGGTCTCGTAGGTGACGACGGTGGTGACGCCGTGCGTCGGGGTGGTGACGGGGGCGACCCCGGTGGGCGTGGTCGCGGTGCACTTGTTGCACACGGTGGCAGTGGAGGTCACCGTGATGGTGGAGACCGTGCTGTAGACGGAGGTGGTCACGGTGCCGCTGGCTGTCGCAGTCGTGGTGACCGGGCAGGTGGTCACGGTCTCGTAGGTGATGACCGTGGTGGTGGACTCCTCGGCGCCCGGGGTCGTGGGAGACGCGCCGGTGGGCGTGGCCGGAGACGAGGTGGGCGCAGGGCCGCTCGGGGAGGAGCTTCCCACGGGGGAGCTGCCCGTCGGCGCCGGCACCGAAGTGCTCTGTCCGGTAGGCTGCGTCTCAGTCACGGGGCAGACGGTGGTCGACACCGCGATGGTGGAGGTGACGACGGTGGTCGAGTCCGCGGGACAGTTGGTCACCGTCGGCGCACAGCTGGTGATGGTAACCTCGCTGGTCGTGTAGACCGTGGAGGTGGTCATCTGGACGGGGGTGCTGGGCGCTGGGACGGTGACGGATCCCGAGGAAGGCGGGACGGGGATGACCGGAGTGGACGACGAGCCAGGGCTCACGCCAGTCTCCGAGGGAGTGACCGAGGGAGTGGCAGTAGGGCCCGGGTGGGAATGAGAGTGAGTGGTCGGCGGCTTCTCGCCAGGAGAGCAGTCAAAGTCAATGGAGTGGATGCCCAGGTCACAGTCGTCCTCGTCCTCAGACTCGAAGCTGACGGAGGTGGCACCACCGCACTGGTCGTTGGAGACATCGGTACCCTCGGGCGAGCAAGAAGCGACGCTCTTGCAGGTTGAGCCATCGGGCATGCCAAAGCTGATCTTGACATTGGCCTCCTTGGAGGTCGAGAGACGGAAGCCGCTCACGGAGAAGCTGTCTCCACGAGAGAACTTCAGTCCTCCGGAGAGCTTACCCTCGATGCAAGATCCCTGTTCTCGTTAGTGTGAGCCTCTGTGACTGAGAAGACTGGACTTACGAATTCACCCTTGTCCTTCTTGGCGAAGCCAGAGAACTCAAAGCCGCCGTAGTGGGAGAACGAGCCGTCGATGAGATCAGACCAGTCGAAGCCGTTCTGCTGATCGTCCGTGCACTCGTTGTCAGTGTTATCGGGGCTAGTATAGCACGTATCAGTGCCCCACCACTATGACCGTCAGCGTAGTTCACTTCAACATGATCGATGTACTGACCAAACCCTGAGGATGGGCCTGGGCCAAGGCGAGCAGGGAAAGAAGAGCGGCCGAAGTGATGCCCTTCATGGTGACGAGGTTCAGTGAACAGCGGTTCAGCCAAAAGAATGTGGTAGTGTATGGTCAAGAAAGAGGGGGCTTTTATTATTATCGAAGGCCAGCGACAACAATACGACACCAATAAAGAAGAAAGAAATCAGGGACAAAGAGTGATCCCGATGAACGAGTGTCTTGATCACAGCCTTTGGCGTCAGGCCGAAAGAAAACAGACAAGCAATTACGAACAACACTGACGAATGCAGTCAAGTGAGAAATGTACACAAACGAAGGTGGACAGAAAACAACAGTCCTGATGAGGCGCCGCAGGAGGGTAACTGGCTTTTAAACCAGCGAGCGTCGAGGAGCAACCGCATGGTCCAGGCAGGGTCCGGGGGGAACTCCATTCAGCAGGACGTAAGGCCTTTGCCCTCTGGACCCCCGGGCCCAAGTGAGACAATCTGAGGACGAGCGGCAGTCAGCGCATCCACCAGTGTCACAAAGAGAATCCAATGGAGGCGTGCCGGTTGTTCCGCTAGTGCAGGAACCTGCTGGACGATACCGGGGCGCGAAAGCCACCAGCGGCCACCACCAATCAGGCCCGGATCAACCCACCGTCCCTGGATGGGTCGAAAAGGGACTGTCAACGGAATGGATGTGTCGTGGTGCCCTAGGACGAGCTAGGCAGTTGCTTATGCTGCCCAGTCGAGCGCCGTCAGGGACAACCGCTCCGGATGACCAGTGGTTTGCCGGTGCGAGACGGGGTCAGCTCCAATCAGGCCTAGGCTGCATGCCACTCAGGAACGGAGTTCGCCAGCGATCCTCCTCCAAGCGCCCTGAACCCGCGAGATTGTTTGGAACCGGTCTGCAGGACGTTGGAATGAAGAGGGGGCCATGGCGGCAATCGCCGGATCGGCACCGGCCTCAGAAGACGGACAGAGAGGGCATCTTCAAGGGTGGGCGGGTGAAACCATGTGGGGATTCCGATCGCGAGAGAGAAATTCTGGACTGGACCACGCGAGGGCCCCCTGGTTGCTAGGCTGGATGGGAGGTGGTGGAAGGGGGAGGGAGCAGTGGGCAGTGGAGGAGATGAAGTGGCGTAGAGCAGTGGTCGAGATCGCTCTGGCGCCGGACAAGGCGGCGTGACGCTGAAACCCTGCACGTATCAGGCCATCTATTTTTACCTATGCCTCCTCACCTCACCTCCCTCCCTGTTCCCTAACCGCGGCCTCTGGCTATGGACTCCGTACAATACAGTAGGTATGATTATTGGCTGCGACTCGCTCCCGTCCCTTCGCTTGGCAGGTCATCTTATACCGTGTGTGCAAGTGCATGTGCATGTGGAAGAAAAATAGAATTGTAGACTATGTACTCTAAGACAAAACGCTCACACAAAAGCAACGCACAAAACAATCACACATCATCCATCATAACAGGACATAGATCAGATCGAACCCCCTTGCTTTCTTTTCCCAGATGGCAACTCACGCCCGACTCCAACCGTCAAGCAACAACAAACTTTTGGTCGTGGAATCATCACCACATTCCAGCCGCGACACCGACCATCCAGACAGACACAGTCTCGTCCAGATCGATGTTACGGACCATCGCACCAAGGGAAATAGAAGAAAGGTGTAGATAGGAAACATATAAGAAGAAATAGAAAGAGATTGCATCGTAGAACTCCGAGACGGGTAGTCCCCCCAAACAAAAACACCGAGGGTATCGTGGACAAGCGGCCAGAAAATGACGACTTCTATTCAACGCGTTCAAAAGGGCAACTGACTCCGGCGATGAGCGTCCATCAGCTTGCGTCGCACCGCCTCCCCTCCCGTATATCCATTGGCCTTGCGTTTCCGCGTAGGCGTGCGCTGGTCGGCATGTCGCGCGTGTCGGAAGACACTCGCCGGGCGGGAGGGCGAATTGGCTGGCATAAACTCTCGGTGTTGCGGAAGACGTAGTAGCGCCTGGTACCGGTTGTGGTTCCGACGGAAAGCCGTCACTATCCCCCGGTCCAGATGGTTGAGGAATCGCTCCGCACTGTTGGCCTGGTGCGACTCTCCCCCACGATTGGGAGTAGGGGTGCCCGAGGTCGCCGCCGGCATCGGTGCAGCCATAGGTGAAGTCAGAGATTCTTCATCAAACGGCTTGTCCATGTCATCGTCCGACGAGCCGTTCCCGAAGTCGATGAAGTCATCGACGTTCAGAGATGCCTCCGGATCTTCTTCATCGTCGTCGTCCTCAAACGAGCTATCAATGGCAAATTCCCGAGACGGGTAGAACGCTTCAGGGGGGCCCATCACCTGCCCACCAGGCGCAATGTCATTGCCCAGAGCGGTCATCATGAGATTAGCACTCGAGGCCAGCATCGGGCTCAAGTCCGCATGGTTGGGCGAGGCGAGCGCATCCGTGTCACTCTCGTCGATCAGATGCATCGTCGTGGCCCGCGGGCTGTTATTCGCGGTACCACACACGCTGTTGGTCGCAGACTCTAGCCAGTCATGGCGCGAGGAGGCGTACGCCGGAATAATCACCAAATGCTTCCCCGTGCAGTCCACGAGAGCGACGGGCTTATGGGGATCCGCAACGAAAGTGCCCATGATGGGACCCCGTCGACGGCTGGTAGTATCGCTCTTGTCATCACCGGTAGGGGCCAGCGACGCAGACGAGTCCCGGCGCAGGATCGACCGGGGGTGGGTGATGGTTGCGGGAGGGGGAAGGTCTTCATCTGTAGTCTCGCCATCATCGGCTTGTAGGGGGTCAGCATAGGGAGGAGGTGGTCATCATAGGTAATCTGCATACTCTCATAGCCGCTCGACTCCGATGCATCGGAGATGGCATCGGACTCCACGTGATAGATATTCGAATGTCCATAGTCGGACTCGGCATACATCTCATTCGATTGCCGACGATGTGTGGCGTAGTTCTCATTGTCGTTCTCAATCATGCGACGAAGCTGGGGGTCGAGGGCATCCTGCTGAAGGAAATCACTGGGGATCTCGTCATCCGAGTGCGAGTCACTGTCCGAGGAAGAGTCGGAGTCTTCCTCAAAGTGCACCCGGCGGGCCACCGGAGTCTCAATGGCGGTCTCGCTGGCCATGTCTGCTTCGCCAAACACCTCCATGGCCGTGTACAGTTGTTCTTCATCAAAAAAGGAGGCGGCCGACAACAGCATGTGGTCGTCAAACACATTGGGACCGGCCCAATCGTGAGCACTCGAGACGTCCGAAGCGGCCAACATACCCCCGAGGGAGTGCTCGTCTTCCGACTCGACAATGAGCAACTCCTCCAGCTTCTCGACGTCTCGATCTTCTTCATCGTCACCGTCGCTGATGTAGTCGACGGCCGCATAAACATCATCGGAGCTATCATCCGAATCATTATCATCGCTACTACGCTGGCCGTCGTAGCCATCGTCGTCCGAGATTCTCATTTTCTTGGCCCTCTTCGACGACTTCATGCCCGTCTTATGACCCCGGTCGCGACGACCATAAGACGGGGCCCGGACAGCAGGCTGATCATCTTCATCATCCGCATCTTCTTCCGAGTCGTTTCCCTCGTCGCTAATCTCCGGGACTGAGGAGACCGAGGACACGCTGGAGATAGACGCCGCTCGTCGTTTCCGATCGGAAGTCAGCGAGCCGGAGGGGAGGCCCTTGCCGGACTTCCGCTGCGAGGATTGCGCCATGCTGGAAAGGGGACTGGAGTGGTGAGAGCGGGTCTCCTTGGCACCGCCGGTGGGGAGTCGTTTCGTAGTCGGCGACATTGTTCTCCCGACAGATGGCAATCGTCTAGAATGTACGTGTAAAGGATTGGTGTGTACAAGTTTTGGTGTATAGGGACTGAGGATAGTATTGATCGACAGTCCGGACCGATGATGTCAAGACGAGCAGGACTCGAGTAGGGGTGAAGGTTCGTCGAGTTCTGACGGTGTATTCGTAATCGTGGTAGGGAGACTTCGGAGTCGAAAGAGTTCAAATGGTAGGGATTATAGGGTCGAGAGAAGATGACGGTAAAGGGGTCGGGGAGAAGAGGAGGGGGTAAGACTTTTTCTGCTTGGGATAGAACGCAAAAGCACCTCACCGTCCCGATGGACGTCAAAGTGCTTCTCCTGTGAATCGATTGAAGGGCAATTCCGACGCGGCCAGTGGAAGCGTCGAAAGAGAACAGATATCGTCAAGTCAAATTGGAGGATACTCGGAGCTGCTGGACTGAGGAGGCCAGGGAAGGGCCTCCCCAGCGAGAGATTTACAGCTCAGCGAAGGCCATTCTGGCGAAAACCCTTGACGATATCTGAATAAGAAGAAATAGAAGTGTGGTGATAGTAGTTGAGAGGACGAAAGAGTAACAGCGGCGGTGAAGGACCGGCAGGTGGGATGAGGGGTGAAGGATGGAAGTATCGGGGAAGATCAGGAAGAGAAGAAACGGCCGGGAAAAAGTAGAGGGCCGGAGGAGGGAGATGATCAGCTCTTTCCCTCCCGTTACAAAACGGAACGCCTCTTTTCCTTTTCTGGGGAGCTCCACTTATGGATCGGAAGTCTGCTTTCCCATTGGCTCATTTAGGTTCACCGCATCTTTTTCTTTTCAATTTTTCTTTTTTCAGTGCAGGAGGCCAATCAGTGCTCTCCCTGTTACTACCTAGTATTACCTTATGTATGGAGTACTGTAGGTAGAACTGGGGCGATGAAAAACCCATTCCAGAGATTTCAGGAGTCAAGGAGCTGAAGAGTCATTAGGACGTATTAGGTAGTGGAGGGTGTAGGTACTCCCAGAGACTATGTCAGCAGAGCCGATGGACAGGATGCAAATCCCACGGATGGACGCAGTTGGGTATCTCTGGCTGCAGCGGAGGATTCATAGTCATTCCGAGTCTAGTCATAATAATAACATGCCACGTCGTAAGTAACAATAGGATGTTTGGAACTACGGGAGATCTGGCCAACGAAGACGAACAACAACCAGAAACACAATCACCCATGACTGGCTACCTGGTCCTTCTAGCGCAATCGCAAAACTCGTGACTCATCGAACAGTCATCAATCTCTTTCTCGTCGTCCGTACCGAGGATAAGTCCAATATCAACAGGCATATAAGCCGTTATGCTTCAAGTATGCAAATCTGGCGAGCCGCTGATAGAGAACGGGGAAGAGCATAGAAAACAATGCAAGATGATGTAGCAGGATTTCCAGGAGCATACTCATTCCGAATCATGTTCCTTTGTCCTCCTACCTCCTTGATCCCGTCAGCCAGGGACATTCCCTGCCCCGTGCTCAGATATCATCCGACTGGATAGTCACTTTCCCTTCTTTGGAAACACATGTGGCTCTTCTTGTCTGTGCGAAATGATTCATCTATTTTGGCATGCCGATTTGATAGATCATTCCCGATGCAGGCGGCTGCATGTTGAATCAGTTCATCCCCAATCATAGTGTTGTATCCAGGCAATACGCGGGTACAAAGCGGTACGGCGCAATACGGCAAGGGACGGGGGTACCGGCAAATCCCCCCGTCCGGATTGGTCAACCACGCCACCGGCGGCTCAAGCTCATCGAGGACAAAACTTTTGGATGATTCCAGGTTACCTCATGATTCCCAGCTCGTTCTATCACGATTGTCTCGGTTTTCACATAGTCTCCAGAGAATGTCGCTCCACTGGAGTGGCAAAGGCTAGATCAACTCCCTCGAGGTTCTCCGTATCTTTCTTCTCATGGAGATCGCCGCCGGTTTCCACCTGGCAGCAACGTCACGATCAATCTAGCCCCGTCCTCGGCGCTACTAGGGGAATTTAGAAAGCTAATCATCGACGAGAACTCGGGAGCAGAGATAATCAGCACTTTTGGCGTTTGGCATGCATCATGCAGGTCTTGATTGGGGAGAAGAAGCGGTAAGGGACTGGTGGCTACCTAACCTACTGTACATTACCAGTAGGATTAGGTACATTCGCCCTCATTCCGTCGGTGGGACAGAAGAACATTTCGTGGCTAACTAGTGGAGGTAGCGTCGTACGGAGTAAGGTAGTTTTGAGTACATAATGGATAATCAGCTATTATTATTATGGATACTATGTCGCCCTACTCTGTATTATTGAGTCGGAGGGATCGGCTGTCCACGTTGTCCGAGGCTTGCTGCCTCGTGAGTCTTAACTGAAAGAAGTACTCGGTCGTGCTCTTCGATGGATACAGTGGACCGTGGCGAGATGATGTTCTCATTATTGCATTCATTTCTACGACACACACAGGTCCATCCCTCTGAATAGTAGTATCCATTCACCCTCCACCTGAATCGTAGACACAAATCATACAGAGTATTCTGTCGTATTGCCCTCCAGGTGGTGATATCGATGGCTTCTATTTTGATCCCCCGCCTAGCCCAACTCGGATTGCTGACTCACGATCGGCATGTAATAATAGTTCTGATTGGCCAATGGGTATCTGCACCCCGCAGTCATCGATTTTCCCGGCAGATATGCCTTCCAATCATCAGCCGCCAATGTCCTTAGGTAATCTAGGTTAGACTTTTAGCACTTGTTCTTCTCCTGTTCTTGTCCAACAATCTGGTTCTCCTCATTATGCCATTCTGATATCACTCGAATGAGGGGATATTGTTTAGATTCAGATCGGAAACCATTAACCCCTGAATGTGGACGGGACGGACGGCACCCATCCGTCCCATCAAAAGATTGTCATGACATCGGACAGGTTGTCCATCTAATCCTGCGCAGTTGCCACCGGAGCCAAGGATCCCGCACCGTTATCCACTCCGATCCGCAACCATGGCTCACCGGATGGTGAGGAAAATCCATACGACTAATCCACCTCGGTCCAAATACCATTGAACATTATTGTACGATCTTTGATTAGCCCGTCGGTCGACAGATTTTGTTTCCTCCGGCTTGTTGCCGGTTCCCTTGATCGGGTAGAGAAAAACATGGAAGCTACGGTATCAAATTTTTCATTCGAACTAGTGAGACAGCGGAGGTATCCAAGGAGCTGCGGAAATGAAGCCGAAAACAAAGAAACTCAAACAAACAGAAATAAGTCAAGACATTATAGGTATTAGTATGCTGTACTATGTTCCCGGATATGGCTCGACTTTCGGAGCCGGCTTTTGCGACGGTCGACCGAAAATGGACAACCGCGACTTGGTTCTTGTAGGTTTTGTAGAGTTCTCCTTCTCCTTCTTCTCCGTCTCTTCGTTGTCTTGTTTGTCATCACTGGCCGAGGCGGTCGCCAATTCCCGGGACTGCTGGGCCTCTTTCACGCCTTCGCGGATTTGAGCCGGAGATGCTCCCGCAGGAGCGGTAGTGGTAAGCGTCTCCGTAGCTCGGATCCTCTCGTCGGGAGAAGATTCCTCGTTCAACTTCCTGATTTCCTCCTCCGTCACGAGGCGCTCGTTCTCAAGGCGGACTTCACGTCCGCGCTTATGGCAGTACCACAAGACAAACAGCAGAACTATGACGCGCCATGTTAGCCAACCTGGACATATTTGAAGATACGTTCTTCTAAAAATGATCACTTACTGAACAGTGCTGTCGACCAGAGCACATTCACCCCCAACACGGCCGGGAACCGGGCTCTCAAGAATGCTACAATAGACCGGAGCATGCCTACGATGGCCGCGGGCTTTCCAACGAGCTCCTTCAAGCTAGGTACCTGAAGTCCCATTTTGTTGGCAGCCGCGGCAGCCTTACCCACGTTTTCGACATTGACACCGCTTCTCGCTGCTCTTTCGCTGGCCGCAGCAAGGATTTCTGGTGCCAGGGACTCGGTCCACCGTTCGGGAAGTTTCTCGATCAGCTTCTGGAGAAAGCCTGGTAGCTCAGAATATGTTTTCTGCAACTGCTTGTTGCCGTTTGTCAGGAGCATTTCCAGGTCGTGATATGCGGTTGGGACGCCGTTGATCAAGTCTTTGAAGATCAGTTTGAATTTGCGCAGGAGTTCCTGCGTTTCGTCGCTGATAGAAAACACGCGATTATTGTCGGCTGCGAGGTTCAGCCGCTCAAGAATGTCGGTCATGTCTTCCGCCTCTTGTCTAGCCTCGGCGTCGTTCTTGTCAACGGTAGTTACATCTTGGGTATTCGTCTGGTTCTCTTTGGGCGTCTCTAGCTTGTCCTAGAGGCAGAATAGTCAGACCTCTCCCGACAGGGCGGTGGGCGTCGAATCGACTTACTTTCTTCTCATGGTTGCTCTTCTTGCGTATCCAGTTCCATGGCCTCCATTTCTTTTCTGGCTGTGAGGAGCTCTCGGCTTTTGCCGGCTGGTCCTGGGTCTGTTCCTTTGTTGGTTCGTGCGCCTTTCTCTCTTGCTCGCCCAGTTCCCGGCCAAATTCCTCCACGGGGGACACTGGTGAATGAAGCTCCGTAGACCCGGGCTCAAGAGGGCTGACTGGAGATAACGGACCATCAGCGGGCGTCTGGGCGGGTTGTTCTGCCATGATGTTGCGCAAGAAAGCCTCGTCTTCCGGCGTTAAGACTGGGTCTTGCGACTTTGGTCGAGAGGAAGGTCGCTGGGACTCAGTATTTGCGTATTCCTGCATATTCAAGGATTCATATGAGAATGTTACTCTCTTCTTTGGAACGCAGTAGTATCCTCGTAGCGCAGAGGTTGTAGAAGAAAACGAAGGTAGAGCTGGTCAGGCGGATTTGGCGAGATCGCGGGGAAAACAGGGATACAGATACAAGAGGAGCAAGGGATGGACGTAAGGAAGACGTTTAAATTTTTATAGATTCACAGGTAAACACTGCAGGAAGTCTGATGCAGGTAAGACGGCCAGATATTATATAAAAAGATTAATATGTTGGAAAGGTGGCGGCGTCAACAAACCCCAGACGATGATGGTGAGCGATGATATCACTGATATCACTGCCATGTGATGCAAGTGTCTGCGCCACATTTAATCTGCACAGCCACGATATGATCTCCGCCACATCTGAATGTCCTACTCCTACTTTGTATACAGTACTTAGTCAGAACAAAGTATACAGACACTTCCTATGTAGTACTCAGGATCACAACACCATCTTTCTCCAAAGAAAACGTATTCTCTCATTTCAGATGTGTAGTTATCGCATACTGGTACCTAATCTACTAGGTATACGCCTAGCCACGCGTGTCTACAACATCAAAGCCAATAAGACGCAACATCCCCTCCGGCCTCATCCATCACATGATCCCCTAGTCGACAATCGTATTTGGTCACCATCTCCTCCATCTTCCTCTTCTCTTCCTTTTCTTTCTTCCACGCTTCCCCAGAGTCGACCGTCCCCCCGCTACGACACAAGTTCACTCCCATCCAGAGTGGATTTTTTGTCGCATGCGAAAGCTCCTTCTCCAGGACTTTCGATTCTCTTCGGAGATCCGTAGGTTCTTCATCTCCGTGACATGAAGACCTGCGACTACGAGCAGAATCTCGTCTTGGATGGGCAGCTTCCAAGGCTCCTTCTTCCTTCATGCTCCGACAGCGGTGACGTGCATGATCCGGTAGCGTCGTTTCTTTGCACCGACAAGTTCGTCCACTCATTTTTCCCTCGTCTGTGTTTTTGGTTTCTTCTGTCGCTCCTTTGCCTCTATACCTGGATGTCTCTCGTGTCTTTCCTGGCCCGCCTCATGGATTTGGACGGCACTTCCATGATGGCCGACAAACGCTCCTTTGACTCCAAGAATCGGGTGGGAAAGTCCGTCAAGCACGCTAAGAAGAAGACGTTCGATAGGCATGTGTCCAAGGCGAGAAAGATGCAGGAGAAGATGGAAACCCCACCGCCCGCAACGTCAGTTTCGCGCCATCAACTATCTATGGTGTTATCAAAGACCGACTGATATCTATCTGCAGTCCCATCATGAGCCCGATAGTCACTTTGATCGTGGGCATGGATCAGCGTCTTTTCGTCGCGCACGAAGACATTCTGTCCCGCTCGCCGTTCTTTGCGGCTATCCTGCAGGAACAGGTGGTTGAAGACAATATGAACAAGGCGGTGGTCTTACCAGATGAGTATGCTTCCCCTTTTGGCTAATCAGTTAACAGAAGCTCAAAACATCCTAGAGAGCCTGAAATCCTGTCCTGCGTTCTCGAGTTCCTATACAAAGGCGACTACTTCCCACGAATCCTCCGGAACAAAAAGACGGATTCGTGGGAACTCGAGAACGCCCAGGACGTCTATAACACCGGCGGCCGCGGGTCGAGTGAAGCGACAATTTTCCACTCCGCGGTCGGCGATATCGTCCTCCGGGACACGGTCGTGTACTGTGCAGCCGAGCGATATGAGCTGGAGAATCTCAAGAAGCTTGCGCTGCGCAAGCAGGGGCTGCAGAGCGGCATCCCCATCGATGTGATCCTCCGCTCCGCTCGGTATGCCTACGACCACACGCCGGACACAGAGTATCGACTGCGCGCTCATTACCTGGCGATGATCATTCGCACCCGGCAGATCTTCAAGAGCAGCGGAACCATGCAGATGGAGATGGAGACTGGTCACAAGTTCTTTTTTGATCTGTTTGTGGCAATGTGCAACCATATGGATGATCTTGAGGATCTCAGGTGAGTCTGCGGGCTGCTGCTGTCTCCACACGTGAAGTGCTAATCCATGATAGAGAACCTGACTTGCCCAAGAAAGCCTAATGGCGACACGCTACAACAACCCAGCACATTATAAGCAACAAAAGCCCAAAAAAAAAAAAAGAAGTTGTCCATTCATCTCACGCCCCAACAGAATGCCAGACTATGGGGCTATAGCTGATATCGCCCTTCAATTCGTCGAGGTTGGCCGACCATTTGAGTATGGTTCAAGGGACCATATACTATACCGCTATTTAATCATCTAGCGTTTGTCTGTTGTTCCAGAGCCATTCCTTGCGCGCGTTCTGTACTGCATTGAGTATCTTGTTCATCCCGCTCCTTTCGCATGACTGTTGTATGAGTGATGTTGGTAGAATGATCTAGCTAGGAATTGAGAAATTCGGCCGCCTCAGTCGGATGTCTAGTAGCATGTATATCTGGACAGATCCCTACTTTGGAGTCTGCCTTATTAGATACTACGCTTGTACGCCTTCTCAGACATGGAAGACCAGCCCGGCCATATCACCGATAGAAAGTAGTAGTAAACGTAACCAGCTACTACATAGCTGTATCCGAGAAGAAAAAGACACCAGCGCCACGTATTCACATTCCTTCTCCCTGTGCTAGCTGCTCATAGAGCTAAATTAGTAAACTATCGATACAAATATTAAGAAACATCCGTGTTCATTAGCGAACCGATCCCGAACCCAGTCGCTCACTCGCAATCTCATCAAGTCACAAACCCCTAAGACACCATTCGCACAGCAGACAAAATAACCACAATCGAAACAGTTCAAGCAGACTTCTTCTTCCGACCACGCTTGGGCTTCTCCTCAGGAGACTCAGCCTCATCCTCACTCTCGACCTTCTTCTTCGCAGCCTTCTTGGGCGCCTTCTTCTCCGCAGCCGCCCTCGCCGGACGACCACGGGTCTTCTTGGGCTTTGGCTCGTCGGACAGCTCCTCCTCTTCCTCGTCAGACTCGACGGCTGCCTTGCTCTTTCTGGACTTCTTGGGCTTGGGAGCGGGCTCCTCCTTGTCCTCGTCCTTGGCCTGGGCACGACCGCGCTTCTTGGTCTTGGGCTCAGGCTCTTCCTCCGACTCGTCATCCTAATCATAGCATTAGCGTCGGCACTAAAGCCACTCTTACAAAGAGATGGGCGCATGCATACCTTGGCAGCAGCCTTCTTCCCGCCGCGCACGCGGAACCCGACCTTGCCGGGACGATTCATCTCGACATCCTATACACACGCAGTTAGCCACAGACAATCGAGAGGAAAGACAGGCGAGTGAAAGAGCAGGTAGAGCTCACCCCCTTCCACTCGTCATCGTCGACATGCCCCTGCTCCAGGGCCCGCACAACGCGCTCCTGGTTCTCAGGCGAGAGATCCTCAAAGCCGTCAATCGCCTCGGGATCCTTCTTGTCGCCGCTGAGCTCCTCGATCGTCTCGTTGAGGTTCGAGATGATCTTGGGAGTCACGCAGCCCCTGCGGTGGATGTCAGCGGCAATGCAATGCTGATGATAGTGGGTGAGAGCTTACCAGTGTCGCCACATGAAGGCCTTGATTCTGTCATTCTCGACCCAGGTGCCGTGGCGGAGCTCGCCCTTCTGGATCTTGATTTTCTGATCCTTGCATTCCTTGTTTTGGCAGCCGGCTCTGGAGGTGGAGGCCTCCTCTGGGGTTTGTTAGTAGGAACTAAAAATGGAGGGGGTGCGATGATTGAATTCAATCAAGGGAAGGGGAATATGGAGACGGCCATTTTAATGCAGAGGGAGGGGAATGGATGGTATCTTCTGAAGAAACATTGGGAACATTGAAGAACAGGACAGACGTACCCAAACGATAGCTTGGCATGGCTTGGAGGTGATGCTATGCTTCTCTGCGAGGATGATAGAAGAGGCGCAAAAACAGCGCAGATGGAAGATTAATAGACAGCAATTAGTTGAGAAAGCAAAGGAAGTGGACGGAGAAGAGATGAAGGGCGATGAGATGAAGATGGAGTGGAGAAGGAGACGGAGAAGGGCAGCGCTGGACAACAACAAAAATCACCCGCCAACGGAGCACGCCACAGACCAGTCCCGCAGTCTCTGCCCCTATTCTTGCGTTTCACCTGAGAGTAGTTTGATAAAGCCAGTGAGACATCTTTCATGTTTCTTTCACGGTCGCGCATTCCCTGGTTTGCTATTTATTTGATTTTCTGGCGGTTGAACTCTGATATAGTTCGGTGCCGCCGCCTTTATGTTCACCACCATCGATGGAGTAAGGCATCTTAACTATCAATGAATTGGATTGAATGGCATAAGATACAAGCTATGTCCTCTGAGAGAATGCCATCAAGAGTAAATTCAACTTCATACAGCAGAATTGACAGAATGTATGCACCCCAACACCATACTCAGACAGGAACCGTTGATATCATCAAATTGGGTGGTGTCCACAGACAAAGACGCCGCACCAGGTTTAAGAACTTTCGCGACCAACAAAGCCTGATTCAATATCCTCCAGCGCTCTGATATGCTTCCGGAGCATCACAATGGCCCCCAAGCTGAGACGCGAGACAAACCCCGACGCCACATCATCCTCACCGTCTTCCTCATCACCAGATGTGCGATTGTGATGCTCGATCATGCTCAGAGCATCCTCGATGGTCCGTCGGAGCAGCCGTGGACTCTTCTTATCATCGCCTGGTGCCCCAACCGGGAGATAGTGCCACGCAAGAACGTCTTCCATTCCCTTCACGGGGTGTTCGAGAGCATGTTGGATAAACCGCCGTGTGACCAAGAATGTTTTCTCCGTGTATTGGTGGGATTCAATGCGTTTCTTATCCTCCGCAGCTAGAGCTTCATATCCCGCTTCATCTAAGACATGTTAGGATGACAAGAGGTTGGCATTGGAGTCAACGTACTATAGAATGGTGCCTTCACCAACACGAGCCCCATGATGGAGACCAGGATCTGTAAGACAGTTGAGCGTGTCGGAGACCATGATTCTTCGGGGTTTGCGGTCGGCCAAGTGCCCAAGATACTGAGGCATATTTTCCCATCCTCGTACAGATTCGGGTTGATCTGCCCCTGTCTGTTGGTCCAGGAATGGAAGTGAACAGTGGGAGGAGCATTGGGGAAGCTAGCTTGGAAGTGCAGGTCAAATATGAATGGCGCGTGCTCGTATGGGGTTCCTTGGGGCCCGAAGATCAGCACTCGTGCCAGGTCCACCCTCGATTCCCACACTCGAACAAATATCCCAGGCGGCAAAGAGGATTGAAGAATTCCAAACTCTTTCTGGAGACGCTTGAACCATGGGCCGGTCGTGCCTGGCGAGCTGGTAGAAAGGAAACGGTGATCAGATGGAGGAAGAGTGTCGAGCACAGCAAATCCTGGGGGAGGGGAAGTCGGGAGATGAGAGGCAAGAATTGATCCGGCGTCATCGCCTTTAGAGTCGCATTCTTTGCGCTCGGGGAATTCCTTCTCCTGCACCCGCTCGGGCTCTATTGGGTCAGGGGGAGCAATTTCGGAGACCTCCTGTGGCGGATGATTCTCGTCTGTATCCATGAGGCCTGGAAGTTCCTCTTCATCAAATTCGTCGTCAAGTTCATCATAATCTTCGTAATCTTCATCATCTTCTGTCACCCACTCGTCATCTTCAAGGACGGCAGACAACCCATCATCGATATCAGAGAATGGAGTGCTTCCTATACCTAACCCGAATATATCGAAGCCAGGCGGATTTGGCCCATCAGGACTGAGCATGTCAAGAGGTGGAAATGGCCAGGGAGACATATAATCATCATCCAGCACCATCATTATCCGCTCAAAAGGAACAATAATGTCGCGGCAGTTCCTCGCATCCAGCAGCCTGACTCTGGCCATCCCGTTGGAGCCGATAGATACAATCTTTCCTAGAAAGTCAATGGGGCCTTTTGTGTTGAAACCATCGTGATGTACACTATACCGGGAGGGCAAGGGTGTTGTATCAAGTTTGGTGCTCTCTCGAAACCAGTCCAGAGATAACAGAGACATCTTCATTGCTTCAAGGTACAGAAAGACTTCGAAGAAAGAGATCGGTGATAGCATGCTCATGTGGCAGGGACCGGTGGAAAAAGGCGGCGCTGGGCTTGATAGTGCCATCACAGACTGATGAATGGTTTCGGGAGCTAGAATCACCAGATCGTCCAGTTTCCTCTTCATGCAAGAGTACGTGGTGAGTTCATAGAAAGACACATCCGTGACCACATCATCCAGATCGCCAAGTCGCGAGCCCGTCTGTAGCATGCTCCCTCTGTGGGGCAGTTGGATATCGGGATGTTTATACCAACGTACAGAGGCGACTCTTTCCCGGCTATTGACCGTCTGGATCACGCCCACTTTCCTCGCACGGAGCGTTTCGCAGATTTCATGGCTATGCGGGACAGAGGCAGATGGATGAGAGGTCTCCACGCCGTCCTTTAAGAGGACAATGTTCCCTGGCCAGTACTCATCGTCAGTTCCCGAAAACCTGTGCAAACTGGTTGTATGTTCGATCGTTACGCTCCCATCCTGCCACTGAACGGTGACTTCTGTCTGGGTAGAAGCTATGCGGAGAATGTTGATATCATGGCCATAGGATTCATCAGTCGGGATCTGTTGGTAGGACGGATACTTTGCAGCTGCAGCCTTGGGGTCACGGAAACGGACTCTGTCTCCAATTCGCAAGCCAGAATCCGGCTTGACCAGTGTTTGATTGGGGTTATCATTAGGGAGGAGCCCAAAGTCGCATTTGATTGCATTCCCCTGCAAGGCAGATGCCCGCAGAATCTCGGTGTTGGCGCCAGTGTACGGCAACCCCACGGCAAAGACATTCGGGCAAAGCCAGTCGACGTGGATGTCCATTGGCGGCGTGGCCAAGACATGACCTTGCGGAGTCGACCCTGGGCCATAACCGAGGGAGGCCCTCTCAGCTCGGGTCATGTCGTTTGTAGTCGTAAACGCGTATTGTCCTGGAAATGTCATGCTCGACCGAGAGGTCCAGATAAACCCACCATTGGTCAAAGGGCGAATTGGCATTGCTGAGGGGTTGGTGTGAAGGGCCACAACTTTGGCGGGGTCATTATACACAGGGACATACAGGGAGGTTGGATCCGACAGGGACACGGGTTTCTTGTCGTCGAGAAGAATGACCGCATCTCGCTCTACTGCATGAATGACGCCGACCTTTTGCCGGTAGATGATGTAGTCACCCTCGGAGAACTCCTCGTAGTTGACAAGCTCTGACTGGGGAACATCAAGCACCTGTGGGGGTTTCGGACCATCAGGCTTGGGGCCATCGCGTGGGATGGGCTGGTCGGTGAACCTGAGCGGGCCGTATTCGCCTGTTGCAGGGTCTAGAGGGCGCCAGGCAACCGGTTCCAGGCTACAGCTCACCGATGCGCTGATGACCGTGCCGCTCTCCGTGTCATTTGCATGCCGCTTTACATTCTGACCTAGGGTTAAGGCACGGTCGACGAGTATCAGGTCATCTTCGTGTATGAGGCCAAGCCCCTGTGACGGCTCGGGAAAACCCACGAGGACGTATCCTTTGGGCGGCACGCCACTTTGCAGGAATTCCGTTTCATCGGCTTTGGGAACTGACGTATAAGAGAGGATCAAAAGACCAGCTAGTGGCTGACGATCATGGAGTTCACAATGCGTTCTAACGACATGTCCCACCAAAGCGGGATTTGATTTTAAAGAACAAACATCGTGGATGTCGAACTGGAAGTCTCTGGTCAGTTGGACTGGACCAATTCTCTTCAGAATATAACCGACCTTGCGACTGTCATGCACCGAGACCCTTGCCGCGTTGGCCGCGTCCATTGCGATAAGGCGCGGGGTCCAACAGAGAGTGATACAGAAGATAGTGAAGATGGGTGGCCGTCTAACAGTCCATGGCAGTTGAGAGGCGTCCCGTACTCTGGAGGGATTCAAGATCTCATGAGCTAGGCAGTTGAGTGAGATGGAAGAGAAGGGGTGAAAGAGAAAGACGAAAAGAAGAGAGAGAGATTATCTGGAGGTAATGGCCATAAAAGGATGATTGATACATGATTGCGTGCCTCAGGCTGCCTGTCACATGTTATGCATAAAGCCCCGAATCTCTTCTTTATTTTGTTTATTTTTGTCCTTCTCTTTGGTGTTTCACTGAACTGCAATCCACGATTCTCCCCGCGGATCAATTAGGTGCTCCCGACTTGTTCCTGGCGAAGGTGAAGGATGAAGGCCTAGAAATCCCCGAATCTACAGTATACTAAGAACGTCTCCACACCTCACCGCTCTGCATTATCCGCCGGGATCGCCCAGTTGTGACCACCAGACCCTTCTGTCGAGGAATCCCCTCTCCCACCAACGTCGTCCTTGAAAGCTGTTAATTACCATCATCTCTTTGTCCTGTCTATTTGCATCTCTGACATCCACGTCGCTGCGCCAGCCACTCCCCTCTTACGTCAGACGCTTCCCTTCAACCCAAAATTTCCAACAGACGAGGCGTCGTGCGCGCGCGAATCGCAACCCCGAATATAACCTCTCATATAATCTCTCCTGTCTATATACACCAACCCAACTCTTCAGCTATGTCGGAACCCGGCCCCGAGTCGATCCCCACCAGCGCCGACCCGCGCAGTAAGAGACCAGTGAAGCGCCGCGCCGTCACCGCGCAAACCGAACAAGCATCGCAAATCGAACATCTCTTCCGCGACCCGTCCAAGGAGATCAGCCTTCCCGGTCCGTCCAAGCAACGTACGTCGGAATCACTGCCCGCCCCGCCGGAGATCGTCGCCAACGTCCAGGGTTCATCGGCGGGTGCGGGGTCTGGAGAATTCCACGTCTACAAGGCCAGTCGTCGGCGGGAGTATGAGCGCTTGCGCCTGATGCAGAGTGAAGTCGATAAGGAGAAGGCTGACAAAGACTGGGAGAAGGAGCGAGATGAGGTCAGGCGCAGGGATGAGGAGAAGACGGAGAAGAACCGCAAGCGGAGGGAAAAGAGAAACGCCGCAAAGAAGAATAAGAATAAGAACGCGTCCAACAAGGGCGAGGCGATGGCAGTGGATGCGAAGGAGCAGGAGACGTTCAATGCCAGCGGACACAATGGCGATGGTGAGTACCCTGCAGAGGCCCCCGGACAATCGAGCGAAGGTCCTGGCCTGATCATCCACGACGACTGAGATTACGTCTGCCGATGAGGGATGTACGATACGAAGATACCCATGTAATTTTTAGTAGTCTAGGATATTCATACAAAATCAAGAGGTGATCGTGCAGCATTATGTACGCATTTTATTTCCTGTCTGTCTGTCCTTTACTCGTCCCCTCCACCCATGTTAGCACCCGCCTGCTGTGCGGACTTGCCGCTGCAAATATCATCGACACGGAGAAGGAGGCATGCAGACTGATTGTATCGTTAGTCATAAGCGTCTTCGACTGGATGAGATTAGTACTCACCTCGACTGCAGTCTTGATGCTCTGAAGCTTAACAGCCTCAGGCTCCCAAACACCATACTCCTTCATGTCGACCAGGGCACCCGAGTCGCCGTCCAGACCCCACGTGGTCTGGCCCTCAACATGCTTCGCTCTCATCCGAGTGAGAACACGGATGGGGCTGGCGCCGGCGTTCTGTGCTAATGTGCGGGGGATAACCTCCATGGCGTCGGCCACGGCCTTGTACGGCCATTGCTGGACACCCTCCACCGACTTGGCCAGCTGGCTCAGCTTGACGGAAACGGCCATCTCAATGGCACCACCACCGGGAGAGAGACGAGGGTGGAAGATCACATTGCGGGCAACGGACATGGCGTCCTGAAGGTTCCGCTCAACTTCGTTGATAATGTCCTTCGACGGTCCCCGGAGAAGAATGGTGCAAGCCTTGGGGTTCTTGCATTTCCGCATGAAGGTAAAATATTCGTCTCCGATCTTCTCAATCTCGAAGAGACCGCACTCAGTTCCCACATCGGACTCCTGGAGGTCATCGACCCGGTTGACGATCGTGGCGCCAGTGGCACGGGCGATTCTGTTGTTGTCCGTCTTCCTCACGCGGCGAAGAGCGGTGACGTTGGCCTTCATCAAGAAATGTTGGGCGAGATCTGTATATGTCAGCCACGGATGACCTCGGCTCCTGAAGGAACAAATTCATACCGGAAACACCCTTTTCGGTGATGACCACATCAGGCTTGAGAGCCAAGATAGCATCACACATATGCTTCACCTGTTCCTCTTCAATCTGCAGGATGCGGTTCCAGTCGTCCTCCTTCGACACCTCAATGTTCGTCTGCGATTCACCTTTCTTGTACTCCAACGGGCAGTCGAGCAGGATAATCCGAGGGTTCTCGATTCTTCTCCGCATCTTGGGGTGAGTGATGTCCTTGTTGACCATGACGCCGTCAATGACCTCACTGTCCTCAATCTGTCCACCGGGGATCTTCTCAATACGGGCGTAACGCTTAATGTCAACCTCTCTCTTTCCACCACCCGCATCGAAAGAAACAGTCCGGACGGCCTTCAGGGCAAGGCTGCACATCAGCTCGGACCAACGGGATACGAACTTCGTTCCGATGGACGACTGGATCAAGGTGTACATGGCCTTATCGTCGTCAATATCCACGGGTATCGAGACCTCTTCGATGATGGCAAGGGCGTCGGCCAAAGCACGCTTGAAGGCGGAAATAATAACGACAGGGTGGATATTGCGTTCGAGTTGGGGGAGGGCCTGTGCAAGCATTTCACCAGCTGACACAAGTCAGTATTTTACCTAAAAATGAACTCCGAAGGTGAGGGACGGTTGAATAAATACCCAAGATGATCACAGTGGTGGTTCCATCTCCAACTTCCTCATCCTGAGTCCGGCTAAGCTCGATCATGCTCTTCGCCGCGGGATGCGAAACTTCGATCTCTCTCAGAATGGCGTGTCCATCGTTGGTCAAAACAATTCCACCCATAGGATCCAGAAGCATCTTCAGCATGGCCTTGGGACCGAGACATGACCGGATGATATCCGCAACGCTGTAGGAACCGCCCGCGTTAGAGATGGAGGTATAGTGGGGGGTTGCACATACGTCTTCGCAGCGGCGATGTTGGACAGTTGCGCCTTACGACCGACCTGTCTTTCACCAGAGTTGGTGTCTAAATTTTCCGATTAGCGATTGGCCATGGAAGGTTGAGCTGACGCTTGGGAACAACATACTCATCACCACCACCGGGGCCTGCATGTTGGCGGTGGTATCTAGACGGGATTAGAAAGCGAAAGGGGAAATCAATAAAAATCACAGATCAAAAACGGGAAACTATCCCGAATCAATCCAAACAGCTCACGGAGAAGAGCAAAAAGAGGTGAACGTGGAGGGGATCTGGAGAGGGAGTGCCCGCCTTTCAGCATCAAATTCGAAGTGGGATTATTATTGCCGCCAGCAAGCTCACCGCCCCTAATCCCCTTTCGGGTTAGCCCGTCCACTCCCCCTGATCGGCCTACATCCATCTTCTGCCTTCTTCATCTACTTCAACTCTGCAGTAACAGCAGTCAACACATGAGTATCACAATGAGTGACATTTGCTGGAGATAAAGATTTGGAATTACTCAATGAAATCACTATGCTTCAACCATTATTCTCTCTCTGAACGTCTTCACTCATCCGGCTTTTTAGCTTCTATATAATCTGCGATATTCCCTCTTGTCAACCCCATTCTTCTTATATCTTCCTAGGGTATCGGGTCTCCTACCTGCAAACGCCCGTCTTCCGTTCTCATTTTAGAAGCTTGCATCCTATAATTATAATTACGACTGCGTACGAGGTCGCCACCGCTGCAGGTGCCTGTGGAGCTGGCTGGAGTAATCAATGCGGAGGGCGTTCCCCTTGTTTCGGAACCCGAGGCTGCTGCCCTCTATGCTTTGGACGCTACCAGGCCGAACTCGATTGGAGTAGGTCTCAGCTCGCTACGGGGTTGGGTTGTCGATGATGTCGTTATTGTAGGGGATTTAACTCGGTATTTCCTCTGGGGATTGGAGAAGGAGCCACGGGGCTTATAGCACCAGATGGACGCATAAGGTGACCATCAAGCAGTACTACCAATTCGTCTGTGCGTCGGTCGACGGGGTAGACGACAGCACCCTAGTCCACTGCTTCCCTGGAAAGCAAATCCCCGGTCGACAACGTGACGAACCGACCTGTACCATGTCCACTATGGAAGCCGTGACTGCCGCGGGTGCAGGCGGATGGTTCAACGACTTTGTACAGAGAGGAGATTCAGCGGCGTCGTCGCGCAGAGCTTTCTACGACATCAGAACGTCTAATAGCCACACAACGCAGAAGGATCTATGACAGCCTATCTGTCTTTGATAACCAGTCTAAAGGACCGCGTATACATACACACAATCACCGAGGCGCCGCTGTTTGATTGAATCACTTACTAACGAGGATCCTTTGCAGGATCTACTGTCTAGTTTGCGCTTGGGATGGCTATGATGCATACAATCCTCAACTTTACTTCAGGGCTCTTGGCCTTCGGATATGATTTTTTTTTTTTTTTTTTTTTTTTTTTGGCTCAATATATACATGAATAGTTTGATATATAGTATTAAACACCGTAAATATGTAAAGTAATAAGAGAGTTTCTATAGTACAAAGTCTACTCAGACAGACATCCTTTAGGTTCAATCAGAACTCCCGACTCTCACCAATGTCGCAAACATCAAAGACACCTTCCTCGGGAATCTCATTCGTCCTCAGAGCTTCCCGCAACTTCTTCGGGGGTTCGAGCACGTCCTCCTCGGTCAAAACCCAGGTGCCCCAGTGCATACCCAAAGCCCTCTTGCATTTGGTATCCTTGAAGATATTGACGGCATCATGGGGGTTCGCATGCATGGGGCTCATGAACCAACGAGGCTTGTATGCGCCGATAGGAATCAACCCCAGGTCAAAAGGTCCTCGGAACTCACCGACCTTCTTGAAAGCAGGGCAAGTGGGGAAGTTGTATTCTGGGGCGTAGTCATCGACATCGTCCGGAAGTTCGGGCACAGCTCTGTACCCGGTGTCTCTGTTACGTGGCAGATATCAGTCAGCATCCTGCATGCGAGTCCAAATCAGTGGAGGAGATTCAACATACCCGGCGAAATACACCTTGCGGCCGCCGGATTCAATCGCCCAGGAAGACCACAGAGTCTTGCCCCGGTCGAACAGACCTCTATTGCTAGTGTGTTGGCAGGGTAGACAGCTGATCCGCGCTTGGATGTCAGCCGAGGCGGCACTGTTATTCGCAGGCTCCGTGACTTCCGTGCCAGTGGGTTTAGACGGCGAGAGAGCAATGTCTCGTTCCTCCCACCAGTCGAGTTCAGTCATCTTTTCGATACCCGAGCACGTGAACCATTCTTTGTTGCCGAGGGGAGCGAAGAAGTGGCAGTTAGGATGACGCTCGGATATCTCCTTGATAGTAGGATACGAAAGATGGTCGTAGTGATTGTGCGAGATGACCACGGCGTCGATGATGGGAATATCTTTGATCTGACAAGGCGCCTCAGTGTAGCGCTTGGGGCCCAACCACGACAGAGGCGAACAGCGATCCTCAAAGACAGGGTCAAACAGCACGCGTAGACCACTGGGAAATTCAACATAGTAGCACGCGTGACCGAGCCAGGTTGCTCGCAGCGACGTATTCTCACGACTTGCCAGGAACTCTGGTTTGCGAACAGGCACGGTTGGAGGAGTTGTGTCGGGCCGGTTCGCTTTGCCGGTGACCTGACGACTGTTACGATAGAGTGAGATATATGTTCTGTCAAGAAAATATCACTGAACGCTTACCCCAGCAACTGTCTCATAGCTTTGAAGTCGACTGTTCTCCAGGAACTGTGTAATGCATTAGCGCTAGACATGACGGGGTGTCTTCGAACATCGCTCACTCCCAAGGGTTAGTGAATCCGCCTTGAACATGGTGGCTCTTTTCTTTCGCGTCATCTGGTCTCGTCGAGACCGGCGGTACGGATACCGTGATAGCATAGAGGACTGCTGCGGTGGAGGAGCTCATATTGCGTCGAGCCGCGGGCGACGGATTGGGTAAGTGATGTAGTCGACAGTGAAACAAGCGTCGGAAGAATGACCGCATTCTCGTGAGAGGATCGTTTACTTCTTATAACAAACACACAGTCCGCAGGAGAGGGGATTTTTTTTTGTTCCAAGACAAGAATCGTGATGTGGTGGCTGATGTGCATTTCATATGCCCGGCATTGCGACTAAATCCGTTATCTCCGTCCCTCGGGTGTTTCTAGTAGGACATCAACGAGAAACCGCTATTCAGGAATTTAAAAAGTAACTCAAGGAATTGAGTGTATTGCACATGAACGCATCACACGTTTATTACTCCGGCAGTGCTGGACATTGCACTGAAAAGTTGTTGTACAGAATGGAAAGAGCGACGGAATGAACTCGGTCCGTCATAACTCCGACCGCCGATATCAGGTCGGATGATGATGTTTTTCTCCAGGCATCACAGCTGACGTCGCAACTCACATCGATCCCTCTTCCTCGCTTGGAATGGATCCAACTGGCCCATCGGGGACGCCGGGCCTGCCTTCGCCGGGCGAGTTAATAGCCCAGCAACGAAAAGATGCCATTCAGGCAGCGGGGCAGCCGACCGGCGAGGGCGGCCTGTTCGCCCAGCTCACCAGCAACCCTTTCTTCACGGCGGTAAGACATGAGTGAGACGAGTCAGCGGGAAGGACTTGGCACAAGAGGAATTGGAAGACTGACGGGGTCTTTATTAGGGATTCGGACTCGCCGGTCTAGGAGCCGGCCTTAGCTTCGCACAGAAGGGCATCCGGCATGGCGCCGCGCTCCTCCGCCGGCGCATGCTGGTCGACGTCGAAATCAGCATCAAAGACGACTCATACCCGTGGTTTCTCCACTGGATGACTCTGTACCAACAATCGCAACTCAACAACGCTCGGTCCGCCGCCAGCAGGTCTGGCTTCATGGAATCCCTCCTCCAGCGATTGACCCCCGGAATGCGACATCTCTCCATTCAGACGCAAAAGATTGAGCACTCGAACGGGGCGATTCATACCCACTTCGCGCTGGTCCCCGGCCCCGGAAGACATGTCCTGCGCTATAAAAATGCCTTCATCTTCGTCAATCGGATGCGAGAGTCCAAGTCCCAAGACCTCCACACCGGCCGGCCGTGGGAGACGATAACCCTGACGACGCTTTATTCGCATCGACATGTATTTGAGGACTTGTTCATGGAGGCCCACGCGTATGCACAGAAGTCACACGAAGGGAAAACCTCCATCTACAACAGCTGGGGCGCGGAATGGAAATTGTTTGGACAGCCTCGGCGGAAGCGTCCTTTGGACTCGGTCATCTTGGACCAGGGTGTGAAGGAACGGATTGTGGACGATGTTAAAGATTTTATTGCGAGCGGAAAGTGGTACCACGATCGTGGAATCCCGTACCGTCGCGGTTATCTGTTCTACGGACCACCGGGAACCGGGAAGAGCTCCTTTATCCAGGCACTGGCTGGCGAGTTGGATTACGACATTGCGATATTGAACCTGAGCGAGCGGGGTTTGACGGATGATCGATTGAACCATCTGCTGACCATTGTCCCCAACCGAACGTTGGTGCTCCTGGAAGATGTGGACGCAGCGTTTTCCAACCGACGAATGCAAACCGACGCCGACGGATATCGCGGCGCGAATGTGACCTTCTCAGGTCTCCTCAACGCTTTGGACGGAGTTGCAAGTGCCGAAGAACGGATCATCTTCCTCACCACCAACCACGTGGAGCGACTGGACGAGGCTTTGGTCCGCCCGGGCCGTGTCGATATGACGGTTCGCTTGGGTGAAGTGACACGGTACCAGGTCGGCTGCCTGTGGGATCGCTTCTACGGCGATCTGGACACATCGGGAACATACCGACAGAGGTTTCTCGATCGCCTGCATGAGCTCGGGCTGATTGAAGACGAGAATGGCCGAATGCCGGACCAAGCGAAGAGCACGAGCGCTGCTGCTCTCCAGGGTTTGTTTTTGTACAACAAGGGAGACATGGAGGGAGCCATTGCGATGGCCGAGGGGCTGACCACCAGTGTTCATGAAGAGGCTATGGAGCATGGCCAGTGATGAGGACCTTTTCTTGTATAATACCATCATAGATACTGTATGTATAAAGAGTCATGTATTTTTATGGGGTTGTTCCGTCTGATGATGTATTGCCGAACCTCTTTCACGATTCGGCCAGCCTGTGTCTCTGCATTGCTGCATCCATCTCACTGCCTCCCACTGCCCTGCATTTGACCTTCACGCAGCTACTTTGCTAACTGATCATAGGCTCCTTTCAGACCAATCACGACTTTGTAGTGCTGATCAAGTGCCGAGATTGTGGAAATCAGCCACTCGCATCCCGGCGCTGACCTTTGTGAGGAATTCCATCCTGCAGAACTCCACGCGAGGTCGAGTCACACAGAAGCACGATCCTATCTCTCTCGGCGTCACTAACAGGACGAATGAGGGCCTCAGTTTGCAGATGCGAAGCGCCGGAACGGAATGTCAAGCCACTTTGGCGCAACGGGACGCACTCACGGTCCGCCAGCCAGAGAGCACCGTTAAGCGCCGGCCTCGATGAACCCCAGCCCATGCAGGACAATGCCTTTTCTTCACACCGCGGAGCCTCTCACCGTCGAGATCCTTGACGCCTTCTCTCGATAGCCTCCTGGAGATCCCGCTGGGCTCTGGAGAAGGTGTGAGTGAAGGGGTTATATTATCACGACCGATCCCAGGGTGGATCGTTGTCCGGCATGCTCTCGTTTTTCTCGTTGGTTCTCTATACCTCAGTTTTTTTTTGATATTTTCCTTATACCTGGAGTGCTGGCCTCTCCGTGATCCAGCTATCTTTAACTGCGTGCACGGGGTTCAAACTTGTCCACCGGCAGTTCAATTGAGCCAACTGATCGGCTGTACCCCTTTGTGATATTCTTCGAACGTTCTCAATCTCGTTTCCTCATTATTTTTGATACCCCAAGTCATACAAAATGAGCCAATTTCAACTCTTTCCCACGACCTCTCCACAATCCAAGGGCTCCAAGAATCCATTCCGAAAGGAGAAAAGGCCACAAGCCGCCAGCCCCAAACCGTCTGGTTCGACTCGAGGCTCGAAACGAGGTAGTCCGCGGACAGAGGCAGTTCTTGTCCATGTCTTTGAGGAGACGAACCACGTGAAGCCGCCTCCACAAGCACATATCCCCGGGTCTGCGTCAGTGTCCAGTCCAGAGACTCCAGAGTCGCGGACATGGTCCAGCCCGCAAGGGAACGGATCAGAACGCTGGGATTCACCAGTGACTGAAGTATCCAAGTCGCCGTTGAGCGCTGACAGTCATAAGGCTGCCGCGCATAATACACATCAGAGCAGTAGCTCCCCGGTGATACCCATGAAATCGATATTTCCTCGATACGATCCCAACGTCCCGCTCAGTCAACAGAAGTATTACCCGCAACTGCCAAATAGTCCTCAAGGACGCAGGCCTCGCGCACTTACTTTATCGCCGCAACCTGAAATTGATCGCACCCTTGGCCCAAAGACAGTCCCAGCCAGCGTGATGGATTTTCCTACAGACGTCCTGGACCAAGTCGAGGTACGATATTCATCTACGGAGGAACTGAAAGATCTGTGGGAAGCTGCCAATGGTCAACGACCAAAAGACCTCGCAGAAACATACAATCTGCGCGTTGCCCGGTAAGCGTTTCACATCTTGATCATAGCCCAGAAGCGTGCTGCTAACTGCATCAGAACGGATTCTTCCACATTCACATTTGGAGATCCCAACGCACCTTTCTACACAATGCAGACCCATCCTACCGATGAGCTCTCCATCAAGAGAGCCAACCCCTCAACTCTTAAGAGCAGCGTGCCAATCATGACATTGAAGCTCGAAGATCGTCGTCGTCGCGATCCCCCGAATGACGGTCTTGTCACGCAGCTCTTTTCGCGCCTCGCAGCGATGCTCGCCATCGACCAAGCAGAAGAACTAGCAAGACGTCACCTGCTCGACTTCGCCGAAGCGGCCGAGGTCGAGGGCAACGCACTCAAACGGGCGGCAGCCCAAGAATCCTGCAAGCTCACATGGAACTACACCCGGCGACTCTACGAGCTGCGACATCCGTCCCTAAGCAAGGCTCATCGGCAGCAACCAGCGCTCGTCGGCGCGGCAGGTATTCCTCTCTCTCCAGTGCGGTCCAACTACGCCGGACTCCTGCACATCAGCGTGTCGACGCCGTCGACAGACGTCACGAGTTCCGCTCAACAGCAACCTCCGACAATCCTCGTGACGACCCCATTACCGGCCAACGCGGTCGAGACCGCCCACGCCGCCGCCACCCCGCGCACGTCGACCCTGCCGTTGATGGACTCGGACGAGCCGCTGGCAGCGCTGGATCTCGCCTCGATGACCCTAACCATCTCGGCGGCGGCCATCACGGCCACCATCCCATCGCTGTATGCCATCGACTCGCTTGTGTCGGCTGTGATGGCGGTCGCGATCGCCGACGACACAGCCCGCCCTTTTCTCCTCAACATGGACCTCTACAACCCCTGCGAGCACCAGGCGCCGTATGTGGTTGGCGGAGGGAAGCGGTTTACGGGCAAGCTTGTGGCCACGCTGGCGGAGCGAGAGGACGCCGAGCAAGGCACAGAGCTCGCATCGAAGATCAAAAGTGAGAGGGCCGAGCGTGGCGAGCGGGGACTATCATGGTTCCGGTCATTTGGACGAAAGAAGTCCGAGCCCGCGCGGAAGGGTAAAACCAAGAAGATCGTTGTTGAGGAGTTCGATCTAGAGCGGTACGGTCGATATGGGAGTAGCTCCTCGCGGGACGGGGAGAAACTGCCCGGTGCCACTCGAGGCGTCTTACGGGTTCTGTTCTGGGGGTTGAATATGGTCGTTCATGCGCTTACACTGATGGTCAAGATCCCTGGCCTGGGCATTGGTTAACGGTTACTCGGTGTGTCCACCAGTGAGAAGGTTCTGAGGTGCGGGATGTGTTGTGTGAATGTTTATGTTTATGTTGACGAGCTTTTCTAGAATGAAGTATGATAATATAATGCATATGGCTACGAATGCTGGGGTCTGGCTGGATGGTCTCGTGCCATAAGTCGCGGGTCTACCTAAGGCTAGGCCATCTTGAGGATATTGTCTGGCGCATTCGTAGGTTGTTTCAAGGTTGGATGAAGGGCATTCCGGCGTCTCCTGGCCAACAAACCTGCGCCTCTGTTTGTAGGGTATACTTCTGGCGCCGCATATCACGGCTGTGACCAGTAGGAGAGGGTATTTATAGTTCCGGCGATGCATAGGGGTGCTCAACAGGTTGTTCCTGAATGAAGGGGCTGTAAGTGGCGAAGGGATGCAGATACTAACACGTTGACTCGATCTTCAGACGATGGTTCGTATCACCGTGTTCGAAGAATGCAGAGATCGTTGGCACGAGGGCAACCGAAGGGAGCTGTGGTTATACTTGATATTGCCTGTCAACTCAACTCAAACAACACAATTCTTCTCATAGACATCAATTTGACTGTACTTTCATACTAGCCTCTAGAGATTGTCACCTCATACCAGGATGTGACATCCAGACGATGCCACAACCCCCTAAACAGGCTCAGTAAACAAACATCAACTTCCATCGAAACATACCAGTGCCAACATTCCGACGTTCTACCCAGATCCCACGACCAACGCATGCCGCAAGAAGCCTAAATCCAGTTGTTGTTATTTATCCCATTCCACAGGGATGGGGCCGGACGACTGGAGGTATATTAGAACGCAAAGAACATGTGGGGGAAGTAGATGTGAGACACTTACGACGACGACGACAGTTTAACTATATCCGACAACCGACGATCGACAACAACAGAATGCACGCCATGCGAGCTCTCTCCGTGCTCGCCGGCGTTGCAGCCCATGTGATGGGTGTCCACGCCCGCGCGGACGGCACAGCATGTAGGGTAAGCATCGGGCGACGCTCCAGGATCGAGGATGCATAGACTGACGGACATCGACAGCGCGCTGTGGAGAAAGAGACCGGATGTGAGGGCAGATCCGCCGACTGCTTCTGCCCGTACCTCGAGAAAGCGCATGTCCATGTCTCGGATTGGACCTGGGGCCTCTGTGATGAGGCCGGCATCTGTACGTGATCTAGAACCTGCGTATAAGAGTGAACAGAACTGACGGTATGAACAGCTATGAAGACCCTCTACCACGATGTCTGTGAAGAGCATCCGTTCTTCTTCCCCCAGCGCTCCAGCGCCCCCATGGTGCGTGTCGGAGATGTTGGCGATGACAGCAGTTCTAGCTCGCGGGCGGCGTCTGCTACTCCTGTCCATCATCATCGGGGTCGTTTCATGCCTCCCCCTCCGGTACTTCCAGGTCCTCCTGTAGGACCTCCACCTCCACCTCCACCTCCACCCCCTCCTCCGCCTCCGCCTCCGCCTCCGCCGCCTATGGCAGGGCCTCCTCCACCCCCGGGTCCTCCGCCGCCCCATCCACCACCGCCGGCAGGACCTCCTCCTGTAGCAGGACCCCCTGTTCCTCCACCACACCCTCCACCTGCAGAGCCGGCCCCTCCGCCTCCTCCTGCTCCTCAAGGCCCGCCTGCGCCTCCGCCGGTGGAAGGTCCTCCCCCACCAAAAGGACCACCCCCTCCGCCCCATTCTCCGCCAGGTCCGCCGCCGGCAGAAGGTCCACCTCCGCCTGCAAAAGTGCCCCCTCCGGCCCCTCCAGTAGAAGGGCCGCCGCCTCCTCATAGCCCTCCTCCGCATGGCCCTCCTCCCCATTTCCCGCCTCCGGCTGAGGGACCGCCCCCTCCTCATGGCCCTCCTCCCCATTCTCCGCCTCCGTCTGAAGGACCTCCCCCTCCTCATGGGCCCTCCTCCTCAGGCTCCTCCCTCTCATTCTCCGCCTCCGGCTGAGGGACCGCCCCCTCCTCATGGCCCTCCCCCTCAGGCTCCTCCGTCTGAGGGAGCACCGCCTCCTCCTCCTCCTCCTCCTCCACCTCCTCGGAGGATGACTCCTTATACTCTTGCAACGCCACGATAGACGACTGAGGACCATAGTCTACAACGTGCTTTATTTCATTAGCCACTCCTTCCTGGA